TTTAACATGACAGGTTACTGAGAAACACTTTGTCTTAGTTTGTTTTTTCTGATGTTTTCAGGGCTTCCCTCTTTGCTCTGTTGTTTGTGGACATTTGCTGCTTTCCTTATAACCAAGGTAAAGCATCTACTCCAGTGAGACTTTCAGTTTAATCCACTTGTGACTTTAATTGTGTCTTCTTGTATTCAGGCTCAAATCCCAGCTCTTCCCATGTCAGCAGTTACTCACAAGCTGCTCCTGCTGTAAATGCAAACCAGGGAGATCAGTCTGTAGTTTGGCCCAAAGTTCCCAAAGGGGTCATCATGCAACGTAATCCAACTCAACCACACGTGGGGCCCGGCATCTCTTATCCTACTGCTCAAAGAGGACCAGCACCATCTGTTGGCCTCAGTTCTTCTTCTGGGCCCATCTCCTCAGGCTTCAGGGACCCTTCAGTCAGGCAACTTCCTTTCAGCTCTGCACAACCAGGAGCTGCTTTTCAACCTGGTCCTGAAAGTAAGTAGCTGATGCTCCTTCTGTGGCTCTGGCTTTGCTTTTCCACTGTCTTAAGTGTTTAATGCGTCCACGTCTGTTCTCAGGAATCCACATGGCTCCTCCCAATCCTAACTCTGGAGGTGTGGGAGTGTCTGGTATCCGTGACGTTGCTTCCAGTTTCCCTGAGGAAGTGAGTCCACCTCAGCCACCAACTGAATCACAGTACAAAGCGGGAGAGCTCTCCCAGTTTGATAGAAGCTTTGACTATGGCAACAACGAGATGGAGACTGAGCAACGCGGCAGTCGGCCTCCACCACCCTTCTTTGGTCCAGCGTCTGCTGGACAAGGTTTTGCAGGACCACTTCAGCCAAACACCAACATTGGTTTAGGATTTGACTTCTTTCCTTCCCCTTACTACGACTACATGTTCCTGACTGGCCAGTATCCTCCAGGCACCTTCAGTCATACCAGCAGCAGCTATAATCAGGGGAGGGACTACTACGAAGACATTCAGTATGAGAGACCCGGTCGTGAGCAGCCGATGGCGCCAGTTGCTGACTTTCAATCCCCCCAGAGCATCAAGGGTCCCAATCCTCTGATGGCTGGTTACAGACGGGTTGGTGGAAAGGCCAAACCTGATTCTTCCCACAGAGGCTTCAGGATGCCAGTTGGTAGCCAAGCTGGTGGGCGCAACCAAGTTAAGGCAAGTTGTTTTTAGTGTATTTAAATGGTGCTTATGTTGTGTATGGTACACTAGTACTAACGTGGTTCTTTGTTCAACTTTCAGGTTGCATACTAAGTGAGTTGTGGTGTGAACAAAGTTCTGATTCTAATAAAAGTTCTCCAACACATGCTGTATTTTGAAACTCTTTGATTGTGCCTATGTGTGAAATTGATCCTTAAAAGTTGCTTAAGAGCGGGGGGGGATTAATGAGATCCATTGCTTCTAAACCAGCTCTGGAGTGAAATATGTAGGCTTTTAGTCGTCCAGGTCATCCAGTTTGAATGACTCAACTTCATGAAACAAGTAAAAGGCACGGGATTTTCTAGTTCCTCAGCTAAGGTTGTGAAATATCTTGGATTACAGAAGTTGTGCATTGTGGAGGATAACTAACTTCCTCAACCTGTGTCCCTAAGGCTTTTTTTTTTTTTTGGTTTTTTTTTTTTTTTTTTACGGCAATAATTTTCTTTATACACTTCTATATAATTTTCAGTTGTAGCCTATTTAATTGACTGCCCCAGGTTAAGTCACTTAACTGGTATTTTAAGGATGTGCAACTAACCTTCAAGTAAAATATTTAGATCTGAAATTTGATTACAAAGTATTTGAACTATCTAGCTTTCTCAAAAGACCATTTACTAGAAAAATGTTGAGACCTATTGGTAAATTTGTAAACCGTTCCAGCCAAATCTCCAGAGGATGACTAGGTTGTAATGTTAAAGTCTTAGTGTGAATAATCAACTTTGAATGCTGAGCTCCTGATAGAACATTACATTTAGCTCCTTGCATTAGAGCTGCCAGGTGAAACAAGTGTTCAAATAAGCCTGGATTGTAATCTATGCAAGGATCTAGATTGAAACCATAAAGATTATTTTCAAACTGTCCAGATACTCGTGAGTATTTGATACCTTGAATAGATGTCTTGTATTAATGTAAAAACTACCTATTCCACAGATCCCTGTGCTCCCCGATCAACTGATTTAATTTATTGATGTCAAATGTAGTTTTCTAATTCTCAAACTGGGTGACGTGCAACGTAAAATCTTAAAATTCTGCTTGGCTAATGCCGTAAAACGTACCATATTTATGGGTATTCATAATTGAATTAAGTTTCACGTTAATATTAGACCAGCTACCAGCAACAACGCTACTCTTCGTTGCATGCGCCTCTGACCTGCTTTGACAAGTGGTTAGATTGGTGTGGCCATACAGTTCTATTTCAACCAGTCCTGCACCGACAAGCTTTTACAAACCTGGAATAGCCCCTCATATGTCAGACACACAAAAGAAATGAGAACTATCCCACCCTGTTGACGTGATCCTGTCCTGCGCCTTTAAATGAATTACATTTTCATACAAAAAGAATGGGACTCGTATTACACGTTAAAAGCACTTAGTGGAAACATCTCTAAATTCCACAAAGACAGCCATGAGTTCAAAACATCTTCCCAAATAAGTTGGACGTCAGCCTGAACTCAAACGTAGGATAACCAAAAGATTGTGACTTAGAGATACTGAAAGACCATACAGCTTCGGTTTTTAACAGAAGGAATCTGAAATGTGCAGAAATAGCATCCCCGTTCGACAGCATTTAAGGGAGGCAGCTGTTGTAACTTGTGGCTTCCCAGGAAATTCTTGCAATTGTATTTTCTTATCATTTACCTTCTGAGAAGATAATACGTTAGTTATGAGCAGATGTATGTCTGAACATTCATACAATTTTCAAATCAGTCATAAACAAGACAATAATTCAAGATACCTGACTGTTAAAACATCTGTCACGAATTCCCATTTAAATATAGCATATTTTACATAAACCTAAAGTCATACAATTTAGTGCAGTATTGTCTGTTAAAGAGTTGGTTCAAGATGAACTTCAGATATTACAGTGTCAATACGGTTGAACAGAGATTCAAATATTGTCTCCACTAACTAAACTTGAACTTATAAAAATCAAATTGATTTTGACAATTGTTTGCAGTACAATAGGTTTTGTAACCCGTAATTTTTGGTCACACTCGAAAAAAAAGAAGTCACTTGTTTCTTATTTTGCCCCCTCCTCTCTGGATATAATTTTGCATTTGTTTGTAAAACTGTTGGAGCTCTGTAAGTGACGCTGCTTGGGCCAGTTTGAAGGAATGTACCAGTTAAATCCACCGGCAGACGAATGCTGACAAGGTTTGAACCACATCTGGAATGACAACCATATTGATGTTTTAAAACTCAAAGAAACACATTTCATCCCCAGAAGACTACTAAACCATTGTCAACAAGAGCCAGTTTGTTATCATTTAGATTGGAGGATGAGGTATAAACCTTTGTTGTTTTAAGATTTAGACGTAAACTCAAAAATTTCGTTTGTATTATTTTAACTTAGATTTATGTTTTTTTTCAGTTTCATTTAAATTTGTCTTACTGTAAAGTACTTGAAACTGTGTTTTTGAAATTGTTGAATAGTTAAGTTTGTCATTTCGCAAGTGAGAAATGTAAGAAACGGCTTCTCAAACGTGTCCAGTGTGGCCTGTAATCCTTTTCCACATCCCCACTTTTTAAACTGCTGCTTTACACTGAAGCCAAAGAAATGACCTCCACATGAATGCAAACAGCGCGAGTACACACAATTCAGCTAAAATTAATTTAAAGCCTGGCCAAGCTCTCATACGGCAATTACTGTATGTGCTGGGACATAGTAAATAGTATGACAGTATGGGTAATAAAAGAACAGAGAGTCTGCTTGTATTGCATTTCCTCACTGAATGCTTCCTCCGAATACCCCTTCATTCCATGAGCTACGGAAAACACAAAATTAAATAATCCTAATTTATTAATATATCTACTTATTTTGAATGTTCTTACAATGTATTTTACATACCCAAAGAAACTAAAATAACCCAAGACAAATAGTTTTTTTTTCAGAGTAGATGTTTTCAAAAGCTGCAGCCGCACAACGTTAACGTCAATGCAATATTTTCCCCACAGCATACAGAGACAGCTGCAATGTTCAATGTTCAAGAAACGTCCATGTATTTGGGTCGCAGGGAGTAGGAACCGGCTATCCGCAACCCGCCGTCACAGGATTGGTATCCTTAAAGCTCTGGAAGGATTTAAAGTGACTGGCTCCATCTGCTGCTCACCACCGGGTCTCACGTGATGATGTTTCTCACATGATGAGCGTCTTCCCAGTAGCCCCTCCCTTCGCTGAGCCTGATTCTGGCCAGTCAGGCACATGGCGTTGTTGTGAACGTAGGAATAGGAGTAAAGAGGACAATCTTCCACCGACGTTTAAGTCCAGCTGAGGTTGTCTCGCAAAACCAAGTTTAGCAACTTTACTTGAGTGTACGTAATCATGATGCAGGACAACGGAGACGTTTTCATATATAGATATTTACATAAGTAAATATCTATATATCCATATATAGATATTTACAAGAGTAAATATCTATATATCCATATATAGGATTTACAAGAGTTGCCAGAGTTAGAAACTGCCCAAGTTGGTGCCAACCTCAAAGAATTTCTCTCCATCCAAAAAGACTGTATTAAAAGCTAGTTTTATAAACAGAGTACACCATTTCCCTAGATGTCAACCATCTAACAACAAAGACATAGGGTCCAATGTGTCATGTTTCCTTACATCACACTGTCAATACTTAAATGGATCATGTTTTTTCTTTGAGAAGTCAATATGGGCTCCAGGGTTAGTAATTGCTGAGGTTGGATCCGTCTACTGAGCGTCATTGGCAGCAGCTGTCGGTTGTTAACTCCCTGAGCTCTGATTGGTCGATTCGGATCTCAGGTAACTCTTATAACCCTCCACATTTGACAGCTTGTCATGTAATGTCCAGCGACATGATGACTTCCCCGGTTGTCTCTGGGTAAGTAGCTGGGGTGCTGCAAGTTGACTTGTTACTGAGAAACATTTGTGATGTTTATTTTGTTTTTTCTGGTGTTTTCAGGCTTTCTATCTTTGCGCTGCTGATTGTGGACATTTGCTGCTTTCCTTATAACCAAGGTAAAGCATCATCCACTCCAGTGAGACTTGTTTCAGTTTAATCCACTTTTAGTGACTTTAATTGTATCTTGTATTCAGGCTCAAATCCCAGCGCTTCCCATGTCAGCAGTTACTCACAAGCTGCTCCTGCTGTAAATGCAAACCAGGGAGATCAGTCTGTAGTTTGGCCTCTCAAAGCGCCTTCTAAAGCTGTCATCATACGACATAATCCAACTCAACCACATGTGGGGCCCGGCATCTCTCAGCCTACTGCTCAAAGAGGACCGGCACCGTCCGTTGCCCTCAGTTCTTCTTCTGGGCCCATCTCCTCAGGCTTCAGGGACCCTTCAGTGAGGAAACTCCCCCTCAGCTCTGCACAACCAGGAGCTGCTTTTCAACCTGGTCCTGAAAGTAAGTATCTGATGCTGCTTTGCTTTCCCACAGTCTTAAAAAGTGAGTTTTATGCGTCCCTGTTCTCAGGAATCCACATGGCTCCTCCCAATCCTAACTCTGGAGGTGTGGCAATGTCGTCTGGCATCCGTGACGTTGCTTCCAGTTTCCCTGAGGCAGTGAGTCCAATTCAGCCACCAACTGAATCACAGTACAAAGCGGGAGAGCTCTCCCAGTTTGATAGAAGCTTTGACTATGGCAACAACGAGATGGAGACTGAGCAACGCGGCAGTCTGCCTCCACCACCCTTCTTTGGTCCAGCGTCTGCTGGACAAGGTTTTGCAGGACCACTTCAGCCGAACACCAACATCGGTTTAGGATTTGACTTCTTTCCTTCCCCTTACTACGACTACATGTTCCTGACTGGCCAGTATCCTCCAGGCACCTTCAGTCATACCAGCAGCAGCTATAATCAGGGGAGGGACTACTACGAAGACATTCAGTATGAGAGACCCGGTCGTGAGCAGCCGATGGCGCCAGTTGCTGACTTTCAATCCCCCCAGAGCATCAAGGGTCCCAATCCTCGGATGGCTGGTTACAGACGGGTTGGTGGAAAGGCCAAACCTGATTCTTCCCACGGAGGCTACAGGATGCCAGTTGGTAGCCAAGCTGGTGGGCGCAACAAAGTTAAGGCAAGTTAAGTTTTTATTTGCTTATAAAATGAATTATAACTGAACTGGTCTTAATTCTTATCCCACCTTTCCTGTTTCCTATAGGTGGGGATGCCTTCAGTGTACAAAGCCTTTTGAATGCAATAAAAGTTTTAAGATGTCAACTTGACTGCTTTCCTTTTTCTTTTTACTAGTACTGATGTTGTTGTTTTTTTTACTCGTGCGGTTAACTACGTGAACAAAGCTTTCTGACTAATAAAAAAAAAAAGGTTCTCATGAGCAGTCTTCAGTTAATCTTTTGGAACCCTATCAAGGTTTGACAGTTTTAAAATGGTAAATGTCTTAAGCTTTCACGTATAAGATTTGTGACTTTAAGGTCTTGACCATTATTGCTAAGCAGAACTTGTTTCAACTATAAAGCATTAATTCTGTGTTGCTTGAGATGGTGGCAGATCTTTGCTTCATATGAGCCGAGACTAACAACTTTCACTTTTTTTCTGGTAATCTCTTAATTTGTTCGCCATATAAAACGAGAGTAGCTGGGACGTTGACTAGTTACTGAGAAACATTTGGTTATTTGAGTTTTTCAGGGTTTGTCTTTCCGCTGCTGATTGTGGAAATTTGCTGCTTTCCTTTTATAACCAAGGTTAAGCATCATCTACTCCGGTGAGCCTTTCAATTTAATCTGCTTGTGACTTTAATTGAATATTTTATTGCCATAAGGTCAGATTTACAAGGATTTGACTTGGCGATTGAGTTCTAAATATTTAAAAATTAAAGTGCACCACCTAACAAGTGACACAAGTGACGTGGGCAGTGAGAAAGTGACCGGTGGAATGTCAGTCAGTCAGTGGGGGACCGGGCTCTGTTGATGAGCCCGACTGCTGACTGGAAGAAACTGTTCGTGTGGCGGGAGGTCTTAGTCCTGATGGACCTCAGCCTTCTGCCAGATGGAAGGGGCACAAACCGTTTTTGTCCGGGGTGAGAGGGGTCGGCTACGATCTTTTTAGCTCGCTTCAGAGACCTGGAAGCGAACAAGTCCTGCAGGGACGGCAGATTGCAGCCGATCACCCTCTCTGCAGAGCGGATGACACGCTGCAGCCTTCCCTTGTCCTTGGCCGTGGCTGCAGAGAACCAGACGGTGATGGAGGAGCAGAGGATGGACTCGATGATGGCCGTGTAGAAGTGCACCATCAGTCTTTGGCAGGTTGAATTTCTTCAGCTGCCTCAGGAAGAACATCCTCTCCTGAGCCACTTAAGGTCCTGGGAGCCCAGGAAACGGAAGCAATCCACAATAGTGACGGGGTGATGCGGGGGCAGGTGGGGTCCCACCCTTACAGACGCAATAATACATTTAATTTGTAATGCACTTTATATTTAAGCAAATCCCAAAGTGCTACATGATAAAACAGGTAAGTGCCAACAATAAAAACCGTACAGCCACAACTAAATTTAACAATTTTCTTATCTGCCTATTTTCAATTAACTTTTTCATAATACATTCCACATCTAAAAATATTGGTACATTTTATTGGCAAACCACGTTAACCTTTTTAAAGACCTTTAGATTATATCGCATCTTGTGAAATGGTTGCAGGAAAATTTAAGAAATTTCTCAATGCTTTCTGGAATTTATTCTCCTATAGTAGTAAGCTGAGAATATTAAAGTTAATATTTAACTGAGGACATCTTTAGGTGTTCTCTACCTACACTTTCAATAGACTGTAGTGTTTAGAAGCGCAAAGGATAGAAGTTTCCTCAGACAAATAGCAGACTGCACGGCTCTGCAAAATTTATCCATAACAATGTCACCTGCTAATCAGAATGCATCCTTTCAATGCGTTGTGCCATATAGGAAACGTGCTGAACCTGTGTAAAAGTGCAAAATGTGAATTTTGCATACAAATATGTTTGGACTGGTTCTTTGAAACCGTGTTAAATCAGTGTGCGCAATGATTAATAATGATCATAAAAGATGTACATGTACCACGATTGAGCCTATTTTATTTTTGAAGTCCTTGTTTGAACTGCCTACAAGTTTCAAACTATAAATGTACTCATCAGGAGGCTGCTGCTAATGTGCATCCAGTTCAAAAAGTAGATCTTCACACAGAGTTCACACTAACGCATGAAGGGAGGCAAGTCAGCCTGTGCAACGCACGCATTCAGGTGAGTGAGGAGAACATGAGGGGCATGAGGCTCTTCACGCAAAGTAAAGACTATTTCACAATTCCTTAATTTACCACACTGCAGATTTAACTCCAGCTTTGGACACATGTCCAAACAAAAATTTTCTTTTCTGTTTAAATGTAAACTTGAACAGCCCCTTTTGTTTTGACTATTTATGTTTGTACTTCAGAGACTGGACCATGAGTAGGAGGCAGTGGCACCGATACACAAGAAGGCCTTGATGTATTTATAGCCCCCAAGACATAGAAGAGAGAAGATAATGACAGATTGGGAATAAAGATAGACATTTATTTTTAAAAACACCTGTTTTGTGTTGAATGAATAGATACACTGCTCGAGAAGGGGGGGAAGTTGAAAAGTTGAGCTACTCTCGTTATACTGTATCTGGTTTATATGTATATGCCTCTTAAATGAATAGAAAGTATAGATTATGCGTTTAAAAAAATCAAAACAATTTCATTGGTCGGCCTTATTCCATATCATTCATGTGCACTTCTAAAGGGATGTTAGATGTTAACGCTTAGTCAAACGATGCACCAGTTACCCACTAATGGACGCAGATCCTCGCAACTGGCATCAATCACCGTGCACACGCCCTGTCCCAGGATTTATGAACAAAAAAGGATTTGTGTAAGTACAAATCAACAATATTAAGCGTGGAAAGGAAGTGGCTAATTGTGTGTGTGAGCATATGATACTGCATATGATACTGCATGCACGCACCCAAGGGTGCTTTAAGTGTGTGTGTGTGTGTACAGTCACGGTTTCCGCAGCAGACGCAGCTGCCAGGCCTGCTGGACTTGCGCCTATGTCACCGGGACTCTATTTCAGGACCTTGCGTGGCTCGAAAGGTCAGATAAAGAGGCATAGGCATCTTCACAAAGCAGAGGGTGGGGGTGTCTGGTGAAGGGGGGTATCCACAAGCCACCACACACACACACACACAGATGTCACAAAGGTATCACACACACACAGGAGCTGTGCTGACAGAGAGGGGGAGACGGGGACAGTAGAGTAGTGGGAAGACTTTGAGCAGGTTTCTTGTAAAGAGGATTTACTTTTGACTGAGTCAGAACTTTTCGAGGAGGACAGACGTGATCGTTTAAGGAGTCTTTAGACATAAGTCTAAGAAGAGTCTGATTCAACCTTTGATCATGGAAGGAGAATTGACCAGTAAGGAGACATCCGAGTCTACAGAGACCACCGGCCTGATTGACACAAACAACAACAACAGCTACAACCAGGTATGTGTATTTTTTACGTATTCTACATTTCTCAGAATGAGCAGCGTCACAGTCCGTGCCAGGAAAATGCAGTAACTTTATTTGTGGCCATGGCAGGTGTTGCGTTTGGCGAGTTGAAGTGTCGTTGGCTGAACCTTGCTGTGCTACACCTGTTGTTACTCCTGGCTGCAAAGCGTAACACAAACAGAGTCACACAAGTTATGCAATGCAATGCACACGCAAACACACACCGTGGAGTTTCCGGTTCCCTGTGATGAGTCACCGGTCCAAGATCTGACCTGCTGGGACTGCTCTCGCATTTTAACCAGACTACACTGAAGATTTTGGTGATGTTTTCCAAACAGCATGTGTGACCCTCAACTGACTAATCGCACATTTTGTCGCTCAAATTGATGAACTCCACTCATGTCGGAAAAATCAAGTAAAGAAGGTTTTTGTTCATTAATAATAACGATCCTATCTATTGTGTTTCAGTCTGCTATTGGACCAATAACTTGGCCAAGGGAGAACAATCCCATTGGATATACCAAGCAGCAATATTCATCCACCATCAAAGGAAAAATAAAAAGATATTGTTTGCAGCTTTATTGGCGCATCCTGTGTAATAATCAAGTATCAGAGATAATTCACAAATATTTGCAAATATCTTTAAAAAAAAATTCAATCTGTATTTGATCATGACTTTTGTTAAAAGAGTTAAGTTTGCTCAGTTACAACATAAATTGTTTTCAGAGTTGTTTAACCATTTAACCTGGTATGGAATTCAGTCACGTTGTAAATGTAAAAATTGTGAATTGTACACAGAAATGGGTGTTTATGCACAACATGCATTGTAACCTCTAACTTTTAATCGGATAGTATCTCCAGATGTATTTGTAACTGAACGTGCTTGCCTCTATTCCTTCAGACTGAGGAGCCAGAGCTGGAGGAGAGTAATGACCCAGAGAGGGAGCATCCAGCAGGGGAGACAGCGGAGGGTCGGGGGCTGACAGAGGAGGGGGAGAAAGGGAAGGAGGAGGGAGGAGAAGTGGAGGACAGTGCTGCAGATAAAGAAACGCCACAGACTACTGAGCAGGGAGGAGAAGAGGAGGACAGTGCTGCAGATAAAGAAACGCCACAGACTACTGAGCAGGGAGGAGAAGTGGAGGACAGTGTAACAGATAAAGAAAAGCCCAAAACTCCTCCATCGAAGCTTCCCGAGGGGGGCGCTGAAGAGGCGGGAAATTCCGAAGACAAAGTCGTCTCCACTGAGGTCGATGCGAAAGATCCTGACCTGACAGGCGGAGCCGAAGACGTGGAGGGAGAGGGGAAGGAAGGGAAGAAAGGTCGGCCGGTGGAAGGGGTCAAGAATAGCGAGGCTGAGAGCGATGGAGAGGAGATGATAAACAAAAAAAAAGAGGAAAAGAAGAGCAATACAGTAGAAAAGGCAAAAGAAGCAGATATAGATGCGAGTAAAGAGGCAGAAAATGAGGCAGAGAAGGAAAAAAAGGTCAAGGAAGTGGACGTAGAAACAAAAGACAAAGCAAAGATTAAGGAGGTAGAAAAGCAAGGGAAGCCCAAAAGAAAGAGCGCTCCTCCCTCTTCTTCTCTCTCCCGACCAAGACCCTCAGCACGCTCCATCAGAGCTGCAGCTAAAAACGACATCATTGCCAAGTTCCAGCAAGGTGCACCACAGTAAGTGATTGCATACCAGCACCTCAGTGACCGCAAATGTAAAACAGGAAGGTTTCAGAAGAAATTGTGCAATATTGTGACATTTGTAGGACACCAACACCCCGCAACTTCAAAGTTCAGAGGTCATCTGCGGCTGCGGCGACGGGAGCTTCAATCAAACAGAAGATGCTTCAGTGGTGTCACAGTAAGACTCGCAACTACGAGGTGAGTTCAACACATTATCTCCATCAACAAATTTCAGGATTTGTCGCCACTTTGGGCTCCAATACGTCACGCGCGGGCCTCGCTTTGTTTACCTTCCTTACCTTTGACCTTTTTAGGGTGTCAACATAGAAAACTTCTCATCCTCCTGGTGTGACGGCTTGGCGTTCTGTGCTCTCATCCATCGCTTTTTCCCCGACGCTTTTGACTACAGCTCCCTGAATCCAAAGGAGAGGGAGAAAAACTTCACTCTGGCCTTCCAAACAGCAGAGTACGGAGAAGAATTTTTTTCTCACCTGAGATCTTTCTGTTTTGGATCACAACATTTACACGACAACAATACAACAAGACGGATGACGTTTATAATTTATTGTCATCCGGTTCGCACAACAATCAAAGAAAAGCAACATGAGCAACATGAGCAACATAACTTAAATGACAAACAAAATGAATGATAACGTAGCTCAAAAACGATATGATAACATGCCATTCCAATTTTAAAATGTGACTATATGTCAATCTTTTGTTTCCCCCTCCCCCACGTCCCCCATGTCCATCAGGTCCCTGGCCGACTGCTGTCCTCTGCTGGAGGTGGAGGACATGATGTTGATGGGTAAACACCCGGACCCCATGTGTGTGTTCACATATGTCCAGTCCCTCTGCCACAGCCTCTGTAAAATAGAGAAAGAGAGGAAAGACAAAGAGACACAGGACAAAGACAGCAAACCCGGTGGAGTTGACGAGGGAGGGGAGAATGATAAGGGAGCGGCGTCACCGGAGAGAGATGAGTCTAGTGAGAACGGGATGATGGGGAGCCGAGAGGAGAGACGAGAAGATGTTGCAGAAGGTGGTGGCGAGCGAGCAAACGCACCAAGCGGCTGTGAGGTGGAGGAGTCCTGATTGAGACCTCGAAAGAAGACTGACTGCGAACAGAGAGACTGAAAAGACCAAAAGGGTGGTCGATGGTTGTGGTGATTCAATTAGTAAATCGTAGTTGGGTGTGGATTGACTGCTGAAAATGTAATATTAATTAGCTGTATTTCTTGAAAGTGCACTACGCTGTGTTTTTTCCTGTTTTCTTCGAGATCACAAAGCAGAAATGTTTAGTCTAATAATAAAATGATGGACTTGTGAATTAGAAAGCCAAAAACCTTTGTGTTGATGTGACGCTCAGACAATATGTATAGGAATAAATGACATAACAGTTGTAACGGATGATGTTTTCACAATTTGTGAAGTGACCAAAAATTACACTAAACTTAAGTAAATATAATGGATGGAAATCCATAGTGATTTTGAGCCAATAAAAAAGTATAGATTTTTTCACTATATTTTATATAATATATATATATATATATATATATATATATATATATATATATATATATGTTGAATGTTGTTGTTGTTGTTGAATGTTGTTCAAGGGAGGATCTGAAAGACGTTTAAACGTGAGCAAAAGAAGCCATTTCGTGGAGTTTCACTCCATCATCTCAAGAAAACATCCCCCAAAACAGAGCGAATGAATCTGCCGCTGCTTTCGAGGGATTACGGTAAACCGCGTCACGCTTCCGGAGAAGCCATCGTGTTGACCCCTTTTTTGTTTGCTAACCCGACGGCTGTGTCGAGCCCCTTTTTCTTCTGCTTCCTCCTCCTCTTCCACTTCTTCGTCTTCCTCAACAACACGTTTCTCGGCCGCAGCGAGGCGAGCGATGTCTGCAGACATGCCGGCGGGGGGTCTGAACCTGGAGTCGCAGCTGCTGTCCGTAATGGACGTGCTGGTGAAAGCGGCGGTGGTGGAGATCGGTCAGCTGTTCTCGGAGGGATCGTCGTCTCTGCGCCTGCATCTCACGCAGAGCCTGAAGGAAAACGAGGCCCTGCGGATGAGGATGAAGGGGATGAGGAGTGAGCTCTTCTCCCTGCGGCTGCAGACCAGGAACAACCGGCCGGCGAGCCGCTTCTCCCCGGTCAGAGGAAGCGCTCCCAAACCGCGGGCGAGGACGCAAGGTACCGAGTGCTTCTACTCCAGAGCACCTCGCTCCGCCTGCTCGAAATAAAGTTCCAAACTATTGGTTTTGATTCTAATTAAAATAAAAAATGCTTTGAGGGTCATTGTGATTGTCAACAAACGGCACATAAGTTGACAGCAAGGCCGAGATCCTCCTTGTGGCGCTGGCACGCAATGCCAGGTCCGTGGCAGGCGGCAGGATTGTGGCACCTTGGTGGCATCTGAGTGGCACCTGAGTGGCAGTCTTCTGTCTTTCGGCACCCGATAAAAAGCTGCCTCGCTGAGGGGGCGGGGCCACGTTTTCTCAGAACGGCCATTGTTGTTACGACAGGTTAGCTGCTGCAAATCAGTTTTATGATTTTAGTTGAATCCCCGGAGCCACCTGTTCTCTGTATGCATCCTCGGAGTTTCCACGGTTTCTCATTAATTTTATTTAAGTGAGAATATGCTGGTTTTGCAACAAAACCCCCAAAAATTGATGTGAAGTGTCTCTGATTTGTACAAGGCAAATGTTCAATGTTTTGCGTATGTATATATATTAATGCCTCAGGCTAATAACAAAGAAATGTCATTGAGGTGAACCACACTCCCACAAAAACAACATGCTCAATTAAACCTTCCTCTCTGATGTTATGTAATGTTAAATGGCATGCGGGTCCATACAATTAATATAGTAAGATTGCAGTCTATGTTCACTCAAATGTCTTTATTAGTGATGCCACAGACATTATCTTTGGTCATAACCCCCCTTTCCCACAGGTAGGCTCATACACTGATCAATAGGCCAATCAATAACTTGTATTAAATAAAATAGTTCACACTTTGATTTCAGGCATATATTTTGTTCACTATTTTTGTCCAGAATGAAGCTGGGACCTATCTTTTATATTACATATTTTACCTTTCTTATTTGAAAAAATAATGACATATATTCTCTTACAGATTCACATCAGGTCTTCCATGATGTACAGTCTCTTCTTGAGTTTGTTGGTCCCAAGTGTAAATTTTGCACCTTGCAAGTAGAGGCTTCTGCAGGGCATCTGCATCAAAAACATCTAAGGGACGCTACTTATTTTCAAGATGGAGATAAAGGTACTTACACGTGGTTCAAGTGAAAATACTGTACGCTCCTGTTTTTTACAGCACTTTAAGCAAATATTCATGTCCTAATTTTATGCAACGTTCTTCGACAGAGAAATTTGTAGTGTCGTGCTATTGCCAGGACACCAATCAAAGCCATAGATGCCACAATCATTGTCCATTCTGCAACTACAGAGTGTTTTCCCGAACAGTGAGCTTCAGGACACACCTTCAACAACTTCACGGTACGTATACGTCATTCTCAAAGGTATTTACAAGGCCAACAACTAAGGGAAATACATGATGGTATTAATAGTGAATTTGTTTCACATGAAGACATTCAAATACTAAATTACAGCATTCAAATTCAAATTGTATATCCTAAACAAAATGTGTAAATATCATCTGTAAATACATTTGAAGCCTCTACGGGCACTAAAGAGTTGTATCACAATCACAATCAATTGAATCCACTTATAAAATACAAAACTTTACCTTTTAAGATATTAAATAAATAAATTGCATTCATCCAATCTGAAATGTTATGTAATCTTCATTGGAGTTTTTATTGAATAAAAATTATGTCTTAATTTTATTTTATTTTTTAAGCGTGAATATGTTGTAAATATATTAAAGATTATGCAACTAGAGCTACTCTGAAACCAATCATTCCATTCAGAAACACTTCCTGTGTTAAGAACACAAACTATACATTTAGGCAAGAAAACATATCTGTATTCATATCAGTAAGTAAAAATACTTTACCATGAATAATTCATTTTTCAAATTAGGGGAATCTGAGAAACCATTTTGTTAACTGGTTGCTTCAGATCCCATTGTTGCCAAGACCTGAAGTGGTGACGTATTGTGATGACTAATTCTTCTTTCATTTGCAGGTATCAAATCATACAAGAAAAGAGGTAATATTTTTCTTGTTTTTTAAAAATATATTTAAAGATATAACCTACAGCACCCATACTATCATCCATGCATCTATCCATCGATCCTTATTTCTGTCGTTAACTCTCACACACTAACTTTCACTGCATTTTTGTATATAGTTCCAATAACAAAAAGATCCTAAGGCCTCCGTCCTAAAACTAATAGCGTTAATACAAGCCGACTTCTACTGTTCATTCAGTTGTAGCACCTTACAATACTTTGCCTAGATTTCTCTCAACTTCAGACTTCATTTATTTCAGAAATTTCTTGTTAATAAAATGCTATAAGAAATACATAAATAAAAGTTAAATGAAACATATTGTGTTCTGGAAATCCTTTCTTTTTTTTTTTTCTTTTAGAAAAAGCTGCAAAAAACGCTGGCACAGAAAAAGCAGCTGATGATCCCTTTTGTTCCAAAACCAGCAAATTCATACTTAAATAAAATGAATGACAAACAAAAAAAGTACACCATTGTAACTCTTAAGGATGCATACAGAGGACTGATTCACAGCAGCTAACCGGTCATAACAACAATGGCCGCTCTCGGATGATGTGGCGCCGTCCCCTCCTCCCCTCAGCTTCTTGTCGGGTACTGTGCTGGTGTCTCTGTTGTGACGCCTGACTGAGTGTATACACGTCGACACCTGATTATTAAGATTAGACGTTTATAACTGGGGCAATATATCTGAAATAAGATGTTGGTAAAAGGAGTTTTAAGACTTTATTTTGATGTGTATATTTCTTGCTTCTTGATACGTTACAATCAGCGGAAAAATATTCCATTTGAATAGTGATGTATTGGAGCTGGTATTAAATAATCAATAAAAAAATAATAGTTATTGCAAAGGAATAATACTTTGTTATACAGGTGGCCTTTGGGAAAGTGCTCACCGTTTAACTATTAACATCTTAACATTGAGACCAGATGTAAAGCTCTTACTCTGTAAATCACAGAGAGATGAATGTTTGTACTCATCTTCTTGATTATTGGTCTTTTTTCCCCCTTTAGTTTTCATTAAGCCACCATTGTCTCCAAAGGGTGATGTGGAAGCAGCTGCTATCTCTCTACAATCAGACAACCATACCCCCTCCTCTGAAAATCAAGTGGAGGTAAAACACTTTGCAACTACTTCATAACTGAACGTCTTGTTAATATTTTATATTTATTTTCTTTTGCTCACACGTAAATACTTTCATTTGTTAGTGTGCAGATGTTGAGAGCCCAGATATCATCCTCATCAAAGATGAAGACGACATGGGAGGATGTGGGCCAGTTGTGGGTGAGTAGTCAACTCCCCTTTAGCATCTATGGCAACACATACTTAGTATTGTTCATTGTTAGATTAGTATTTCAGGTGACGTGCATAATGATGAAAGAAGGAGAACATGTATGTAGACGCATTTGTCAGTTTGGATGTTTCAGGTAGATTCATTTCAACACAGTGGGCATTAGAACACGACAAGTGACTCATGACACGTCGCTGTGATAATTACAGCACCGGTGGATTCAGGACTTGAGGAAGGGTATTTTGGGGGGACGTCACTATACCCATTATTTTCAGTCAGCACTACAACTGACTTTGCGGAGTATATTTAAAGCGTCTTGATGCTAATTCTGTCCATGCGTGTCCCTGTCTAAAAGTTCCATACACAAACTCTGATTCATGAAGTCATTTTGTGGTTTGCTTTTTTGTTTCAGGCCATAACGACTTCGGTGGTCTTTCTACAGGGACTGGGACGGCTGAGAACGAGGAGCTGAGAATCCTCAGTGTTCGCGGAGGAGGGGAGGAGCTCCTCCAGGACGAGAGCGACTCCCTCTTCACCGCCTCCGAACTCCAGGCTTTCACCTCCCTGTCCCCGGACCACGACGTCCCCCACGACAGCCTCATGGACTTCGCCACCGGCAGAGACCCGACGAGAGGGATGCCGGACCACAGGAACGGCCAACCGGAGCGGAATCAGTCCGCCCGGGTGGCTTCGACCATTATGAACCCTGCAGTGGAAGCAGAAGAAGACGACGGTCAAGCGGGGCAGCCGAGTCACGTCGGCCAGTTCGACCAGCAGCAGAACGCCTTCTCCCACGGCGTCCTCAAGTCCCTGGACTGCAGCTTCTGCGGCGAGCGCTTCCTCAGCCGCGAGGACCTGATCGCGCACAGGGCGAGTCACACGGGGGAGCCGGCCGCCCTCTGCACGTTTTGCGGCAAGTCGTTCGTCAACAAGACCACGCTGAGCATCCACATGCGCATTCACACCGGGGAGAAGCCGTACGCCTGCGCGCAGTGCGGGAAGCGCTTCACGCAGAACGGCAGCCTGAAGATCCACCTGCGAACGCACTCTGGGGAGAAGCCGTACACCTGCAGTCAGTGCGCCGCCAGCTTCAACAACCCCAGCAACCTGCGCCGGCACATGATCACACACAACCCGAACGGGGTGTTCTGACCGGGAAAGATATGAAGCTTTAACTTGGGTTTTTTTTTCTGTTCTTTTCAGCACGTTAGCTTTACGAACACTTGTGTGCCACAGTGTGTATTTTGGGTAACGTGCGTTTCCTGTGTGTTTGTGTAGCTGTCAGGAGCCCGTCATGGGCCACATGTGCGTAACTAATAGTCCACCAAAGGTATTTCTCTTGACCATTTGTCAGTAATATCCGTGGAGTGTTGAAGGAGCCTTGTCTCCGTGCAATATGAAGCTACTTTTCAAAGCAAGACAACCTGCAAAACTAAAAAGCCTTCATCGGTCCTCCTTTTTTCTTAAAAGCAGAAACATGTATGCCTTATTCATCCTTCAAGGAATATATATACAGTACCTTTGATTTAATTCTGATTAAAATACATACTCAAAAACATGACCAACTCTGCATATGCAGCAGCTCAATGTGTGTGAATCACAGTCATTTTCATAAACGCTCACAGTTGGGACGTCTGACAGCATGAATGCATGTAATCCTCCATCCTTCCTTTGGTTACAGGAGGAAACCACTTGCACAACAATGTTAGCAATGTTGCTTCGCGTGCAGCACGTGAACATTTGAATACGTACATTGACATTAATCAATGCCTCACCCTTTGGTGCCAATGCTACAAGAATGCTAATGTTTTCAACACCGTTCACATGACATCGTTAACCCAGATACACTTGGCTTGATTTTGAACTTTTGTCTAGCAATCTGTATGTTAGAACCTTTTATTAGGCATTGAAAATGTTTTGCTCACGGTATGGCATGCTGCCTTTTAATTCATTTCATTCATCTGTGTGAGTATGTGTTTCACCTAAGAAGTAAACTAGCTCAGAGTTTGTAGCTCTTGTCTTTCTGTACTTCTCGTGTAGTTTCAGACTGATCGCAATAATCTATTTGGTGTCGATTTTGTTTGTGGCTTTGTAATCAAGATATGCAATGATTAATAATACATCTAGATCTTCTAATATAGCGTTCAGTACATGGCAAATCACCTCTAGGGCGCAGCATTGTTTGTGTTCCCAGTGATCATTGTGTCTACAGGTCACTCATGCTGGAGCGCTGTGGGGGCACTTTTAAGGAAACTGAGGGAAATTCCTTGCATTGTTCCTATTTCCACCCTTCCCGCTGTCTTCTATCGGGATCCTGCTCGTTTGGCTTTGGTTTTCACGCAAAGGAGGTCAAATAAAAACTTTGATCAAACATTACTGCGTGGTTCTCAAATTGCAATTAATTATCGTGCAGGGATCAGAATGAAATTGCAGAGGGAGTTTAAGCGTCGGTCTGTTTACTGATCAAACACACGCGGTGGTCGCTGTAAGTGCTTTTATGTGCCGGACAGTTTCTTATCACGGTGGTGTGGAATGCCGTTGTACTTCCCCAAGAAATGCAGCTTCCCCTCGGGCCATTGTTCTTGGACAATCAATGAAATGACATCGGTGTGTGCGTGTGCGCGCGCGCATGTGTTTGGGCAAAAACAGAGCGATCTGGTGAAACGAATGGGAGGAGGCAGTGGGAGGTAACCTACTTATTCTCCTCATACTGCAGAATCGCATCTTTTTTTTTAATCTTGGCCCCCACGTCAGTCCGTGCGCGGTTTCATCTCCACTTCGAGATCAGCCACCGAACGCACCGTCTTTAAACGGGTGACTTAACACCTGCGTGAGATAAGGAATTCCGGGTGCGCCGTCTTTACGGTAAGGCCCGCCCGTTGATCCCGCCCTCCCTTTGATTGAAAACTCGGCGATGTCGCTTCGTCTTTAACGAGCTTGACCCAGAACCCGGCGAAGGAGGGCGAAAGAGGGGCGAAAACGCGGAACAAACGGAATAGTCTGGAAGGGGTCGGGACCGGCGTTCGTCGAGCAAGGTAATTTGATTCAGAAATGTTACGGGAGGTGTAATAATGCAGCAGCCGTATGTGTGTGTCCCCCCCCCCCCCACTCACAGTTACTGGGTGCACTGCAGCGTTGGCAAGGAGTGGTCACACCATCGACAAACCAGCAACACGACCCCTAGGCTAACGTTAGCTAACGATGCTAACGTTAAAAGTTATTTTCGCCACCCGTTCTTTCGCGTCTCACCAGGCTGTTATGCCGTACTAGGGGGGGAGCTACTGAAACCAATGGCTAAACCAAAATATAACGCATAAGCGCTCTTCGAATGCCGCTCAGCCAAGCGCACGCTAACTTGCTGCTAATCTGCCTGCTAAGCTAAGGCTAGCCCGGCTGCTGGCACCGCTCGCAGTCGGTTATGTGGGTTATTGTGATGCTAACGTAGCGAGACAGCCAAACCAGGTCATGCGGGGCGTTGAGCGAACATTTTGGGGAACTGTGCTGATGTGATGTCCAACATTGTCATTTATCTGCGAGGTAGTGTTAATAGTTACCGAAAAAAGCAAAACCCCACAGGAGTTACCCAACGCTCAGCTGCTCTTTGTTCGCAGGGTCACTTTTGTCTTTTACGTTTTAGCAAACGCTGCTAACTGCCGTCGCCCCGGAACGCTGCGCTAGCAGGTCCGGGGCCGACTGCCGTCTGCGGGGCGGGGGGGCGTAAATCTGGGGGACTGTTGGCTATCGGCGGCCCCCCGAAAAGAAGAGTTCCTCCGCTCTGGCAGGGAACACAAATCGCCATGACAACGTGACGGTCAGGCGGGTTCACGAGACCCGGAGGGACGTAACGTGTATGGAGCGCGCGCCTTGACGTCGGCAGCAGACGGTTCATCGTGTTAAGCCCCCCCGACCCGTTCGACCACACTTTTTTTTTTTTTAAAGCATTTTGTGTGTATTGCAGTCCGCGTGAGCGGGTGGTGGTCCTCCTCCTCCACGCTGTCTCACGGGCTGGGAATCTGTCCGCCTGTGAACCTGTTGGGTGGGTCTTGTGTGAACTTGTTGCAGGCAAATGCCAGGGTGGGGATAACTCAAACTGTCAGCCTGAGTGTGAACATGTCGATGTGCTTTTCCCGTGAGCAGACTGCCTCCATGTAGGCACACATTAGAGTTTCGGGTAAGTGCCATGCCGGGTTGTGCTGTCTGGGATGTAGGTGGTTTAAATGTGCCGCAGGTTCCTTAAATGTGCCGCAGGTGCCACCACTAATAACACCACCTGTGCCAGTCCTTTGTCACTACTTAAAAGTCGCCGTTTGATTGTTGATGCTGCCAACGCCTACTGCATCTGCGATTGCTCTCTTGAGCTTGTGCAGGTTAATCCACAAAGAGCCTAACTTCTTCGTGTGTGTCTACATGTGTGCGTCCACCATACCGTCATGTGTATGCGTTGGGAGGTAAGTGGATTAGTCGGCTAAAGCTTCAATCCAATTACAAGCCACGCTCAGTTTAAACCAGGGCACGTGACCTGTCTGTCTGTTAGCCCGAGAGGCACAAACAGGTGTGCTTTTTGAAGACAAAACTGTGGTATCATTTTTTTTTTCTGCGGTTGGCAGGTGTAAGAGCTTATTTCATTAACCAGAGTTTCACTACGGCGACAAAGGCCGTACTGTTGGTGACGTATGGGGACAGATGTCTTGCCTGGGTTGAGTGAGTCATGGTGACTGATGGCTGCAGAATCAGCTTGGAATACGTGACTTGTGGTGTGTCAGGGCTCAGATGTTTTGAGGGCTGTGTGTGTACATTGTTCACCTTAAGGCGCTGACATTTTGACTGTTTGGGGCGGCAGTACATGCGTCTTCGTGTGCACTTTTGAAAACATTTTATGTTTTTCATGACTCTGTGCAGTCCGACTAACACTCCTGGCTAACTCAATCCGATCCAGTTGATAGTTTGACTAATTGCGGCATGTAACGGTAAATTGGATAAGGAACTGGACTTTGCGCATGCTTGAGATCCCGACGGTGTCTTCTCTCCGTTATCAAATCAGCGAATAGCGCAATTCGCATTCGCTGTACTCCTATTAACATCATGCAAAATAAGTAGAGGGGATGTAGCTTCACCTTGCGCTCCGTTCGCCATCTTTCTCGTAATGTTGTTGTTGGTAGTGGTGAAGCGGTCAAGCGGAAATGGCTGTACCACAACTAGTTGTAATGAGAACAGCGCCACCTATCGGATATGACATGCTTTCGGCCAATGATTCGATTTATTCACTGCAATGTATATTGGGATAATAGCACCTCCCCCCGAAAGATGGCATAATCCGACTAAGCAAAGATTCGAATTATACCATCATGTAAACACACTGACAGATATGCTAACTGAAGGCTCATGATTAGCGTGTAAGACTAGGATGCTTCATGCTATTTCTAGTTTCTTAGCAATCCTTGTTTTAGCTGCTTTTTGTCAGATGTTGACGTGGTCTACCTGTACAAGTCATTTTAGGGAAAGAAATTGGGCGGCCACTGTGCAGGTATATTCCTGATTGAATGTCACAATCAATTTCTACAAACCAAAGATGGTATCCTACTCTGCCTTTTTTATAAATAAACTCCCAAACTGAACTACGCCAGATGAGTAGGAAAAACAAGCAATATTCACACTGAATACGTTGGCGCCATTAGCTATTCCTAACGTGTAAATTTGAGTTCTGTTGTGATTCATCCACACAGGTTCTCAAATATTTCTTCTGAAAAGTCACAAAAGCAGAAAAGCGAACCGTGAGTGGAGAACACCAGAATAGAAAGTGGTCATGTGATCATATTAACTTTGGGGAATTTCACCTCAAAGACATTGTGCCTCCTTCAGGTGGTTTACTAGAGTACATCCTCCAGGCTCTCGTGGTTTGATGTACAAGCTATGAGGAAAATTGTTTTTTCTTTTTTCTTTGGTAAAGGGACGGCAGCTCATGAAAAAAAAAAAAAAATCTGTGATGTTGAATTCATAACATCCTGTTTCTCGGGAAAGGGGTCACATGGGGGAGGGGAGTTGCAATGGGAGAGTCATGATTGTTTTCATTGTTCAACGAAACTCACCGGTGAGACTCAAGGCCAAAAGCAACAGCTGCGTGAGTGGAATATGGGTGGAGAACAGAAGTCGCGGGGGGTGTAAGGAGCGCCGTTCACTCGACCCTCACACACACACACACACACACACACACCTGTCCAATAATGTGCCCTAATGTTTTTCACCCTTTAGAGCCATGATCTCTGCTGCATAAACTACTTACTGTTTCGTCACCCCCCACAGTTGTGCCCATTGGCCGTATACAATAGCGGTTAGCGTGGTGGAAATAATGATATTTTTTTCCCCATATGAGATAATGAGGAGCGAGGCTGTTTACATGTGGGTTTTTCCTTATGGAAAGATGCCAGATGGGAAGCGCTTGAAATGAATGGCACTGCCTGCCTTTCTCATTATGCAACAGTACGGCAAACTCAAATCTCTAAAAGATTATCAGCCATTGTGCTGTTAACTTTGTTTAAAAAGGAGACCAGTGGGGGGCTGCTGTGTTCAATTGGCGAGAGACAATACCAGGAATGCAAGATTGGCTTTTATCTTTTATTCAGCATTCCTCTCCTTATCTCTACCCCCCTCGCTCGCTCCAGATTACGCTCTTCACTGCTCGTCCTTCGCCTCGCTTTATTTGCTGGCAACTCCTACTGTGCTCATGTCCCTGTCTTGTGGATAATATTGGCGCTGTCCTATTTCTGACCATATATAGGCATGTGTGGCACAGGACAAGTGTGTGTGTGGGGGGGGGGGGGGGATATTTTCAGGTGAAAGGTTGTAGCTCTGAGGTTCCACGGCCACTATGCAAAGGTGTGTGTGTGTGTGTGTGTGTGTGTGTGAGACCCACACATGACATCATTTCATACTGTCAGTTGGCTTTTATTTCAAATGCAAATCCTGGTTTTGGTTCAGAGTTATTCCTTTGTCTTGTGAAATTTCAGCCACTCCTTGTTTCCTCATCAGGCCATCCCATTTTTCTCCCTTTTTTCCCACCGGTCCTACACTGGAAACTCCCCGGAGTTTCACATACGTGAATGTGTGTTCGTCATCCTATTTAGCAGATGCATAGGAACAGATTCAGTCTTTCCCGGCTTCCTTTGAACGATTTAAAGGGTGTTGTAATAGTCTGTCGCTCAAGCGGTGATTTCACCAGGTCTGTCTGTCTGCAACTAAGTAAAAAGGGAGACAATCTATCGCAAGTGAAACTGACTCTTGCGTCACCGCCGCTCCGCTTGGACCCATTCCACCTAATGCTTGTTAAGACTCTACCTGTCGTTCACACAAACACCTGCTGCTGGAGATGTTCTTGCAGATTGTGGTCTAAATCGCTGTGGAATTTTTTCCACCTGGTTGTCAGAGTGAGTCTGTGCTTGTTCTCGCAGACAGACAGAGCTATTGAGAAATAAATTTGGTCTCCCCTCCTCTACCTCGTCCAGCCGGTCTTGCAGGTGCGAGTGGGTGGCAATGCGTGTGTTTATTCACCTTTCAAACCGGGATGGTGGCGGGCGGTGCTGCAGCAGCAGGGAAGGGTGCAGCAACAGATAAGAGGATCTTAGTCTGCACTTGTTTGGCTCTGCTGTAACAGTCTTTCTCTCACATCACCGCCGATGTAACAAAGAGACATGGGGGGGGGGGTGTGCAGTTTAATTTAGAGAAGAAGAGTAGTGCCAAGTGATCGTTGTGCCAGATGTAGACGGAGACTGATTAGGGCGGAAAGTGCTGGAAGAAAACGAGTTCTTTAAGACTGTTACTATCTCTCTCAAACTCTCCCTGTTAATGCTGACTGGCGATGTTCTCTGGCCCGGAGAGCTGCAGGTTGGTTGTCTCCCCAGTGCTTGCGGGCCAAACGTCGAGTAAACACAGGGTGTGACCAAAGGCTGGAGCTGCTATACGCCTCATGCTGTGCTGTTTCTGCTCGCAGAGCAAACACAATCCCATTGACACACTCTCACGGTATTCTCACCATGTTGCTGTTTTCCAAACTGAACCTGCCTTCTTCAACAAAAGGTTTCTCCTTTTCACCGCTGGCCTCCCTCGGCCGCTCATGTCTTTCTCCCTCTGCAGTCCATTCCTCCCTGTTTCTGGGCTCGGTGACCTTCTTCCCATGAGCAACTAGAGCTCGACCTCTGACCTCAACGTGATCTTTCACCTCTACAACCCAAACGACGCCCACCGGGGAAGGTGTGTATTTCTGAGTCTCCTGAAGAGTGTAAAAACAGTGTGCAGCTTCCTTTGCTTGGATGCTGTGCATTGTTGCCAGAAGCTTCCTCTTAAAATGTCGAAGGATACTTCCCGTCATGTTAAACCGACCTCGCATACACTTTAAATCTGTCTCACCATAAATCGGCATTTCTAATTTTCAATTCATAAAGTTTGCACAGTCCACCCCGATTACCCCGTGACTTTGTACAACATTTGAATGTTTCGCCTTACATTCTTTTAAAGTTCAAAACATTAGTGTTTCCTTTTGTGAAGGAAACATTCTTGGCAACACTCCAATGCGGGTTTGCTTTGCCAGGTCGACACTGCAGAGGATCCCCCCCCCCCCCCAAATCTTTAAAAAAAAAATGTTTTGATCTAGTTTGTATCTAAGAAAGTGTATTCTGTTGAATCTGACTTTATTGGCCTGCATGCAGAGGAAGGGATATTTGCCAATGTAATTTAGAGTCATTATCTCTACTGTAATGATGAACAACGCAACAACCCGAGTTTTAAAGACTGCGGTCCCCCAATCATCTCAGCCTGCTGCACCTCTGCTGTCAGACCCGACATTTACAGTCATTACCAGACCTTTAACAAGAAATAATAATCAAATGAAAGTTTTATTGTTTTGAATTATTTAATTTGACATCATGCAACCCAGGATAATTTCTCTCGTTGCACCTAAAGTTGGCAGTAATGCAAACCACACTCTTCTTCAAAGCGGATGTGTTCAGATATTCCCAAAGGAAGCTTGAAATTTGAGCACGCGATCACCTTTTATTCTGTCGGAGGGGGGCTGAATGAATGCATGCATGAGTGAGTGAGTGAGTCACTACACGGTGCCAGCCATTCAAAGGAGAAGACCTCGGAAACAAGAGCCCAGTGTAGTCGGGGAGTTTCTGTGTCTGGGATTAAGCCAGAGACATGCCGTTACAGTTGTGACTGTGCTATATATTGAGTTAACAGGAAGTTGAGTCACAGTGTCGACCCCAACCTCCTTCACCGTAAAAGATCCACATTCCCTGGATTTTCGCTGCTCTTCGTATGAAAACAACAGAGTGTGTGTGTGTGTGTGTGTGTGTGTGTGTGTGTGTGTGTGTGTGTGTGTGTGTGTGTGTGTGTGTGTGTGTGTGTGTGTGTGTGTGTGTGTGTGTGTGTGTGTGTGTGTGTGTGTGTGTGTGTGTGTCTCCCCCCCCCCTTTGGGGCCGTGTAGTGTGTATGGAGCAGCGTGAGAGCGCAGCCGCTCTGCTGGAGTCTGTCAGGGAGCAGGAGGTGCAGTTTGAACAGCTGACCAGGGCACTGGAGGATGAGAGGAGGAGAGTCGGCCTCCCCGCCACCAGCCCCTCTGCCCTGGGTCACCTCCTCCCTCACACGCAGGTAACCCTCCCCAACAAACACCCGGTCCGGAGTGTCTCATCTGCGTTAACCTCCCCATCATAACATCCAAATCGTTGATCACCTTTTTTTTCCCATCAATTCATCTCATCCCATCCGCTGCCTGCTCGCTCTTCCCCGCGCCCGGCCAGTCGGCGTCCGTTTGTTTGTGACCTCATTGATCGTCCTTCACTCCCTGGCGCTGTGTCGCTGAGGTCTGCCAGGCGACACAGTTCTTTCCCCGCACGTAGTTTCAGTACATTTCATTTTTATTTAGCATGCCTGAGATGGTCATCGCACACTTTTCTGCATGCCTTCGCTGTCACTCACCGGATACGGTCTTGACGCAAATGTGTGCACCTTCCACCGCGGCCCCTGCTGCGGAATCCGCGTGATGCTCTTCTCTGTTGCAGCATGTCGCGACTCGTTATCGAGCAGTCATCTGTCCTGCATGTGTCACCAAGTGTAGTTCCTTTTTCCTCCAAATGCTTTTTACATTTTATTTATACCACTTCTCTTTTTCTGTGTGGGCTAATAGCATATAGATTTTGATCTATAAGGCATTTATTTTGCTGGTAGACTAAATTGCATTTTAATTATTTCTTTGTTTACATTGGTTTTTACAGCTGTTAGTTGATCAGCTTTCCTGTCTGAAGACTCACTCTGTTATTTGCTGGTTTTGTTTGTATTTCCTTTTATCAGAATACTTTACGAACAGACCAGTAAGCCATTAAGTTCTTAAAAGCTTTGGGGAGCAGTTAAAGCAAACCAATTATCAGTGTTGTATTCATTCATTCATTGTTGACAGTAAAGCACTTTTTCCTGTGACGTTGTCCACTGACTTGGGAGAAAATGTAAAACTATTCTAAATCTTTTCCATTCTAGGGCTCCCTGCCAGAGGTCATATCGCTTTGAATCCTTGGAAATAAATGACTTTGTTCCTACGAGGCACTTATAAATAATCTTTGTCCTTGTGCTAACTAAATGTTTTAAAAATATGACTGCTGATGAAGAAAGGCTTGTTGACATCAGTCGGCACATTTCTCAAATCTTCACACGGTTGTTGGTAAATTTAATGTGAAATTATAGGAAGGACGAGCTGTAAAGGAAGTGAGCCCTTGTTAAAAGTCCCCTTCCCATTCCTTTCAGTAGCAGCCTGCCTCCTCATGGTCTCAATGCAAAGTGCAGTACAACATACTACTGCTAATGACGTTGGATACGGATTAGGTTCGGTCAGTTAAATGCAGCACACTGTAGAAGTGTAAAGGCTGAAATGCATCGTCTTATGCTTAGAAATTGAAAATGTACTAGAAAATAAAGTTTTCTGAGCCCTAGGCTATATTTTTGACATTCAAAGTAGCTAAATATTTAGTTCTCGCGGCATTATTTAGAGATGTAAATGGTTAACACTCAAAACCGCCAAAAATTCGCACCATCATGTTCTCGTGCGTGGTGGCAGACCAGGAGCTCTTTCTCAGCTCTTCGAGCGCCACCGATTGATTTACGTTCGCCGTTCTGTGACTGACTCGCTCACCAATTAGTTTTGTGCTGAAAGGGGGAATTCGGGCTCGTGGGCTTTGCTCATGTGCATCGATCTACATGCGTTTTGCAGGATGCTACGAGCACCGTGAGCTCCTTGTAGTGACAATTTGACACATGCCTGGAACCGTTGGTAGTGTCAAAGACCTGAACTAACCGTAACCTGGGACAACCCTTAAAAGGAGCAGGTATTGCTGGGAGAGATTTCCAAACTACCAATTATTCAGAATTCACATGTGACTCCGCTCAAGGCGAGTACTGATAACCGAGGCGGCCATGATGCGTTGCGGTGTTACTCGGGGTTGGGTAGAAAATTGTTATACAGTGTGACAGTCGTTGGTTGCGTAACCGCATACAGTGGGAAGTGGGGTGTGAAGACAAGGGGCCGCACTCAAAAACGTCCTCACTCATGTCTGGCAGTAATTCACAAACTATAAACGCAGAGGGACAATTTGTCAGCAGGACATGTGCTTATGCAGGGGTAATATCATCTGGGACGCTTTAAGAAATCTCACACCTAATCATAACTTTGACGTGTTGCGTCAGCCAAATCCTATTTGAAATGTGTACAATATGCATCTCACAGTTGTCTTTCGTCTCAGAACGGGCGTCTAGGGGATGCAGACATAGAACGGCTGAAACTGACAGACTCGTATTTAAACAGCACACAGGTATGCCTTTTGTGTGTACAGGTCGTCATTTTGTATTTGTTGCGGTAAGTGCGAGTGATTTTTAAAACTCAAACTGCGGTTTGCCTCCACAGTACAGGATGGTGGACCCCGCACACGGCGCTCTAGATGACGGCTACACACCAGAGGATGACTCCCAGGAGGTGCACTCTGTCTTTTCTGACGAGGGACCCACACGGCGGCTGGACAACGGCGTGAGTCATTGGGACACATCAGATGTTTTATGCAAAGTCAATTTGAATTTTTTATTTTTATTTTTTTCTTGCTGAATTTGTTTATCCCTGATCATAAACACATTTTGTTGCATCATCGCGTTCCCCCCCCCCCCCCCTTTTTTATTTATTTATTTTTTTAGATGAAGAAACCAATCACACGCACAGTCCTGCCCTCCGACTCGATGTCCATTGACGGCGGCCTGTCGGTGTCCGGTATGGGCGGCTACAGCGCCACCCTGGACCGTCCTTACCGGCAGCCTGGACCGGGAGACTACCCCACTGCCACAGTGCCCAGGAACTACCACTATGCCCCCGTAGGGGGCTATGATGACTACCGGGGAGGCCCACCGTCGGAGGCATACACGAGCCTGAGCAGGGGCTCGCACATGGACGACCGCTACAGGTACAACCCCCCCATGGACAGTTCAGTGACTGCTTTTATTGGGGTGTTGATTCATTCTGAAATGTGTTGCCCTCAACATAAGTTGGCAACATAAGCCACTGTATGTCTGTTAAATCTGTAATTGGGATCTCACAAACAACTTCTCTCATTCCATTCTTCACCCCCAGGCCAGTTGACGGCTACCGGACCTTGGACTCCGGCTACCGCGCCCCGAGCCGCCAGCAGCTCGACCCGTATGCGGCACAGCCCCAGGTGAGCCGGGGGATGAGGGCCTTGGGCTCGGCGTTGGAGGTGCGGTACGGCCACGGCCACTACGGCCTGGAGGATGACCAGCGCAGTGTGGGATACGATGAGTACGGCATGGGTCCTCCACCTATGCACCCCGGAGGCTACGGTACCATGCCACGCTTGGGACCTGGCCACGTGACCATGGACAGACGAAGACTCAGGTACCCCCCACACACACACAAACACACTTTTTTTTTTTTTTGTATGAGCGTAAACAGGCAACCAATGTTTCTCTATCCGTCTCCCTCTTCGACGTGCAGGAGCTGTGAGGACACTTTGGACGGTGACGTGATGGGAGTCGACCCGTATGCTTGGGGCGTTCCCATGACGATGGAGAGGGGAAGCATGGCGTCACTAGACAGCACACTAAGGAAGCCTCCTCCTGGTTCGTGGAGGCAGCCAGAGCTGCCAGAGGTCATCGCCATGTTGAACTACCGCCTGGACCCCGTCAAGACCAACGCAGCTGCATTCCTCCAACATCTGACATTCAGAAATGACAAGGTAGAACATTGATGACCATTTAAGTGTGTTTTTTACGTTAAAATAAAACTTATCTTTTTGTGTTGGGGCTATTCGGTAAATCCTTAATTTAAACTTTTATGATCCTGTGCACGTGTGTTTAGGTAAAGTCGGATGTGCGCCGCCTGAAGGGCATCCCATCCTTGGTGTCGATGCTAGACCACCCCAGCAAGGATGTGCACCACTCGGCCTGCGGGGCACTAAAGAACATTTCATACGGGCGAGACCACGACAACAAGATCGCCATCAAGAACTGCGACGGAGTGCCCGCGCTGGTCAGGCTGCTGAGGAAAACCCACGAGCAGGACCTCACTGACACCATCACAGGTATCCACATTGTGTGAGACTTTGACGGGTTCTCTGATGTGTGTATGTTTAGGGCCGAACGCTATTTCAGTGCCGATAACGTTGCTTATTATATTGCCGCAGGCACCTTGTGGAACCTCTCGTCCCACGACTCTGTAAAGATGGAGATTGTGGACCACGCCCTGCACGCCCTCGCCGACGAGGTGGTCGTCCCTCACTCCGGCTGGGAGCAGGCGAGCAACGGTGGGGAGGAGAGCTGCAAGCCCCGCCACCTGGAGTGGGAGACCGCCTTGACCAACACTGCTGGCTGCCTCAGGTGTGCGAGCGGAACCATAAGTCACAAGAGGAGGAGGAAAAAGAGGCTGTTCTGGGGAAACGGTGCGGTTATGTGCTTGAACCGCTTCCCTCTGTCCAACAGGAATGTGAGTTCAGAACGCAGCGAGGCCAGGCGAAAGCTGAGGGAATGCACGGGATTGGTGGATGCCCTCATGTACATTGTCCAATCACAGATCAACCGCAAAAATGTGGATAATAAGGTACCTGTTGACCTCAGTCAGATGACACATCTTGCGCAACCGAAACGCCACTTTTTTACCATGGCTCGTCTCTGATCGCCTCGTTCTCTCATCTCTCCCTCCCTGCAGTTGGTGGAGAACTGTGTCTGCCTGCTGAGGAATCTGTCCTATCACGTTCACCGCGAGGTCCCCGGCTGCGAGCGCTTCGCCGAGACCACTCCCGACAACCAGGGGCCGGCCCCAGCCAACAAGGGTGGCTGCTTTGGCTCCCGAAAGGGCAAAGGTCAGTGTCGAGACGGCCTAGAGTTGTCGTTTTTTTTTTTTGTCTGGCTCTTGGGCAGCTGCTGGTGGATTTGAGTTTGTTTGGTGGCAGAATCACCTGTGGCTTGTTTTACACACTCTACCCCTGTTTCCCTTTTCCTTTCTCTTTATCCTTCTTTCTTCCAACCCTCCTTCACTTCGTCCCTTTGTTCTCTGCTCTATTTTAGATGAGTGGTTTTCAAAAGGTAAGATTCTCCTGGTGCCCGTAAACTTTTGAAATGATCAACCACTCTCCATTTACATTACTCATTTTTTGTTTTTTTTTCTACCACAGAGTAACACTCTGCTAGAGAAATGAATGTCCAATATCCATCACATTTCATGAGCATGACTCTCTGCAAACAACTGCATGTTCAGTGTTTGTTCCAGTGGTTGCATGGTCGCATTTCACATAACGACGTGAAGGACTGAGGCGAAACCGGCCGATCTCGATCAGCCTCACAGAATCTGCATATCCTCACTTCAGTCTTTCATATATATTTTTAAATTCTTTCCCTTCACAGGAAAGAAGGATGGCGACGATGGAAGTGGCGATCAGATCGACATTCCAAAGAGGACGACACCCGCCAAAGGTGTGCGGGTCTTTTTCATTCAGATCGGTCATGAACGATCAGAATTATTGATTGTTGCGGTCACAAAAATCTTTAACCCTAAACTTCATCTTCAATTTCAGGCTACGAGCTTCTGTTCCAACCGGAGGTGGTTCGCGTTTACACGTCGCTGTTCAGAGAGAGCAAGAACCCTTCGGTGCTCGAGGCCGCCGCCGGAGCCATCCAGAACCTGTGTGCCGGCCGATGGACTGTTAGTACCCCGTCTTGATTAACTCTATCTCTGCTGTTGAGTGTGGGAGGGCAGGGGGGTGTTGGAGAAATATTTTCAGGTGTTTTGGGTCTCTGACGGTAAATCCAAACCCATTAGCCAGATGTAATCAATGGTTCTGGTTGTCTCGTGAAGTTATTGCCTTCAATGCTCCTCTCTCTGCTCGCCCTTCAGTATGGCCGGTATATCAGGGCCACCGTGCGTCTGGAGAAAGGTCTTCCCATGATGGCGGAGCTACTGGCTCATGGCAATGACCGCGTGGTTCGAGCGATGTCCGGAGCCTTGAGGAACCTCTCCATCGACAGACGGAACTGCCAACTGCTCGGTAAGGACGCGGCACTCTTTGTCCAAACAAGCTACAAAACACTAGAATGTAGCTTGTGCATCTCTTGGATAATTATTTATTTTAAATGCAATATTTTGTACGTGGGTTTTAGTTTTTTTTTTTTTCTGCGATTCTATCACTTTAGTCCCTTTTTTTTTTTTTTTCTCACCTCCCCGCGTGTCGCCTGCAGGTTTGCATGCGGTACCTCACCTTGTGGCAAACCTTCCGGGAGGCCAGAGTCAGTCTGGGCGCGTCCTATCGGAGGAGACGGTGGTGTCTGTGCTGAGCACGCTCACTGAGGTGCTAGGCAACAGCTTGGAGGCAGCAAAGACCCTCCGAGCCTCTCAGGGCATCGAGAGGCTGGTGCTCATCAACAAGGACGGGTAAGTGTGAATGGCCCAAAATTTAGTAAAAAATTTGCACTTTTTGTTTTTGATGAAACACTGCTTTTGACAATCGATGGATAAACAAACAGTAAATAATTGGTTACCCTTACATTTCTAAGAGGGGGGGGGGGGGGGAAATGTGTCTGACCCTTTCATCAGCGGGCTGTTTAACAAAATAAAAAATACCGCAAACTAATCGTTCAGTGACACTGTGGACGTGCGTCTGTGTCCTCCAGCAAGCGGTCGGAGCGCGAGGTGCGGGGCGCCGGTCAGGTGCTGCAGCTCGTCTGGGCCCACAAAGAGCTGCGCAAGCCTCTGGAGAAGGACGGCTGGAAGAAGACTGACTTCATGGTCAACCTCAGCGCCGCCAACGGCCCGAGCACCCGAGCCAACGGCACCTACGAAGACGGCACCATGCCGCTGCTGGACAAAGGTCGGTGTGCAAGGAACAAGTTCCTGTTAAAAACAGCTGGTCAGCGCTTTAAAGCAGTCATTGGGAAGTTCCGTTTAGTCTAACTTGTGACTGTTTTGGGTCTTCTTTTTTTTTTTTTTTTTTTAGGGGAAAAGAGAGACATGATTCCACTAAATGACCTCGGCCCTGGTTAGTTGATTTTTATAATTTTCTTTCAATTAAGACTCATTCCTCAGAATCTGGATGAGGTGAAGTATTCAGTCGTTCTCATTGTTGTCGTCTCATTTCCTCAGAGGCTTATTCGACACTGGACCAGAGGGAGAGGAGACACACTCTGGACGAAACCACTGACACTTTACCGGTACTTCTTTAACTTAGTCACGAACGTTCACATTGAATGTCTCACCTAACTACACTAACCCCTAATCTCTCACACCAATACCAATATTTCCTCACTTCAACCTTCTCCTTTTTTGGGCAGCTTTTTAAAGCTTCACAATTACTTTTTCTTCTCACGCACTTCCTCTTCTCTTTCTCTGGTTGTCTCTCAGCGAGGGGTGTATGGGGGCAGAAAGGGCTCCTTGCCCCTGTTGGACTCCTACGATGGTTAGCCCTCCCCTCTACCCCCTCTGCATGTAACAGCATGGTATGTCCAACTCACCTCTCGTCCTGCATGGACTTCAAGAGCTCTGTTCCACTTTTTATTTTTTTTTTATTTTTTATATTTGTCTCTAACCTGGTCTGTCTATGGTGGCGTCCTGATGTTTAACCAAAAGAGGCCCTCACGTGACGTGTACACTTCCTCCCAGTACGCTGCCAGCTGCTCACGTTGTGCTGCGTGCCGTCTGTCAGTGCAGAGGTCAACCTCAAACAGATGATTTTAAAAAGTATATCCTCAATAATGGCTTTGGGTTCTGCAGTGGTGTTGTCACAATACCAGAACTCGGACCATGATACCAATGTAGAATTAAAAACTCAAGTTACTGCGTAGAATAAAAAACCTAAAGTTTAACACTGCTTTGCAACTTTTGAATGTCATCGTCCTCAGTTTGACACAGTGGACTCGCCTCAGGAATGTAGTGTGTTTAATACTAGTGTCCTGCTGTGAAATATTTGGCACTTACGATGCTTTCTTTCTGGTCTGCATTGATGTTCAAGGCCTCTTGTGGCTGTCTGCGGTATAACAACAACATACAATATGTGCACATTTAGTGAGTTAGATACGGTCGTCTGCTATGAAGTAGTTTGTATTAATTTGAGATATATACAGATATAATGTTTGAAAAATACAATTCTGTTTTAGATTGATATTAAAGTACATCTGTTGATAGTGACTGCACTACCTAGCTGTACTTGTACCACACGTTCTTTGTTGCTTTCGGGAGGGTTTTGTGTTCATGTTTTAACGCATTTTCTCTCATCCTCCAGAAAAACTGATAGTGTGCATCACCCAGACTGGGCCGTCCCTGCCCTACCACTGCTACTGAGGAGAGAGGATCCAGATGCACAGACTCCCTCCCTCCCGCCTTCCCTCTCCTCCGCTTTCTCGCTCTCTCTCCATCACCACACAGATGGGATTAGAAGAGGAGGGTTGGCATCCAAAGAAAGTGGCCGTGTTGCAGTCAAACTATTTCATGCAACACGCACCTACTTTTTACAACTTCATTTAATTGTAGCAACAGAAATGTATTCCGATTTTTAAATTATAATTCTCCTCCAAAGGCAGTCACCTTTGACAATCATTTAATCGTGGTGTTTTCATCCTGCTTTTTTTTTTTTTTCTTGCTATTGTCGACATTTTGTTAAATTCTGTCAAGCCAACACCCGCATCCTGATGAGGAATTTGTACGTAGACGTCTATGTAGGGTATATACTGTATATAAAAAGAAAATGGGATGACTGCATTAGTTTTGGCTCATTTATTTAAATCCTCCCTTTTACTGGGAGTGTTGGAGTTTGAGGCCGACAGACGGACATTTGCCGGTTTAGATTGAGAATGTTTATATAGGAGTTATTTTCTCTGTTGGGATGAGCACAGGTGTAGACAAGGAGTGTGTATGTGAGAATATGGACCTTGGAGTGAGTGAGGTTTTTTTCTTTTTTTTGTGCGCGTGCGCACGGACCAGACCCACAAGACGCGTTGCTTATTTCATCCGTTCAGGTTGTTTTTTTATGGTGTGTTCCTCCTGCTGTGATAGAGCTTCCGTTTCATCCACCCACTGCCTCTTTGTATTTGATGACTTAGTTCCCCCCCTGACGTAAAAAGGAAGAATACAATTGGACTTTATTTTTGACACGTCAAACTTGGCACTGAAATGTGAACCTCGGAACATTATACACTACTAAAGCAGTGCGAAGCAACTCTACTGTCAAAGCTTCACACCAGAAACGACCAACTCTGAGGTTTATTCCTCATTAAACAACTAACCCTTCAGGAGGGGCTTTTTGGGTGGGGAATATTTATCTTTTTTTGAAGTCATTACTTCCTGTATTTTTTTTTATTTACAATATAAAAGTTGATGGCAGTCATGTTTTTACAAAAACTCCTAAATATGGAAGACTTTTTTCACAGGAGAATTGGATTCCAACAGATATTTAGGGAGGGATACTGATGTTCTATTTAATTTGGGAGGTGGATGAAAAGTACTCTTGTCTGTCATCCACATGTTTTAAACTTCTTGTATTTTTTCCACTTTGTTTTTTATTTCAGCTTTGTCTGTATGGGAGAGCTCATTATGCGAGTTGATTTGATTTTATTAGTTCAAGTTTTAACCCTGTTTTTTTTATGGCAAAAGAGACCAATCATCTTTGTTTTTTTTACTCTCCACACATAGTATATTTGTACTGTTGCCTATCCATGTAAAATTATGATGTACGATTCATACCTGCCTTGGCTGAGAATTCTGTAACTGGTAAAACTGTTTTTATAAATAAAGATCTTTTCTTAGACAAGATTTGGGGGCTTGTGATTGATGTGGCGAGGAAGGACACGTCTCATTAGGATATCATTTTATCTCCTAAGTTAAAGCAAATAAGATCTTTACTCTGGAACACAATGTGCGCCCTCTTATCGAGGCTCCTTATCCGCCGACTTGTGTCGCCATTGAGCGAGGACGTGAAAGTGTCCCACGCGTCCGATAGTCCTCCCACGCGGGCGGCGCAGAAGCAGCTGCTGTGTCATAAGGTCTGTTGGTAACTGGAATACGCTATGTAACACTTAATACTTGCTGCATTAAATAGATTTACAGTTTACAAATTCAGCATTAGTTTTCCTAGAGACGTTTTCTTGATGAGCTGCTGGATTATTATTCACTTTTTGAATCACTTCAGGAAGGAAATTCTTTGCGTTTGCATCTCTCAAACAGGGCGACAAATCCCTCCTGAAACACACACATGAGCACGTGAGCGTTGCTGTAAGACATTAGAACACATGGACATTTTCCTTTACGGATGAAGCATCAGTTCTCCGTTACTGGTCGCAGTGAGGAGACTGCGTAAAGGAAGTCATTAAACGTAACTGCAGCCCCAGGATTCTTAATGTTGCAATCATATATTTGAGCGACAAGTAAGGGTGTGTGTTAGTCACCAATGTGTTGTAAATTTGAGCCCCCTCCCTTAACCAGCAGAGTCCCCCCCCCCACTCCTCCCTGGTGCTTGTCACATCTATTTAAGGTCCTTCTCGTGCTTCACTTTTCCCTCTCGATTCTTCTCTCGAGCTCAATAGAAGCAGCAGCATTTGATTCCAGCAGGCGAGAACTGTCTGTGGGGGGAAAACTGGAAAACGCCAACGGAATATAAAGTGCTCAGAGAGGAATCATTGTTGGGTGGAATTTAGCGGCCCCCGTTGGTGAGAACACCACCTCAGTGGGAAACCACACCACTGGGAGCAGGAGGGGAGGAGGGGGGGTGTTATGTAAGGGCCTCGAGCTTCCTTCTCGTGTGATCTCCGGACCTGATTCTTGGAGTGAAATGAGTACAAACGGAGCTGCGGTTTGAGAGCAGCGAACTGCTCATTCCGCCCTCTGGACTCATGGAGACCAACGGCGTCGCCACGGCGTCCTCTTCAATCTCCGCCGACGAGTCCCCCGATGGGACGGCGGCCCCGGATTCCTCCCGCCACACCTCCCACGCCGACAGGCAGGGCGGGCTCTGCGGCCTCGGCTACTGGGCCTCGGTGGCCTGGCACCACCTCAGGCCCTTCATCCCCTTCCTCCTCATCAGCTTCATGGTGGTGGCCCTCGTCTACCTGTTGCAGGCCATCGTCTTCGGGGGGCCCTTCAAGGACCCGGACTTCTTCGCCAAGTTCAACGAGCGCTGGCCCCGGCCCGCTCCGGCCCAGAAGAACTCCCCGACGGCTTCCAAGTTCTTCAGCCCGGTCCCCTCCACGTCCTTTGAACAAGTGCTCTTTCAACTGCACGGAGCCAACGAGACACTGTGACCACTCACCGCTAAAAAGGAGGAAATGTTTCTGTTTTTCTGTGAATATGATCAACAATGACTAACCAGGGAAGGCGCAGGAGGTTTCAGTGCTATTAAAAGCAGACCGCAGGATTCTTGGACTTTATGAGTCATTTATCATGAGTTCCATGTGTGTTGACATGCCAGTCCTTTTTAACGAAGGACTACAGGTTAGAAAAGAACCTGAATCCAGCGTCAGCCTGAGCCACGTTCACATAACAACCTTTTCAACTGGACCGTGCTGCAATTCGTTAATGCATTTTGCCTCTAAGGGAACTTTATGAAGGTTTTAAGTGTAGCGGCCTGATACATGGATACAAGATTCCTGCTGTTATGACTCGCTTCACCACAATGCAAGCAAACAGAGGAAACATTGTATTGCAAGGACTTTACCGACGTGAAACCTCATATTGGCTGAATAGAGGCCATTTTCTACCGAACAAATACTGTCTGCTGCATAAAAAAACACTACAAACTACTTTAAAGACAGTTTGATGTACTATTCTGGGGGAGCCGTTTGTCACCTCTAACATGGCTTCCCATTACACTTGCACATAACATTATAAACGTGTTAAGCTGCATGTAATACTATCATATATGTTGGCACCGATGCTGGCACAGAGGCCGCGGGTGACAGGTGGCCTGGCAGCTGTGTTCCACACAACATATAGGTGGATAAAAATATCATATTCATATTTCACCGGGGTGGAGTGTGGGAAGTCGTTCATTAAAATGGTTTACCTCGAATAAGATCTTAACCAGTTGGGTGGAAGCAATTGACACATTGTTTTATTGCGTCTCAGACCACTGTGGTAGTATAACGTTATGGTTACTTTTGAGGTTTGTGGTGGTCGTGCCATATTGCTGCCAAAATGTATTGAAATATTAGAAAATCTGTTACAATCTGCCCTTCAAATGCAGTAAAATCTTTCAGGGTTAAAGTTGCAATTATACAGTGTTGAAACCACCAGTAATAGTTATGCATTTGAAATCTTAATCAAAGCCTGTTGCTACATGTTAAAATTGGGCTAATTGTAATTCATTTTCGTTAATACTATAAAATAATTGTATACTGTTGGACTATTTTGAAGCTTTGAAGTAAGTGTAGGAGAAAAAACATTTGGTAACAAACTAGTCAACACGAACTGTAAAATAGCATTAAATGGAAATGGCCGAGTGTAGTACTTGAGTAAACTGTACTCCACCACTGTCCAATTAACCAGGTAAGAGGCTAATATTTTAAGGCGAAGAGAGAAGTAGTAGACGGTAACTATCTTGTGTCTTTCCTCTCACTGTCTTTGACTGACAGCTGGCGTGCGGGGGAAAGGCCCGCCCCCTGGTGGCGGAGCGATATGTGCCGTTGCCACTTGGGAGACGTTGACCTGTGGATGACCTCTTCAAAACGGCCAGAAGAAATCAAGAGTAAAATACTCTTTGTTTATCTTACTTTGACGTACACCACGTTTAACCAAAACTAATGTTATTTCTTTGACGTAGAAACGGATTTTATAGGGAGCGTTAAGACGGTGAGTAAAACCGAGGTGCGTCACCTGCCCGCGCTTATGTGTAACGCCGTCACCGCCAGTCGACAGAAAGTAGTTCTAACCGCTCCGTTGCTTTCGGAGGTTTAGTAAAATTAGATAATGTGAATGTTGATGCATGTTGACTCATGGGTGGTCTCATGTAGACTAGTTTACTCGTCCATGCTCTGTACTGGGCGGTTGTCTTTCGAAGTGCTAGCTGGCTGCTAGCAGTGATGCTAACCTGCAGATTAGCATTAAAGATAACTTCTAACGTCAATGCACGAGTTTTTGTTTGAACCTTTTAAGGTATCTTAGATAACTATACTATGAGTCCACTCTCCTGGAAGACACAAACTAAGCCTGCTAAAATCACTGTACTAATTGTTCGATTAACTTAACGTTGAATGTGACGTTATCAATCAGACGGTTAGGCCATAAACCACGTATATCTAAATAAAGTTACAGTACTAATAGAGTAGTATACACATTCAAATAAAATAACTACAACATCTCAATTGATCAATTATGAATGATTTAGTTTGATCCAACTGTACAGCGGACTGCTGTGATTAAAAATAAAGTAATTCTTGGTCATAATGTGCAGTTTTTCTATGAATTCAAGAAAACAATGTTTAAAACACAGACAAGATCCCAGTCACAATATTCAACGCAGAGCAAGAGTTAGAAATGTGCTGAGCGGGAAGCTTTTGTCGTTTTCTATTCATTGGATAGTATTTGTTTTGTTTTCACATGCTGAACGACTGCATAAATAAGTGTATGAAATGCATATTGCATCTCTTATTCAAGCTCTTGGGTTACGATTCTTTGACGTACTTTCTAACGAGATTTGCAAACCTTCCCAAATCGTTACTAATCCGTCCTCACTCTGCTCCTCCCCTGAAGGTGACGGGGGAGATGTGGCGCTACCAAAAGCCGGGGTTCCAAGCCCTCCTCCTCGCCGAGCTGCAGAGGCAGCAGCAGGGCCGCCAGTTCTGTGACACTCTGCTCAAAACAGAAGGTGTGAACACACGGCGCCGTCTCGCTCCTCCTTTGGGCCGACCTCGTTTAGGCGACATCATCTCATTGCTTTTGTCGTCGCTCCTGACATCTCTCCTTTCCTTCCAGGCGTATCGGTGCCGGCGCACAGTTGCATTCTCTCAGCCATCAGCCCCCACATCGCCTCCGCTCTGTCCTCCGCGCCGCCGCTCCTCGCGGGCCAGAGCCGCCTCCTGGAGTTCCGGGCTCTCCGAGCCTGCACGCTGCTCAACGTGGTCCGACTGGTGTACTCTGGAGAGATGGCAGGGGAGGGTGGGGAGGAGGAGAAGCAACAGGCGATTTCGGCCGCCGCCGAGCTGGGCATCCACGGGCTGGTGGAGGTCACAAAAGAAAGAGACGGGGAGGGCAGGCGCGAGGAGGGCCGGCGCACAGGGATGAGCGCGCAGACGGAGGCACCGGTGCCTGGGAGGAATGAAGGGCAGGAGGGCAGGTGGACGAGAGAAGTCACAAATGGGAGCGTCTTCCTGTGGAAGGAGACGACGTCGTCAAGCGGTAAAAAAGACACGTGGACTCAGACAGAAGAGTTGCAAGTAGCTTCAGCTCCTCCGTCGCACACCGCGGCCTCCTTTGAGACCATCGACATGGCCGCCTTCCAGGGTCTAAGACCAGGTGATTCCCATCTTGCTCTCCCTCAAGTTCCCTACGTGCCCTTGTCCCTCATCTACCTGCCAGAGGAAAACCAAATACACCCTCCTCCACCGCAGACCTTCGATCCGTACTCCAGCCACGTGGCCACAGGTCCTGTTGACCTTCAGAGCTTGTGGGCTGACCCCCAAGGAGCCGCCTTGGATTTGGATGTGACGGCAGCGAAAGAAAGGGAGGTCAAGTGGTTAGAGCAGTTTCAAGGCAACATCCCAGGATACATCAGCTACTACCTGAACCCGGAGGAAGAGGAGGAAGAGGAGGAGGACGGCTTTGTTGGAGGGCGAGCTAGGAGGCGGCGGAGTGCCGGGCAGGGAGGCGCCAGGAGAGCTGGGACAGGTGAGAGGAGAGACAGGAGACCACGAGCCAAAGCGGGAGGGAGAGGAAGGTTTCCGCAGCGGGTGGATGTGCAGGAGGTGGGGGCGAGCAGGCTGCACAAGGTTTTCCTGCAGAGGTCGAGGTCGTCCAGAGCGGGTCAAGGGGGAGGAGCCGTGGGCAGGAAGCTGGACCTGAAGACCAGAGAGCTGCTGAGGTTGGCCAAGACGAGAAAAGGGCGCGGCAAAGTGTGGGAGTTCAGCCAGAGTGGAGACGTGTTGACCAACAGCGAGTGTGGAGGAGGAGGAAGAAGAAGGAGTAGAGGAGGCAACACGCAGCAGTTTAACCAGGTGAACAAAAACGTGACACAAAACAACAACAACAAAATTTGAAAATAAGTGTCTATTAAAGATTTTAACAGCTTTTTACTTTTTGAAATGAATTAAATAATTAGGAAACAAGGGTGGAGGAACAAGTCTGACAGTCAAAAAATCTACAATGGTATTTAAAAAAATAATAATAGTCTGGTTTTCACCAAGTAATCCTAGTAACTGTTCATTTCTACCCTCAACTACTTTGTTGTACTTTAAGGTAAACAACATGGTAGCTTGGTGTTCATGGTTTTAACTTTATATTAGATTCTTACTCTCTAAACTACGACGCACTACACATTTTGAGGTCTTTGTACCTTTGATCTTTCTCCCCGGTTACAGGATGGTCTTCCTGTTGCCAGGGCTAGGAGGGCGAGGGCCAAACCAGCGGCATCCGTTTCCTTTTCTTCCCCTTCTCCCTCACCCGCAGCCTCCACCCGTCCTCCATCCTTGTGCCTCCCTCCTCTGCCCCTCCCCCCCCAGGAGGAGCAGCCAGAACACTTAGGTCGGCTGCTGGAGGAAGCGATGGTGGGCCTGGACATTCTACCCATCAGCCACAGCGCTCCACATTCCCGGCCTCCCCCTCCAGCAGTTGGCGGCGGTAACGCCACACGTGGCAATACTTTAGTCCAAAAAAAAGAATGCAGGCGAGCCCCAAGACGGGGTCTCCGCAGGTCCACGCGGGTTGCGGCTAAAGCCGGAGGAGGCGCCACCTCCAACGGCGAGCTACCCGTTCTGCAGCAACAAGGCGAGGGAGAGCTGAGCGAGGTGCTGGAGAACCTCCTCCAGACCTTCGAGCAGCACGTCAACAGCTGCACTGCGAGGGCGGCGGAGGAGGCGGGCGGGGAGAGCTGCCAAGCCACGCCTCCCAAGAATACAGAGGAGGCGCCGCCGAAAAAACGGAGGAGAGGTAAAAAAACCGATTACCCGTTCTCGCTGGAGAGAAAGACGCCACGGAAGCCGGCGGCATCGAGTGTCGCGATGGCGGCAGATGCCGCTGCCGCCGCCCGAAGGGACGAGCAGCTGCGGCAGATGCCCGTGGTGAAACTGGAGAGGAGCGGCCCGCTGCCGGACCGGGTGGCGCTGCCCAAACGCAGCTGTCCAGAAGTCAAGGTGACGAACTTCTCCCTCCGCTAAAAGCCTCTCGACGACGTCTGCTGTCACCATCGGTGGAGCGACGACCCGCCCGCGGTTCACTAGGATTGTGACCGATGGTATCGGAGCGTTTGTCAGTGTGCGTGTGTTTGTGTTCTTTCAGAGTCGTACTAAAGCAAAGGCCGGTTCCCCGTCAGTGAAATACGGGCGACAGTCCTTGGTCATGGAACCGTACCCGATCAGGAGCAGGTTAGCAGGGGCACATGTCGCGGTGAGCTTTGTCCGTTTTTACATTTTCTTTTAACAAGATCGCACACCTTAAGAAAGCATACGTGACTTCCATAAAGACAAAAGACAGAGTTTTGTTCAGACATTGATGGATCCCATCGGCTTTTCCTCACATCGGCATGCTAGAACTGTCCCTCCGCGCGTTAGCGTAATGACGTTAGCGTTGAGCTCAAAGCACAGCCGAGTCCCAGTTCAGCTTCTCAGAGCTACAGACATTGCTGTATTTATATATTTGTATTTGTATTGTCTTCATTTGATTAACAGAACAGTTTGTCCTTACTTAAGGAGCCATGTCGGATTAGCCGGGGGCCCCCGGAGGCTAAACCACACTGCTGTCCAGACAACGGCAATAAAGAACCGCGGCTCGGGCAAGCCGAGGACGGTTCGACGCGCGAGCAGACGGAGACGCCGGATGTGGACGGAGTCCCCGAGGACGACCGCTGCCGCGGCGGAAAGGCGCCGACTCTGTCCCATTTGGTCAAAGAGGCGCCTTCCGTTTCCCCGCGTGTGCGTTCAGCGCAGGAGGAGAGCGTGCGGCCGGCGGGGGGCTGGGAAGAGGACGAGGACATCGACGTGATCGGCACTTCTGTTCCCATCCCCGAGCCGGTGCTCATCAGCTGGTCGTCGGGAGGCGAAGAGGAGGACGGAGACGAGGACATCGAAGTCGTCTGAGCGCCGTGCGAGGCCTCCGCTAAAGAGCGCGTTAGCAGAGCGCGTTGCCCGAGGTGCTTCCACTGTTCTTTTTTACTCCTTTTTATGCAGTAAAGAAAAAGAAGAAACCCTCACGGCCGTGGGTTAAAGGTCAGGTTCAGTGTTTGATGGAGACAATGTTATTTCAGCGTGAATGTGTTCTGTGTTTTACCACTGAGGGGAAAGAAGAGCTGGGAGCAACTTGTTAGCTATTAGTTTACATTGTTTAGAGACCGAAGGGTAAGATGTGCATTATGATGCATAGTTGCAACGAGCCTTTAATCCGCACCGAGCCAACGGAGCTGTAGTTTAAGTGGGTTTAAGCTCTTGAGTTAAATTTACTTTCACAGATTGATTTTTTTTTCTGTATTTAGATATTTAGCCGTTTATTTCATGTGAACAGTTTTAAAGTTGTTACTGCTAAATCCAGTATTTTGCAATTGTTGGGCAGATATTTTCTGCAATGTTTGTTTTAACAGTCGAGTGTTGAGAACAACACTAACCACACAGTTGATAAATCCCGTTAAGTATTTTACTAGTTTTAGTTGTAAATATCATGATTCTGTTGGGCCGCAGCTCGTACGTGTTTTTACTTTTGAGTCTCGGATTCCTCATTAAAGAAACCTCCTACTTCTGTACTTCCTGAAGCAGCTTTGTTCTGTAGGTGAGGAGTTTATCTTGCGATGAACAAGGAATTTAAAATACGTTCAATTCTGGAGGTGAAAGACCAGTGTGCCCTCACGAAACTTTTCAAATGAGTTATGATTAATGAATTCTAATCATTCATAATTGCGGTTATAATGATAGAGCACGAGGAAGACGGCTGACGGACACCGACGATGGAGACATTCCACTCAGAGGCCATTCCCGTGATTTTACTTGAGCTGCATTCAGCTTCCAGCCACCATGGCAGTAGAAACACTGGGTGTGTTTGGGATGAATGAATGAATGCAAAATAGACTTTTTTTTCTCCCTCATCCGGTCCTTCCCTTCACTTACAGTGTGCCGCCTGTCAGTGAAGACCGATAAAACGTAACTTTACTATCTGAGCATCAGTTAACTGTAAAAAGTTGGTTTGACCGGGTGTCATTATTTGACATACATGACCTGCTCTATTCATTACACACACACACACACACACACACACTTGTAATAAAACCAGAACACATGAAGGGAAAATGAGTTTATTAGTTTTCAACCTCCGACACACGACATCGTGACACATCTGAGCTGCACTGAGGACACTCGAGAGGTTTCTCCCGGGCGCCGTGCCGGAGCCTGGTCTCCCCTTGAGGGTTCGATTCCGGCTCACTGACGAACCGCTCTGCTCGGTGGACGAGTACAGCTCAAGTGTGTGTGTGTGTGCGGGTGTGTGGGGACCCCTAAACCAAATAAAAAGACACTAGTGTGCGAGTGTCGGTTCCGTCGGCGCGCCTGTGTCCCCGTGCTTTAGCAGCGCGATATTGTCTCTTATCGCACTTCTTACGGGTGAAGTGAGGGGAGCCGCCGCCTCGGCCCTGGCGCCCTCTCAGTGCTGGATGCGCCTGATGGACTGGATCTGGGGGGTCTGACAGTGGGACCCCCAGTTCCTCCAGTGCTGGTAGTCTCCGCTGTGTCTCTCGCACTCCATGATGTACTGCTGGCCCCTGTAGCCGGGGTGCTGGTAGCACACGAAGCTGCAGGAGGAGACGACACAAAAAAGTCAGCGGGACGCTCTTCATTTCCCAAGAAAAAGAACGCGGACATTGAAGTGTGACTTACGCGCCGCACTGCACGTGCATGGACCCGACCTCGGGCATCATCCAGCCCATGGCCTGCAGGGAGGGGTAGTCATCACTGATCTCCGCGCTGCGGCCCATGAAGTTCTCCTTCTCAAAGATCACCATGCGACTGCTCTGGTGGGACTGCAGGGGGGCGAGAGCAACGGTTGGATTTAGGACCCGACCCTCCTTCCCCCTTCCTGCCTCCACCAAGACCACCACCCGAGTAAGAAAGACAGGATGCACTCACGGCGCAGTAGATGGGGCGCAGGGACATGAGGCGCTCCACGTGGTAGGAGAGGGAGCCGCTGTAGGCGTCCCAGTGGGGGTACTCGCCTCTCTCCAGGATGAACTGCTGGCCCTGGAAGTCGTGGTGCTCAAAGCCCACCCAGCTTTTCACACACACACACACACACACACACAGAGAGAGGACTTCACTTCACTGCCTCTTTGGGTCTTTTGATATTTTGAAGTTAATGAATTGTGAAGCAGGAGACTTTGTTTTTTGTTTTCAAAATGTATTTTTGGGGGAAATGATCGAGTGTCATTTCAACGAGCACGAAGGGACGCGGCTCCATTTGTGCTGGAAGCTTCCTCATATGACTCCTCCTTATCTCCTCTTCTTGTTTGCGTTGAGTTAGAGGGTTACATCATCAACAGAGGAAAAAGTTTAAGACTCACGCGCCGCTCTCCACCCGGATGGAGCGGATGTTGTCCAGTCCACAATCCTGAATGTTGCAGCACTCGGAGGTGAACTCCTGGCACTTTCCCTGGAAGTGCTCCTGCTCGAACACGGTCACCTGTGGGGGGGGGATTCAAATGGCATTAAGGTTGTGTAGTTGTATAGTGTCCTCCTGCTTTACCTTTCAGTATTGAGCAGAATCGTAATTTGTGTGCGAGTGTGTTTACCTTGAAGAAAGGAGCCATGCCCATTCCTGAGTTGACCAGCGGCTGCATCATTGGGGACCTTGTAGTTCTGTACATCTTTAGTCCTGATGTTCAAACGAGGACAAAGACAAGTAAAGTCAACCAAAGCGCACAAGAACACACAAGAAGACGAGGTGGTGAAATGAGGCTGTCGGAGACCAATGTTTTACACGGAACTAAATACACCTTTTCTTGTTTGTCCCAGTGTGCAAACACTTGTGAATTTACACCACAAATCCATTTGAAACGTTTCGTTAATGAAGCTACATCTCCTCGCAACAAAAACATCTGGAGGCAAAAAACACTTCATTTACATTTTAGACGTTTAAAAAAATAAATAATAGAAAATACAATTCTGATTCAAATGTCGTGCGGGTGTTTCAGAAAGTGCTTCTGGTGTTTCTGGTGTGCACCTGTCCGTCTGAGCCGGAGCCGTGTGGAGAGCAGAGGTGAGTCCTTACCTAGATCGGTACTTTATTGGAAGAGCTGGAAAGTGGCACGCGCCTACAACCTGCCTCGCGTAGAGCTTTAACGGCACCTGGCGCTTCGCTTTTATACCGACGCTCGAGGAGCGCGCATGCCGGTGCGCGTTTCCGTGGCTGCGACTCCACCAACCCGTTTTGGCGCAGCGGTGGCGCGACCGGCGCGAGGCGCGCCCCCCGCACGGGCCGCGTGGCCGTTGGATGCTGTTGTCCGCGCTGCTTCAGGCCAGCTCAGCAGATCCCATAGTGACGCTGCCGTGGCACAAAGGCACTCCGGCACGTTCGCACCCCGGTCAGCAGTCCAGCGCGTGTCCAGGCACAAAGGGCCGGGATCGGGGTGGAGAATGAGGGGATTAACGGCGCAGCAGGGAGGCACCGCACGGGGGACATGGGAGGATCTGGGGTAATTGGGTAGATCTGAATGGGTGTGTAGGGTTAGAGAGGATATACTTTTAGTAATGTTCTTGGCACGCGCCACCTTCAAGGGTGCAGGTATACGCCGGCGTGCACGCAGATGTTTTAGCTGAATCTGGCATTACGCGTGTGTGCACTGAATGCATCGGTTCTGATGAAGGTTCCATCATTTATCTCATACGTTAGTTGATAAATGTTGTGTTTGGTGGTAAAAAAGCACATTCTGTAAATATTATTCAGAGGAAAGATTTTCTTACATTTCATTCAGATTTTATCTTCCTCACGTGATCACAACTGACTGACTGTGTGGAAACATGTAACCTGCTACATTTCTATTTAATCACATCTTGTTACCTTTTTATATGAATCAGTGAAATATGAATCAATGAAATATTTCCTGGTACTGTATGCAATCAATCCTGTCAAAATAGACTAGTTTATACTTTGAATAAGTGGATTGTTATGTTGAAATGAGAAACCAAGAAACTGAAATACGTATCTAAATGTTAGTTAGCTTCCGTTATTAACATGTGAGCAGAAACACCCAGTTGTGTTTCATCAGTTCAGTAATGTAAAGTAACTGGTCCTCGGCCTGGTGTCCAGCTTCCGACAGTCCTCTGGCTCCGCCCCTCCTCCCTGTCTGTCCCTCTCTGATGATGAGGGGTTTCTTTTGTCTCGCGTCTCTGACCTCAGCAGGTTTGTTTCTCTCGCCATAATCCCTCTCCCACGGGCGCCAGCGTATAAAAGGGAAGGGCGCACTCAGAGTCACACACACTTTGAGTGAGGCTCGTCGTAGGCATCGCACACACAGACCGGTAAGGTGCACAAGTAGGCATAGATTAGACCAAAGTTTACAAAGTCTCTACTTGTTACATCAGCGTATCCTTCCTCACTGTTTTTTCTCTCCACACAGCAATCATGTCCAGTGGAGATAAGTCCAAGACTTCTTCCCAGACCGATGGGAAGGCTGCTCAGAGCAAGAAGTCCGAGATGGGAATGATGGCCTACAAGGTGGGTGTCTCTCACATGCGACGATGAGATGTACTCAGTGTGTCAGATCACAGACCTTCGCTGTGGTTGTACTCGCTCATCTGCGTCCATTTGCGCCCTTCCAGATGTACGTGTTCGACCAGGAGAACTTCCAGGGTCGCATGATCGAGATCAGCAACGAGTGCATGAATGTGTGTGAGATGGGTATGGACCGCGTGCGCTCCCTGCGCGTTGAGTGCGGACCGTAAGTAAAAAAAAAAAAATATATATATATATATATATATTTATATATATATATCAATTTGAAACACTCGTCTTTGCATGGATACTTCATGATACGTTTTCATCTGCAGCTTCGTGGGATTCGAGCAGATGAACTTCTGCGGTGAGATGTACATCCTGGAGAAGGGAGAGTATCCTCGCTGGGACTCCTGGAGCAACTGCCAGAAGAACGACTACCTGCTGTCCTTCAGGCCCGTCAGAATGGTACAAACAGAAGAGAAACACTCCAGTTTCCCTTTTCTTGCTCTTGACCGCCGCCCCGTGACCGTTTCTTTCTTCCTGGTTTCGTCTCTCGCTCAGGACCCCGAGAAGCACAAGATCTGCCTGTACGAGGTCGGAGAGTTCAAGGGCCGCAAGATGGAGATCATGGACGACGACGTTCCCAGCCTGTTCTCCTACGGCTTCACCGACAGAGTGGCCAGCATCATTGTCAGCTGTGGAACGTGAGTGTGCCGCGGTCGCAGGTGTCCCCCCCGGTGTCCCCCCGGTGGCGCTCAAGGACGTACGAAATGGACCACGGAGCCAATCCTGTACTGACGTGTTCCCTTGGCTTTTTCTCCCCAGCTGGGTGGGATACCAGTTCCCTGGATACCGCGGTAGCCAGTACCTGCTGGAGAAGGGCGAGTTCAGGCACTTCAACGAGTTCGGCGCCCGCCACCCTCAGTTCCAGTCCGTGAGGCGTATCCGTGACATGCAGTGGCACCAACAGGGCTGCTACACCATGGCCAGCAAGTGAGGCTCAGGGAAGGAGAGAAAGAGAAAGAGCGGAAGTGAGGGAGAGAGGCGGAGGAAGAGGGAGAGGGGGAGAGATGTCTGAGGCCTCACCTCCTCAAACGGTCTAGGGTCTACCGCGGCGAGGGGAAGGGTGAGGATCCGGATCTGTACCAGCTGGACCACCCTCCATTCCTCTGCGTCTCGCCTGTTCTCTTTCTCCGCTACGGGCTGAGCTTGGCTTTCCCCCCTTTTCTCCCTCTTTTGAGTCCCTCACTTCAGTCCTCTCCACAGTCCTCTGCGAACACCAAAGAGGAAGACGGCACGTCTTGCTGTTTGACACACTTGATTCTCGGCTCAGGGTATGATGCCCACCCCCCTCCCCCCGTCTTCTTGCCCCTGTGCATCGCACACCCTCTCTGCTGTACAGAATCCTGGCCAAGTTTTCAATAAAAAGGAAAATCTTGATTTCAAAGATGTGGTTGTTGTTTCTTATTGAGTAAGAAAATGATGAAACAAATACAATTGTGAGATGAAGATTATGATCAATTCAATATATGTTCATCCTGACTGGTTCTGAATCGCCGCAAAAAATCCCCAAAAATAGGAAGAGAGTGAAAGTTCACCTACAGGGCAGTCTGCTGTGTAAGACAGCCTTTGTAAAATAGCAACATATCACCATTTCTGCTGATATTCAGCCTGAATTAAAAGAGACAAACCAATCTCCACTGCAGTGAAATAGCAATTTAGCAGCTTTTAAATGGTTAGAAATGTCATATGATAAATAATTGTGTGATTGTGGAATTTAAACAATTGCACCTAACTTGTCGAGCAGGTGCACGGCATGCTGGGTAAGACCAAGATGCCTAAACTGGTGACTTTTGCTGAGCGAGCTTTGTGTTGCGTGAGCTGTTTGTTGTGTGTCCCTGCAGAGACGGCACGACTCGCCTTGACATGTCTGAGGAGAGCAGTAGGACAGCGAGGCTGAAGACGTCTCCGCTTTGGAAAACACAGTCAAGTCCTGTACTTTTTAAAAGCTCCATTAAGCGTCACTTAATTCTGGCTTCATCTTCTTCCGGGTTCATCATTACGTTATTGATCAACGTTCTTTTCAGCTGCAACACACGTTTCCCAGTTCAGACTCAACAATTTCTCCAGTGTGTCTATATTTGTTTTTAATTAAAAAAAGAAGGATTTAACAGTTGTGCAATCAAGATTTCACACGTTCAAACATCAAAATGGAAAAACACTAAAAACGAACTAACTAAAAACAGTCATAAATATTGTCTATGAAGCGTTTGATATGTTTTAAACTATTGCACCTAAATTGCTGTTAAAGAGCTTTATAATTTCATTGCACATGGACTTCAGATGTATTTATTCATGTTAGTTGTATTTTGATACAAAAGTATCCATTTCTTTCAGTGCGGCCTCTTATCCAGTAGTTGCATAATGTTTGTTGGTCCATCTCAACTTGTATAGCCGGGCAGGTCAGCGTGACATCATTCGCACAAACTCTGGAAGCACAAGAGAACGAGAAAGATGAGGATGCACGTAGTTTCCCACGTCCACATCTTACAAGCAAATTGAATTCATTTTACCTTCGAAGTCCACCAGGCCGTCTCCGTTGAGGTCGACGTCTCGGAGGATCTCGTTGATCTCTCTGTTGGTCACTTGTTCTCCCATCAGCTTCTTCATGGCCTCACGGAGCTCAGTCAAACTGATCTGACCGTCGCCATTAGAGTCGAACTGGACACAGTCAGAGACGAGTTAAGAGTCACATCTAAACCCACAGAGCGTCTCCACTTACACCTGTGTTTGTTAAGTCAAAGTGTCTGCAGTGAAAAATAAATCTCTCAGTAACGATTTATCTCTTGACCTCTTTAAAAGCATCTCGTAGTTCTTTGACTCCAATCATGTCGGCAGTCTCTGCCAGCATCTTCGGTCCCATCAGCTCCACAAAGTCCTCAAAGTCCAATTTGCCTCCACCTGAAATCACGGTGTAAAAGTCGACCAATCAAGATGGTTGACAACAAAATGATCATACAATTGTTCCTGTAATTCTGGATGGGTTTTTATTACTTGTTACAATAAACAAAAAAACAGCATGGATAAAAGTAAAAAGCGTAATTATTACAGAATGGAGAAACTCGTATGTGGGTCTTGTTACGGTGGCCCTGAAGTGCAAAACACAACGAAATGAACTCCTTACAGAAAGGGTAGGGCCTTATAGCAAAGGACGGACCCTTCGGATTGGACAGAGGGACTGTCTGTCTTTTAAAAGGAAACAATACGGGGCTCTCAAGTGTCACGCAGTCACGCACTCCCGCCACACATCCAATTCCCCCCCCCCCCCCCCCCTTTATTTACTTTTATTGTCAACAATTAAATATAATTGAACAACAAAACACCGGTAAAACATTGGTGAAACACTCGTAGGACACTTTTAAGACACTAGTAAAACATCGTCATCTCTCCGTGGTTTCCTGCTGCTTCCTCCCCTCATCACAGGGTCTCCGTCCCGCCACTGATTTATTGATTGCCGTAATATCTAGAAAGCGGCGTTTCTCAGCTTTCAGAATCCGATTGTGCAAATAGTTAAGGAGTCACGGTGAGTTAAATCCTCCATGTTACTTTCCGTTGCCGGCGAAAGGCTTCGGATTAAGAGGACAGACACACTGTCCAATGAGAAGGGTCCGTCCTCTGCTACCTGCTATAAGGCCCTACCCTTTCCGTAATAAGTTAACGTCTTTACTCGGAATCCAAGTGGGCCGAGGTCAGCGCCTTTGGTTAAGAAGTAACTACAAGGTGGTTTCCGACGTTTCAGGCTGTTGTTCCACTCACAGATCTGCTGGCTCAGCTCGATGAGCTCCATCTCCGTGGGCATGTATCCCATGGTCCTCATGCACTCCCCCAGGTCTCTGTGACTGATGTAGCCTTTTTTGTTCCTGTCAAACTCCACAAATGCCTCACGGAGCTCTGGCATGAAGAAGCAGACAAACAGAAGGCGTACGCGTCAACACCAGTCGGCCGTCAGGCATGTTAACGTGCCGTGGAGCTGCAGGTACGTCTCCTTACCGTCGAGCTCCTCTGGTCTCAGCTCTCTGTCCTATTGAAAGGAAGCAGAGAGGCACATCAGCTTCTGGCTCCATACTGCTCATGGGAATATTTAGATGGTTTGGCACAGAAGACATACAAACACAGTCAGATTTACAGCAACACCACCGTAGAAACACCAACTGAACTGGGAGGGAGGACACAGAAACGGAAGATGAGAGAAGTGATTAATGCAGATTGGCTTCATGTGTTTTGCATGATATGAAAGATAAACTGTCTGGGCCTGTGGATGGATGTCTCATATTCAGGCTTTTATACTAAAATGTGATTTTGAAAATGTAGGGAAGTTGATTCCGATTCAAGTTTTTCAGTGAGCTGCGTTAAACAATAAAGCTGTCACACCTCAAAATGAAAAACAGAGTCTAAATATATGGATTAAATTGTACACTGCATTAAGATAAATATGACAATTCTTAAACCATCAAGCACAGGCAACAAACACCTGGAGACTATGAGATTTAGAGGTTTAGTTCGTACTTTGGAACGTTAATGGTTCAGCTTGAGTACGCAGGCAGTACGGAAAGTGTTGTACAGGACGCTCGAGCTCATTAAAGAGGATGTTAGGATAAGAGCTTTAGAGGGAAAACAATATGGGACAAATCATCGGGCGTTGTACAAAGTAACTGGAATTCATTTTTGTGAGTTGGTACAAACAGAAAAGATGTGGGAAATCAACGTGTTGCTTTCTCCCTTAAAAATGACATCGCACAGCATGTGAAACATGACGCAGCTCGTAATGTGGCCAAAGTTATGTGTTGGTTATGTTTTATTTTTACATAGTTGCAACTTGTCATGCAATGTTTTATACAGATGTGTCCTACTGCTGCACCATTTCAACATAACCACAGGGAAAAGCTCTATTTAATCTGAGATTTGCTTCACCGTCCACAGACATTTTTCGCGGTTTGATTAAGCCGCTATGGAGTGAAAATGAACTGAGCCCATAGCGGACGCCCTGTTTCTCTCCGACAGGTACTCACTTCAGAATATGGCCCCTAGGAGCTGCTTTAGATGCAACGCTTTGTATTCAGAACCGATCATTCCTGTTGTGCTTTTTTTCTAAATCAGTTTGTATGTTGTAATTCCATTCAACGGGAAACCGCATGCGTCATTTCAAATCGTATAGATTGAAACTAGATGTGGACCCTCAACGGGGCCTTTGGAGCAGTTTAAAAGTCCAAAAGCTACTTCAGGATCCTCTTCATCTCGGTTTACGCTCGGTGCTTCGGTGGATCATTACTCTTTAGACCAATCCGGTTGCCTTGCAGTGACCATGAACCTTCCAGAGGCCTTTTCTGGAGCCCAGGGGAAGGCAGCCTTGACCTCCACGTCCTCCCGTGCCTCATTCACATTTCGGAGGTAGCCCTTGAGTCGGTCAATACATTCCATGGGATTGGGCGAACGATTGTGCGGCGCGGATTCGATCGTCTGACCCGGACCAGCGACGGGATGACGCACGCAGCTGGAGCGGCGGAGCACACGGGGCCACGATGCGGGGATGGAAATGAATCGACACGAGTGAAAACAGTGGCACCGGGGGAGGGGAGGGGGGTGGGGGAGGGGGTTGTGCGAGCACCACACTGTGAACGCGTCCTGCGTTCTGCTACATACGGGTTTCTTTGAGAAGCCCTGTCTAAGGAAGACGCAGGCCGGGCCCACGATGTTCTGCAGCATGTTGCAGTTCTTGACCAGCGTGCAGAAGGGATCGTTGAAGGAGTCTTCCTCCCCGCCGTCCTGATCCTCGTCTTCCTCTTGGCCCACTCCCCTCAGTTTACCCCCGAGGGGCCCATCCATTACCCCCTTTAGAGGCAGACCACTCAGTCACACACTGTCTGCATGACCGACTACTTCACACATAAAACAATTATTGTACATAAAGTCACTTATTTCAGGGAGAAGGCTCAACACTCACTGCACTACTCACTACTTATACAATCCGACGTTACAGATGCTTTTTCCCCAAATAACAAGAATCAACTTCATAGATTATGACACGTCTGTAAATTTATAAAAGTTCAAATTTGCTCAGATACAACACAGCAATGAATTCTTCAGGGCAGGCGGTAAAGGGCTCTTACCTTCTTCATTTTGTCTTTTGGTTTAGTGCAGTTTCCCATTACCCAACTCGCTCTCTCTCTCTGATCCTATTTGTTTTCTCTTCTCTTTCTCGGCTCTCCTCTCTTTTGGACCTCAGAGCTCCATCTCCTGCTCAAGCTTCTGACAGAAACCTGTGTCCCAGACCCCGCTGTCAGATACCACGCAGATTTAAAAAGAAAAAACAAACCTAGAATACTAAACGGCTGTAATCCTCCACACGTGAGCGATCCTGGAGAACTCCACCCGTTTCTAAAAGCTCCAAAGTGTCATCAAACGAAAAGCAAAAAGAACCCAACCGTGCTGGAAGGAGCTCACTCATGTGTCTCTCGGGAGGAACATCGCTGTGTCCTTCTCTTCACACTGACCGATGCTTTTAATCCCCCCTCTCATCCCTTTTCAGGTCCCCCTCTCTCTCGCTCTCTCACTGCTCGCATGTTGCACCATCATTCACACGACTTCATCTACAGCGTGAGGAGTTTTAGAGGGAGAATTAAGAGGAGAGAGAGATTAGTCCGTTCCATTTGAGATTAAAGAGTAGGATGGACTGATGAAAGGGGAAAAAGGAGAGATGGATACAGTGAAGAGATGGAAGAGAGATGATGGAAAAGAGATGAGTGTTGGGGTGTTTGTCAAATCTGAACCAAAACTGAATATTCTAAAATTATTGAAATAAAGTAATTGCTTTAGATTTCTAGGCAAAAAGAACATTTATTATATTAAATGAAAATCTAGGGGCTTCACTTTCTTCCAATTTATTTTGATCAAAACAAACAAAAACAAATCTGAGCTTCATAATTCCTGAAAAGAGTTAAGTTCCCCTTGGAATCGTGTCTCTAAGGTGCTTTCTATGAAGAATTTGGAAAATGTTCTCAGCATATTAGCACATTAGAACAAATGAAACGACTAAAAGTGAGCTGCGACGACAAAGTCTGAGGTGCAAATGTAGCATTTGAATCACGAGTTGAGCTTATGAGTGCAGTGCTAAGTGGTCGTGAAAAGCATCTGTCATCAAATCTCTCCATAAAGAAGATGTGATATGATGCTTTCTACATCCATATGGTGAGCACAGATGTGTGTGTGAGGCAGGGGGGTCACACATTAGATATCTAAATATAGATATCCGAATTTTAACTTATAAATTGTTGATTTTAATGCTTTCTTCACAATGAATTACTTTTTTCCTATTTATGAAGGCCTCTGTAAAAAGATTTAACGAGGTGATTTGAGGGATTATTTGTAGGGAAACTTTTTTGAATGTTTTTTTTATGAAGTTCACAATCAAATATACAATAAACACATGAATCCCTCGCGGTGTAAAAGCACAAAGAAAACATTTGTATTGCTGCAAATAAAGGCCCTGCACACTCACAGGTATTTTTTCCCCTGCAATGTAATTATTTGGTAAACCTCAATTTTTCTCTTCATATAATGATGGAATCATTCTGCTGCAGTAACCAGCGGTCGCCGCTAGAGGCCACTTTAGCTCAGAGAGTTACAACAGCTGCGTGTTACCGGCCAGCTGCTGCGCTGCAGACTTGAGGCTGTATTAATACAAACTCTATTTTTAGCAGAATCTCTTGGCGGATTGAGCATCACTGAATGGCGTGAAAGCTTAACGGTTTTTCCCACTTTAAAGAAAAAATCACCCAGAAAAGGTTACTAAGTATAAACCGTCGGAGTTAAAAAAAAACTGTAATTATGGCATAAATGACGATATGAGTATCTGATCCTCTGAAAAATATCATTGTTATGTAAAAGATGAAAATTCCACTGTGACGGTTTTCTGACAATAAAACAGAGGAGCTTCTCATAACGGATTTGAATTTCATTTACATGGTTTTACGTAGGAGTACACATATGTGGATTAATGCAAACAAACCCTGATTAGTCCTTAATCATGAGATAAATCTCATCATGCAACTTCAAACTCCCCCAGAAGAGTCTTAATTTGGAACAGTCCATACAAAAGTGCATCTGTGAACAGCAGCTTTAATTAATTATCTGTTTATCTTGTATGAAATCAAAATTCTACGTTATGTAATACTCACATCTGGATTTCAAATGTGACATCTGAAGTGTGAAGTAACACATGAGCTCAAATCAAATTAAGCACATCTGTAAGAAACACACTTGTGTTTGTTATCACCTGAGGGTTTTTGTTTGGGAGACATTTTAAATATTCACAGTTTTTGTGGAACAATTGACTTCTTTTCATCCATATTCCTCATTTTAATCAGGGTGTACTAATCCTACTCACATGTACCTCATAACCGCGTCTTTGACACCTCAAACACCATCATCGTTTTGTTTCCTAAATTTAAGTCACACTAAAATTAAAATCCATTGTATAATCACAGAACACACCAGCTGTTAACACATAACAGTTATAATGGTATGAAAACAGTCACCAAAATTCAAACTAAACAACAAAATACAACCTCATCAACCAAATTAACGTTGACTGTAAGTGAGTTCCTTCATGATTTAATGAAGTCGACACCAGCAGCTGCATGAATAACCCGAGACACAACCTATAACCATTACATAACCACGGCTGATCCTCTCGTATCCATGATTCCAGTTCATCGCCCCACTGAGATGCTGTTGATCCCGGTGTGTAGGTGTGTGTACGCACGCACACGCATTTGTTCTTTTCCCCTTGTTTATTTTACAATAACCCCGCTTTTTCGGAGCGGGGCGGATTGAAGCCTCACACCTTTTTTGTTTTTTTAACTCCCCCTGCATTGGTGTGCACATTAAAATAACTAACAAATTGTAGCTATTAAATTGTACTATAGCAAAGTGTAAATCGGCCTATTTGATGAAAAATGCTTGTTCTTTGCAGTTTGTACCCTTTAGGTTGAAAACGCACTTATTGTAAGTCGCTTTGGATAAAAAGTCTGAGCTAAATGACATGCAATGTAATGTGTGTGTGTGTGTGTGTGTGTGTGTGTGTGTGTGTGTGTGTGTGTGTGTGTGTGTGTGTGTGTGTGTGTGTGTGTGTGTGTGTGTGTGTGTGTGTGTGTATGATGTGTCCTTGCTTTTGGACTCTGCAGCCTCTCCTACTCTTGTCAAGAGCTTGAGTGTGTGAGCAGACGTATCGTGTACTGATCTGGTGTCAGATGTGCATCAGCTGGTGTCGAGTGCCGAGAGCTGTAATCAGAGAAGGAGACGGACGACACGGAGGAAGGTGGGAGGAGGTGTGCAAGTATTTTACAAGTAAAGAAACCAGTGATGTGAAAGTGAAGTACTGCATTCAGTAGCGGTAAAAGTGGAGGGATTAGTAGCAACACAGTTGGTGTTATTAAAACACTACTGGTGCAAATGTGAGATGTTCAATGATGTAGTTGAAATGAGATTTAACAACTTTATTTGATAGAGAAGAATGTAATTGATAAATGTTGAACACATGCTTGTATTTGGAATATTGTGAAATTATCATATTCATATTCGCAAAATGACTATTACAAAAGGCAGAGATGAACCAATCCGTTCAGGGATTGATGAACGATTAATGTGAGTCATTGAGTTTTGATTTCAGGCCCGTGTTTGGGGGCCCGAGGCTCTCTGACCTGCTGCATATTACACAAGTATCTCCTGTAGTGCACCGGTGGTCAAACTGCGGTTCAGGGCCCCCCGATGCGCCCCACACAGAGAAACCAGGACTTTTTCCAACACGCTCCTCTCTCCCACTCACTCAGCCTGTCTTTTCTAATTTTGACTCACTTACATCACCGCTGACATCACTTTTTTCTACCCTCCTCATCGCCCCCGCCCCCCCCCCCACCCCCCCCCTGCAGAGTCTGCTGATCAAGTGGACTCTTTCTCCTTGTTTTCTTAAAGCCCAGAGTGAGTCATGACCTCGCCGCTTCCTCACACCGTGAACCCCACACGCCACAAGGAAGTTGTGGTGGATAGAGGCAGCGCTGACCTGTCTCACGTGTTACCTTGTGAGAAACGGGTGTGAAGTGATACCGGGTGTCCATCGAACTCTGCTGCCTTTGACTGTGATCTTGTAACGGATTAATCCTTTCCCGCGTGTTTCTCGAATGCAACCAGTTTAAGTCCTCTCCATCAGGGAGGGGGGGGGGGCGCCAGGGCGCACACACACACACACACACACACACACACACACACACTGCAGCTCCTACCGGTCCGAACACAGAGTCCACCATGGGTTGCAGGTCGACGGGCTCCCCCCCCTCCTCCTCCTCCTCCTCGGCCCCCCTCTCCGCCCCGGGAAAGGCCCTCATCCAGTCCTCCTCCTCCTCCTCCGGGATCACGCTGTCCTAGGCAGTGGCCGCCAACATCCGGAGGAACCGAGCGGATGATTTCTGGGGGCGAGAAATTTGATGAGTGGAGGCCGGATCTTCTTCGAAACCCACTCCCGGCACGGTGCTTATATTCTTCTGCTTCTCCAGATTCTTCTTGATGGAGGCCTGCACCTGAGGGGTCGGAGGTCAGAGTTCAGACTACATGCCATCTTATTTAGATTTTTTTTACGCAAAAGAGGGATCCTGTGTTGGCCCTGTGGTCTGATATTGTGGAGAACTTTAACTTTAGCTGTCGTGGAAAGCAACAAAATAAGATCTACTTGCAATTAATCACCCACATATACCCTCACCCGGAGACATACAACATCGTCTAAGACAGAGATCTTCAACAGGGGGTCCGCGACCCCCAAAGGGTCCGCGAAGGTACTGCAGGTCCGCGAAGGTACTGCAGGGGGGTCGCGAAATATTTGGTTGATAAGACTATTTTTTTAAACAATTTTTTTCCCCACAAATGTAAATGTCTTCAGAATCAGAATTTTATTTATGGTCTTTAAATACACATTAACATGAATACAACATATTGAAGCGAACGGATAAATTGATGGAGAAGACGTTATCGCTCAGTCCGCAACGCACACATTCAGCTTCCCTCAGCAGCTCTCAAGCTTTGGGCACCGGTTCACTCACTGCTCCTTTCATGCGAATACGACAGCGCCGGCACCAGCCAATCAGATCGCGTTCATGCTCACGGCTAAAGAGCGTGAATTCTACTCCGTAGAATAGGGGTCCCTGGTCCACCTCGCCATCAGTTTGGGGGACCTTGGCTTGAAAAACGTTGAAGACCTCTAAGACATCTAAGAAATCTAATGTTCTTATTGGGTGTACGAGATCTTTTTTCTTCTATACAGCAAAGTGCGCATCTGTTACATCAAGAACTCTTTCAGGGTAATTGAGTTGCCAGGTCCTGGAATTGAGGTTCATCAAACTCAATTAAACATTTTTGCACAACGGAACAAAAGTAAATCAATCTCTCTGAACGGAACTGCCAACACATATATCTATATAGATCTAGATCGATATATAGATCTATATCTCTATATCTATACACGCACCTGTTTTGCAGTCTTCGGCGACGGCACGCTCATCCCTCCTCCACTGCCTCCTCCTGCAGTCGGCTCTCGAGCGATCATGAACATCTCGGTGTCACTGGCTCACATTCATCCTGTCTCTCCTCCACTACTCCCCCTGCCTTCCCGCCTCCCTCTTTTTTGCTGTTCCCTGCGTTTTCTCTCCTGGGCGGTACAGCGACTCTTACTTTGTTTTGTGTTTGAATAAAAGTCTGTTGTTAGAAATAAAAACGTAATTCACCGGAAGAATTCCCGCCGTGCTGATGATGAGGTGTTTGCTTTGTTCTGGCTAAAAATACCACCGAGAGGAAGAGTGGTGGGACTGGAGAGAGAACGGCGTACTCAGGTGTTCGTCTGGTTCCTCCTCTCTGTCCCGGTATTCACGCCGCCATCCCGTCCATGTCTCTCTGAGTGCGTTCAGGTGAGGTGGTTTTTATCTCCAGCCGTTGTCTTTGCACTGGGATTAAGTTCCTGCCCCTCGGCCCCCGCTCGCCGTCTCCCGGCCCTCTTTAGGCGACACTCTACACCTCCTGAACTTTAGCTCCCTCGTGTTATCTACCTGTAACATATCGACCTGTCGCCCTCCTTGCTTTCCTCTCATCCATCACAGGTAAACGACTTGCCTGCTTAGCCACATTTACCTTTATCTTTTCACCAGCGGGTTAACAAATATTCACCCTGCATTTGTAAAATCCAGCTTTCACTCAAAATCTTGTGTTTTTCTCCTCATAAATTTCTTTCACTCACATTTTTCTGCCCTTTTCGTGCCTCTTTCCCTCCACACAGTCATCCTCATTGCTGTGCACGCTTTCTTCTTCTCCCCCTCACTCACAGTCGATCCGCCCTCGATCCCCCGGTCATGTTCGGAGCCTCTGTTGTAACACAAATTGGATTCTTTTTGAGGGGCCAAGGTCAGCTATTCATTAAGTGACAGAGATCAGGAGAGAGGGAGAGAGGAAGAGCGAGGGATACAAGCATCGTGGTAATGATTTTGTTTAGTCTACAACACATTGCCTCCGTGTAGTCCTGCGTGTATAATCTCATCCAGCAAGCATGGCTGAGCGCACACACACACACACACACACACTCACAGGTGAACAAGCCACCACGGACCTCTATTTTTAGACACCAATGTTCGCACAAGCGTGTAAGCAGATCATTTGGGTTTTCAGCTCGCTAAAACAGCTGCGTATCTTTCCAAAGCAACTGATTCCACTAACAGCTTCATTTCAGTATGAAGAAGAGACATCGGTGTGTTTCCCCTCCTTCCACGACGTTGGCATTTCCCTCTATTTGCCCGTATCGGCCTGTCCCTCCATCTCCGCACCTCCTGTCAATCTGCATTAAACATTTCAGACTGAAACAGACCCTGATAGTGTCCTAGATGGATGTATCCTCCAGGCTGAGGGATAATGTACGACTTGAACTCTCTCCAGTTTCTACTGAGGTTTCCATTAATCACTTTAACCTCGTCTTTCGGTCTCCCGCCTCTCCTCATTGATTATTGATGGAGGGAGCCGCTTCTCGAGTGGGAGGCATCTTTCTCCATAACGGACAGAGCTGCTTCCCGTGGTGCTGAGGGTTAAAAATAGGGCTTGTATTTTAGGAACGGGAGGGTCATTTGGGAGAGGAGAGATAAAGGATGGATGGACAAGATGAAGAGAGAGATGAGGGATGGAATAAAAGGCAGGATCTTGAAGAAGAGCGTGGAGAAAAGAAGGCAAAACGTCCCTGTAAGACTTCTCGCTCACGTTGAACCTCACTGACAGCGATCAAAGACGACAACGAACCCACCGAGGCTGAAGAGCAGTGACGTCGCTGCTGGTTTTAGTGCTCGTCGATCGGCCTGCTGTGATATCGTGTCACAGATAGAGAGGAGATTATGCCGACCTGTGAGGTCTCCCGGACCAGCAGTCCACGATTAATGTAAAGCGGCGCACACACATGAAGCCGACAAGGACGATAGATTTGTTTTATTAGACCAATTGTCATCGTACTCACAGATTACTGCTCGATTGGCTGGAGGGATCCATTCATCTGGTTTAACAGGACATCCAAGAAGAGAAACCTTTGTGTACATCAGTGACCTGTAAACACGTGACTGGCAACCAAAGGATTGTCTCGAGAAAATCTACAGCCTTAAAGTGCAATTTCATGGAGTTTAAAAAAGTGTTTTTCTTAAGTAATTTCCTCCTTCGTTGTTGCTCATGGGGCCTTTGCTGTTTGGAGACACCTGGAAGTTCATATGTTCCACATATAGTGGAACATATGAACATATAAGATTTGAGGGGGCTTCAGTTGAGGAGGGTTTCTTTCATTAAGAATTGCATTATAAAGACGCTGTGGAGCAGATTATTGCAGTTTGTTTTAGACGCCCTCTGGAGGAAATAAACATACAAAACAACCTCTGGCAAAGACAAAATATATAAAATGACACTTTTCAAGAGTTGTAATGTGGCGTTAAATGAAAGAGTAAAGCAAAGACATACAGTCGTATGTCATTATTACTTCTGTTAAATTTGTGCTGTACATATCACATCACAAGATTTGGCTAAATTAAAAAAAAAGAAAGTGATATTATTTTGTTAGACATTATTTCAAAACTAAATTAGTTTTTGTGTTTTTTTTTAATATAAAATCAGTTAGTTATATTTACATTCAGTGTTAGCCACCAAACAGCATTGTTTATATCCTTAAACTAACAAATGTGTTAAATGCATACTCTTCATTTTCAAGCAAGATGTCCTTTAAAAGGGCTTATTTGTATTGAATTTTAGTAGTTTCCATCTTAAATCAAGTCCTACAAATCGTAGTGTTTAGTCATGGTTGAATACACACATTCGAATAAAATGAATTTGTCTTGAAAGACTGTTGCTGGGTTACCTGTAGGGCCATATTGGTACCTTTTTATAAAAAATAAAAAAACAACCCAGTACCAAGTAAAGTGGTATTTACACTTCTCCTGCATTCAGTCCTTTTTACCCAGAATCCAAAGAAAACAATTTGTATTTGTATTTCCCACGCGCAGCCATGTGTGATAAAATTGCACTTGTTCTTTTGTGTCTTATGGTTGAAATGCACTTATTGTAAGTCGCTTTGGATAAAAGCCTCAGCTAAATGACATGTAAATGACATGTAATGTACTGTGTGGTGAAGCCGAGCTCGGCGTATTTGATCGTCAGGATGTCACAGTACAGCTACACTGCACGCCCATTGCATGTGATGAAAATAAGTGCGTTGGTGGATCCTTTTTGGCAACGGAACGCTTCTGATCACATGATTGATACGGAATTAATAGAATGAAACCCCGTATGAAGCGCAGTACACTATTGGTATCACCTCATAGTCTTTCGAACAATTAACATTCCCGGCCCCCGTTTCGATGCGTGTCCATCCTCCCCCACATCATTAACACAGCGGAGTTTGACGAGTGCTCATGAAACGAGTCTATCAGAGTCTCACATCTGCTTAATGTTCATCTGCAGTTCTACTCTGACGAAGAGGACATCGCCCCCCAGTGCGGCGTCACTATGGTGAGCGGCTCCCGGTTGTTCCCGTTGATGATGGGCCACGGGTTAAAGTACGGGAAGACGGGCTCTTTGAACTTGGCGTTGTAGAAGGTGAAGAGGTGGCTCATGTTGCCTGCGTCGTAAAACCCCACGTCGCCGCAACTGTAGTCCAGATAGACCCCCACCCTCCTGGGGGGGCTGGACAGATGGAGCAGGCTGTCCTCCGAGTCGGTGCACGCCTCGTACTCGGAGGCGCCGTCGGCGTTGTGCCTCAGCACCAGGGTCCAGAACCCGTCCTCGGGGCAGAGGCTGATCTCGTCCTTCCTGTTGACGGAGGCTGTGGCCACGCCGAGCCCCCACGCCGTCTTTGAGCCCACCTCCACCTCCCAGTAGTGCCTGCCAGACGAGAAGGCTTCGGAGCCCAGGACGATGTTGTAGAGGGTGAAGCGCTCCGGGTTGTTGGGCAGGTTGGGCTGGATCTTCCCCATTTGGACGCTGGTGCGACACGGGGACACCCACAGGCACGGGTAGGCCGTGTCCGGGTCCAGGGTCACTGCTTTGACAGCTGAGAAGGCAACAAAATGAACTTTAGAAAAAGGGTTAGAAACCGACCAATGCAATGATGTGTGTGGCACATAAAGACCCAATAAAGACTCCTTGGCTGTGACCTTCAGCAAGATACCGAATGCCTCCCTGCTCACACAGTGTAAGACGAGCTCGATAAGAGCATCTACTACATGGATACAACTGAAATATAAATGATACTGCGTCAAGCTGTAACTCTAGAGATCCATTAAATCCTTCGCTGCTGTCTAGTGTTACTACCAATGTATGACATGTCCCTGGCATATGTCCCAAATTAGGTTTTTGATCCTCTGACAGACGAAACCTATAAAGCGGATGGACGCATGCTTGAAAACGGGTGTCTGATGACTCGGCTCCCCGAGACAGAGCAGCTTGATATTAAAAAAATGAAAAGCACAAAAATGTATATTGTAGTTATTGCAAAGGAGCACTTGACAGAATATAAATGTCAAAGTCCATGTAGTAGCGGTGGAGAGAACGAGTCATGGGGCCTTTTCAAATAGTGGTTTGAAGTCTTGTGGCTCTGGGAAAGTTCAAAAGCCTGAAGATGATTCCGGAGTGGGATCCACACTCCGCACGCAGCAAATGTTTGACCGAGACATTGAAGCACAATCCAGTTTCTTTGGAGCTTGACTTATGCAAGTCAGATATTGCGGCATTATTTTCTCTCATGAAACTGTGTGTGTGTGTGTGTTTATATACCTGGCTGAAACACGGAGCTCATTTTCCTCCAGGTCCTGTACTGCAGAGGACCCAGAAACTCTCCTGACTGCAGGTCCTGGACCACCTCGGAGGGGCGTTCGAACCAGCTCTCCGCCCTTCCAGAGAGAGAGAGAGAGAGAGAGAGATCAAACAAATGAAAGCAAAAGGCTTCCTCGCTGCTTGGGTGGTTGGGGTGTCCCTTGGGTTGTTAAAAAAACTATTCTTTTTTAAAATTGTACTTAGAAAAGGTGATTATTTAAGTCATGCAGAGAACATTCTGTCATTTGAGTTATATTTGCATTCAGGCCATCATTGTTAGGAAGAAATGTAAAAAAAGACTGTAATGAATCCTCCAAGTTTCAAGTCATCTTGGACTTTCTGCCTCCGGTAAGAATTACAACGTGTGGCAAAGATGAGGCGCCGCAAACCCGCCCGCACATCCTGTTTCAGCAACACTTACATACAAAACAATACACAAGTTCATTTTGACGTTAGACATTGTGAATGTCTAACGTGGAGACATAGGGGGAGTAGACCTGGAAACGAATGAGTGGGAGGATTTTGATGACGCTCACCCTCCGATGAAATCTTTGATTCCCTGAAATAAAGCAAATTAGAACCAATCAGAACAAGCCACGGTTCACTAAATACTTCAATGTTCTTTGGTATTCACATACGTCTATCTATCTATCTGCGTATCGTCTTGTCACACCTTGAGTTGCTCTGGGTTTTCCTCCTCCGTCAGTTTGAGGTGAAGCTGGTCGGCCCTACTTTCCATTTGGCTGATTTGCTCTGTGGTCTCGGTCAGCGCCTCCTCCAGCTGGTTGAGCTTCTCATCCTTCTGCTTCTGCAGTTTCTCCTTTATGTGCACCTCCTCCTCCAGTAGGAACTCCCTCAGGAGGCCAAACTCTGCGGTCACCATCTCCTCCAGATCTCCTGCTCGCTCCTGGAACAGAGGGAGGACCCGAATCAGCAAGCACATGATGAGTCAACTAGAGACCAACGTTATCGCACTTTTAAAAAACGTACAAATTAAACTATCCACTATTTATGTTGACTGCTCTTATTTTGTTAACCTGCTGATGAGATGAGGCCTTTCTGTTGACCGAGAGGGGATGACGGGCATGTGTTCTTTCTGGGGCCACAAATAAACTGTGGTTTGTAGTGAATGTGAGGCTTTCACCTGTAAAGGGGTTTGTTTTATTCTGTAGTATTGGTGCTTTCATTTCATTATAAGGATAGAAATACTTAATTAACTCCTAAAACAGGTAGATAGACAGGCACTCGGTTAAAATAAGCACCTACAAACACACACACACACAGATTGCCAAACTTCCTCTAAAGTTATTGACCCACATCCTGTCATACCAACAGAGAAACTAAGAAGTGAAAATCCACGAATGTGCAAATAAACTGGGTCAAACAGACAGCGAGACAGACGGTCTAAAGTACCCTGAAGCAGAGATGTGTGTAGCGGTTTGTTGAAGCAGAAACTCTTAACACAACAAACATTCTACGCTCACATTCCTCTGGGTAAAACGCACAAAGAGCTCTATTTGAGGAGAGGGCTGCTGCGGTGGAAAAAGAGCCTCGGCCTAAACTCGACAAGTTGTTATCTCTTTCCACGAGGGTGTGCAGCGCAGTTATTGTACACGCCGTACTCGTTGGTTCGTATGCGCGTGCGTGACGCCTGCAAAGAATGCGATTATGAGAACGACAAACATGACTCCCAAGTGCACCGACGTTCATGGTTTCATTTCAGGAAGGATCTCTGCATTCGAAGAACATGTCGACCATCACGTTGGAACGAACAGCGCTGAGCAACGGCCTGTTGAGTCACCGCCGGCCGTGATCAGGGGCAAGTCATCAGCCAGTCACGTCCGCCACACGTGTGAAGGTGAATGAATAAAGGCGGATGCTGCTTAGCAAGCAGAAATAGTGGTTCTTCCCTCAGGCAGAATGACACAAGCACTCCTCCCGTATTTCGCAATGCTTCACAAACAAATACACGCATCTCTCAATACCTTGACGTGGAGGATCTTTTCATTGGTGTGCCTTTGGAAGAGCGTGGCCTCCGCCGTCTGCAGCTGAAGCCTCTCTAGAGCGACAGACAGTTTGTCCTGCAGCAGAAACAGACGGTCACATGCTGAAAGTGGCTGCTGCTGAACCGGATTAGAGTGCATCTGCTTTGAACAACAACAACAACATCATCCTAAATGGGAGTCATGGGATGGCCGCCCTCTCTTCAACGGACTGCTCTGAGCCACACATTCAAACTAAATGGAGTTTAGTTCTGTGTGAGTGAAAGACCGGAGGCCTCGCAGGGCGACTCTTTAAACAAGCCGGCGCTGGTCAGCAGGGTTAGAGGAGTTGTGGGAGTTCACACCTGTCTGCTGAATTCCTGTAAAACACAAGGTACCAAAAGGCTCCCAGGGACAATCAGGCTTTTAAAAGTCACTGACTTTTAACAAAGTTTACTCTGCAAAACAATTCTTGTGCTAATTCCAGAGCATTGATTTGACAATAATGACTGTTTGTCAAACTTGACATACAGTTCTTCCAAAACAACCAGGAGAGGAGCGCATGCCCCAGGCCGAAACGTAAAGTTGAAGGGATAAATAATGACGTTAACTATTGTCAAGACAGCCGTCATCATCTCAGCCAACGAGACAGTACCTTGTAGTTCTCGAAGGCCTCGGTAATGGGGATGACATTGTGCGTCTTGTGGTCCCTGGACATGCCGCACACCAGACAGATGGGCAGCTGGTCGTCCTCGCAGTACAGCTTCAGCTTCTCCTCGTGCTCCTCGCACATATCCACGTCCGAACCCACGCGCGGCCAGTGGCCGACGGACGAGGCCACGCTGCTCATGCTGGAGCCGGGCTCCCGGTCCTCCGGCTCCTCCGGCGCGTCCTCAGAGGCCCAGCTCGACATGGCCCCGGCGGTGTCCACCACCCGGGCCCTGCGCACGCTGTCCACGACGTTGCACAGCAGCGAGTTGGGTCGCAGCTTGCCGCCGCTCGACTTTCTACACTTGGGGCAACTCGACAGCTCGTCCGCCTTGGCCTCCCAGCACTGGAGGATGCACAGCTGGCAGAAGTGGTGTCCGCACTCGAGGATCACCGGGTCGCGGAAGAGCTCCAGACACACCGGGCACGTGAGCTCCGACTGAAGCTCCTCGATGGCGCTGGCGTCCGTCATGGCTCGGCCCGGCGCATAGTCCCCGTGAAATAACGTAGGAACGGCAGAATAAGGCAGGAAACGCGGTGGAAGTAAAAGAGAGAGGGAGAGGGGGGGCTGGGCGCGCTCTTCCGTCCCCCGGCGAGGAGGCGAGGGAGTGGTCTGAAGCGCGCAGCTCGGCGGCTCCACGGCAGGTTTGAACGCGGAAGCGCGCGAGGGCGTGAAGCAACAGGCGCGAGGCGGCTGCACGGGGAGGAAACGGTTAATCAAACACACACTTGCATGTTTATGTATGATAGCCACTGCTTTTCTCTTTAGTCCCCTTTACAAAGTGCATCACTAATACGGATAATAAAGTCAACTCATTAATAAAGGGTGATAAATACCATATTATTATTATCATATCATAATAATAATAATAATTTCTACAAAAGTTTCATTTTGCATTTGTACACATTTCATTTGAATGAATAGTGGTCAAATTGCACATCCGACGATCCGATCAAAGGTCAAATATCTTTTTGGGAGGAGTTTCAGATTGCAACAACCTAAACGCCGTCTCCCCAACGCTCCCTTTCACTCATGTTTCCCACAGCCACACAATCTACTGTTAGTTTAGTTAAAACATGTGGAGGAAGGTCTTTAGCTGCGGATTATTATATTTAGGATATAGGAGTTAGTCTTATCATCTGTTCTTCTACATGACCTAATAATAGCTTTACAAAATATGTAAAATTAAAAAAAAACAAATTTAAGAACAGGATTATAATTAAAATGTTACACATTTGAGATATTGTTTCTCAGCCAACAGAGACGTTTATATATATATATATATATCTTAATTGTATAGGTCAACACCAGTCCCTATTATTGTTATTATTGTTGTAATCTTTCTGTATTTAAATCTCTAGTTAGACATTGACTTTCTATTCAAGTTGCCCTTCTATTTGTGTTCCAATGTATTTGGTCCAATAACTCTTGTGTAAGTGCAGCACAACTAATTAAGGATAAATTGACTATTCTTCAGAGTGAAGCCGTAGTGTACAAACTTAGTTCATCAGTAGGTGAACCAGGTGTTTTTAGGTTCCCAAACACACCCAGCAGCCTCTGAGCAACACAAAACAAAGAAGAAAAAATGAAACTAGCTGACAGAGTAAACCAGGAAGGGAAAGTACAAGTGTTTTTGTATGTAATCGTTCTTTTAGGTGAGCGAGGGAGTGTCTTTGATTAGGATTTTCTTTTTTTTCTGAGATAAGTCTTATTAGAGTCTTCTCTTGAATGATATATTCAAAAAAACAGACAGCCAGTCTACCATTTAAAGGACGACTTGTTATGGTGTGGCTTCGTGAAAAATAGTATTTAACCCTCTTCCCCAAATATTTAATCGGTATTACTAAGTAGCTGCTCTACTGGAAACTGGAACTGTGGAAATTCTAGGTCATCCACATGTTTCGCCTCGTCACCAGTGTCCGTAAACTCAGCGTTATTTTTCACAGTGCAACCAGTTCCACTGACCGGACCATCATCAGCTTCTCATGTGTCATGTCTCTGAGTGCTCACTAGATGGCCATAATAAACAGCCTTGTGCCCACAACTCAAAGAAAAAAAAAACCAATAGATTCCAACAATGTACTCATTTTATTTGTGATCCTATCCTGTAATTTATTATCAGGTTATTAGAACTAAATGTTCTAACATTGTTCTAGCACTTTGATGCTAGGAATACTAAACGTGTCTGAAAAATTCCCAGACCCTGACAAGGGTTTTTGAAAGTTATAGAAAGAGAATTCTTAACCATTTTCAAACCACCAATGGATGCATAAATCTCTAATTGATGAGACGCAGATCTCTAGCAGACTCCACCATTCAAGAAACTAAAATTACAAGTACCTCATAGACCTAGATTGGTCTTCTGTATTGATAGTATCGATACTCAAAAAAGACTCAATCAGTGGTATCAGTACTTAGCGTACAGATTAACCCACCACATGTACATCATTGACTCAGATCACTTGGACTTTATTAGCCGTGTACATCTCTCTGGTTTCACATGTTTACATCATTTCTACAATCTAACTATTTCATTTATTAAAAAATATAGTTTTTATAACAAACTGGATAAAGATGCAAAGAGGATTTTCCAATTTAACCTGACAGTTGAGAAATAATGGAAGTACTGTAGCATGTTTATACTATTTGTGGTTCCCACAATGAGAGAAGAAAAACGAGAGCACACAGAAACCAGAGAGACAGAAAATGAAACCCGTTGACTCAGTGTCCTTGTGTCATGACATCATTTACAAATAGTAAGTAACAACTTTTTTATGGGGAACACATGCAAGAATATAAATGAGTGTTTGCACCTCGAGCATCACAAACATCTCAATTAATATCATGAACATTCTTTACATTGTGTGAGTCCCTTCTGTGTCCCTTGATGCTTCATCTCTTTAGACAGCGTGAGGAAGCTGGGGACAGCAGCACGGAAGTCAAATACTGAAACATCTCTATTTAAGAAGCTTATCTATTATTGTCAAGAATATAAAAGCTTGATGTTGATGCATAGTTTACGTTTCAGAGTTCACCTCCAATTTACCACAATCCCTGAAGCGTTAAACGCTGGAAACAAGATGTTTAACACCTCAGCTGACCGTTGGGGTGAAAAAGATGTGCAGCACAGTCGTTTCTCAGAAGTCTGCCTGCCTGCTCATCAGTGGGGGAAGTTTGATAGAGGTTGGGGGGGTGTTACTCTCACCCACGGGACTGCTGCTTTCTGTATATATAAGAGGAACCCTCAAACACCAACGCTACAGACTCTGGACGGACGCAAAGGAGACATCGGTTCTATTGAACTCTGGAGCTTTGTCTGCACAACCTGCTGCTCTGTCTGTGTAGAATGTCTCACAAGAAGATGCTGCAATGCTCCATGGGAGCTCTGCTTCTCCTCTTACCCTGGTTTGGTGGCCTGGTCCTGGGAGAGATCAGCAAGGACTTCTCCCAGTGCCTTGATTTCTTCTATAAGGAAACTCCACCCGCAGGTATCCCAGCAGAGGGGTACCAGCCAATATGCCAGCGCTACCAAAACCAGTACCGCTTTGCGAGCCTGTATCACCGTGAGCATCGTTCACCGCTGTACTCTGCGTACATACTCAGTCCTCCAGATGGTAAGCGGCCCAAATCTACCTGGATGTTTGAACCTCAGGTGAGTAGGACAACAGAGACCTTTTTCATAACTGTAATCGATTGAGAATTACTTTGCTTGCTCAGTTTGATTTTCGTTTGTATCTACTGTCATTACACGCCCAGTTTATTATATGTATTAGTGTGTTAAGCAGTCGACATTTGTAAAGAAACGGCATTCAAAACTATCTCCCTCAAGTGGAACCAAACTCTGCAAAGACTTTATTGTTACAACTTTCATGCAGGTAGAATTTGTTGAAAGACTTTTGCGATATAGTTACGATGTAGTGCGATCAGTTACAAGTTGTCATGACTAAAACAGAGTCATTTCTATCAAGGCATTACTGTAGAGTAAAGTGTATCTTAATAACTCATTTATTGGCCTTCCCTTGTAGATGTATTTGGAATTTGTGTTTACGTTTTAAGACAACAATATGACAGAGAACATTAATAGTTTCTGGTGAATATAAGTTTTCTCGTGGTCAATGTGTGATTGTGACACACATGATCTTTTATTTGGTGAAGTAACAGAGAAAGGAAAGTGGAAATCGGAAGTTCTGTTTATTATTCATTTTTCAAACAAAGAAAAAAGTAAAAAAAGTGTCCTTCTCTCTGTCGGTCATTCAGTTGGCGTTTTCCAGTGCCAGCTCAGAGATGCAAATCTTCCACATCCCCGTGGACCAGAATGTGATTGAGAGCCAGGCGGTGAATGAGGACTACAAGAACTCCAACTTCACCAAAGGACATCTCAATCCAAGCCTGCACCAGAAGACCAAACAAGACCGCAAGGCCACCTTTACACTGACTAACATTGTCCCACAGAAAAAGGGCTCCAACGCCGGACCGTGGAATGATCTGGAGAGGAAAGTTTTCGGAAAATTCAAGGCCTTCTGCAACGGGACTATGCATGTGATCACCGGAGTCATGCCGTACGAGTCTGAATCGCACTGGATCAACAACAGGGTGTCTGTCCCTGAGTACATGTGGTCCGCCTACTGCTGCCCATCCTTCAGATCCGACCTTCCTGAGCAAGAGAAGCCCTTTTTTCCCACGTATGCTGCAGTGGGAAGGAATGATCGTAACAGTGGAGAGGAGTTTGTGCCAGTTAACGTCAAGGCGAAACCCTCTGTGAAGGGCTACGATGTGAGGCGCATGTCCTTACAGGAGCTGGAGGACATCCTGAGACAGAGGCTGAATGCGCCCATCGCTCTGTTTAATGGACAGTGCAATCAGTAAATGTCTCTGTGGTGGGTGTGCGCTGCTGTATTCACCATGTGCAGCACATCTTTTCTTCTTTAATTACTTGAATGACCGTTCTAATCAGGAAAGGAAATACATTTTTTAAATGATTTTATTTTTCAAATAATATTTTTCCCTGTTATGTTGTGTCACCCTGTAACAACTGATTTCACTGTGATTTTACTAATGGAATAAGATATTAAATAGGTGAAGAGCCTTCTTATTAAACAGAATGAATATTGATTTTCTGTTGAAGTATCCACTTTGTTTATACACATGCAAACACCTCCAAATAAAATGGTTGCACATTTCACACTTTGTACTCTCTGTATGCACCAGCAGGATGTATAAAGTACAAATTACTGTCTGATGTGCTGAGCAACAAGTAACTTTAGGGACAAACTGTGTTCAATGTGATTTTTCTCAGGATGTTATCAGGTTATTGTTTTTAATTAGTTAAGACCTTAACCACCCTAACAGGCTGGATGAACCATCCATCCCACTACACGTGCATGTGTTTCCAATGCCAGAGAAAAAGGGAGTCTCAAAGCTGCTGTGTGATCATTTAAATAAACACAAATAGATTCAGGACTATATTACATATATACAGACTGGAAAACGCAATTATGATATAGAAGAGTAAAGTCCCTAATGATGTTATTGGATGTTACATTACATTACAGGTCATTTAGCAGACGCTTTTATCCAAAGCAACTACATTATATTTGTAACCCATGGATTTCACATTTTGCCCGGGGAGCAATTAGGGGCTAGGTGTCTTTCTCAGGGACACTTCGACTTGGGACATGGGGCAGCCGGGACTCTAACCACCAACCTTGCGGCTCCCAGCACACCCTCTCTACCCCTGCGCCACGACGAATGTTGTATTTTAATCGCACATCTTCCACAAACACATTTTGATTGACATAGTTTGAACCCTGAAGCTTTTGGGGACACTTTAATTCTAGTGGCCACTTTGCATGATTAGTAAACCAGCTTTGCTTAATGCGGTCAATATGAAAATATTGTTACATCTTTAATACACTAAATATATTAAATTCACCGGCTCAGCTACGTTGCAAATCAAGTCCGCAGTAGTTTGGAGCCAAATCCAGGTCAGAAGTTTTGATCATTCGAAAAACAACAAACATTGAAAAATACAACAATGTATTCAAAAAACGGAAGAGGGAAGGAGTTACCCGGCCCGGAGGAAGCCCGGGGCCCCCATTTGGAGCCAGGCCCAGATGGAGGGCCCGACAGCGAGCGTCTGGTGGCCGGGTTTACCGCGGAGCCCGGCCGGGCACAGCCCGAAGGAGTGACGCGGCAGCCCAAGACTGTACTCCCCATGGGCTCACCACCTGTGGAGGAAACCGATGGGGTCGGGTGCGCTGCTACAAGGGTGGCAGTCACAGTGGGGGGTCTAGACGGAACAGACCTGGGCGGCAGATGCTGGCTCTGGGGACGTGGAATGTAACCTCTCCTTGGGGGAAGGAGCCGGAGCTTGTGCGGGAGGTGGAGCGTTATCAGTTGGATCTGGTGGGGCTTACCTCTACGCACAGCCTCGGCTCTGGAACCACACTCCTGGATAGGGGGTGGACTCTATTCTACTCCGGAGTGGCCCATGGTGTGAGGCGTCAGGCGGGTGTGGGGATAATCATAAGTCCCCGGCTGAGTGCTGCTACATTGGAGTTTACCCCGGTGGACAAAAGGGTCGCCTCCCTACGCTTTCGGGTGGTGGGGGGGGAAACTCTGATTGTTGTCTGTGCATATGCACCAAACAGCAGCTCAGAGTATTCGGCCTTTTTGGAGACTCCAAGTCTCTGAATGGAGTCCTGCATGGGGCTCCAGTAGGGGACTCCATAGTCCTACTGGGAGACTTCAATGCGCACGTGGGCGACGATGGAGATAAGTGGAGAGGCGTGATTGGGAGGAATGGCCTCCCTGATCTGAACCCGAGCGGGTGTTTGTTACTGGACTTCTGTGCCAGTCACGGATTGTCCATAACAAACACCATGTTCGAACATAAGGATGTTCATAAGTGTACGTGGTACCAGAGCACCCTAGGCCAAAGATCAATGATCGATTTTGTAATCGTATCGTCTGATCTGAGGCCGCATGTTCTGGACACTCGGGTAAAGAGAGGGGCAGAGCTGTCAACTGATCACCATCTGGTTGTGAGCTGGGTCAGAGGATGGGGGAAGACTCTGGACAGACCCGGTAAACCCAAGCGTGTAGTGAGGGTGAAGTGGGAACGTCTGGAGGAGGCCCCGGTCCAAAAGATTTTCAACTCACACCTGTACCCAACTACTACGCCCTCTTTGGTAGAGGCGGAGCTGGAGGCGGAGGAGGGATCATCGTCAATTGGTCTGGTGGAGGTCACTGAGGTAGTCAAACAACTACCGGTCAATCTTTGTTCCTACCCTCACCTATGGTCATGAAGGATGGGTCATGACCGAAAGAACTAGGTCACGGGTACAAGCGGCCGAAATGGATTTCCTCAGGAGAGTGGCTGGCGTCTCCCTTAGGGATAGGGGAGAAGCTCAGCCTTTCGCGAGGAGCTCGGAGTAGAGACGCTGCTCCTTTGCTTCAAAAGGAAGCCAGTTGAGGTGTTTGGGGCATCTGGTGAGGATGCACCCTGGGCGCCTCCCTAGGGAGGTGTTCGAGGGCACGGCCAGCTGGGAAGAGGCCCCGGGGAAGACCCAGGACTAGGTGGGGAGATTATATCTCTGCACTGGCCTGGGAACGCCTTGGGATCCCCCAGTCAGAGCTGGTAGATGTGGTCCGGGAAAGGGAAGTTTGGGGTCCCCTGCTGGAGCTGTTGCCCCCACGACCCGACCCCGGATAAGCGGTTGAAAATGGATGGATGGGACAATGTATTCAAAATAAAAAAGTGGACGAAATATAGTTGGATATAGAACAATAATTAATGTTAACAATACAATTTTTATGCAAATTAAAAAAACTAAGACATTGACATTAGTCTCAGCAGACAGTTCTTTTGCAAGCCGTGCGGCTCTTCACAAAGGAAGGTCTCGTAGAACTGTAGACTTTCTGTGGGCAATCACTTGTCTGAAAAATAACAATTGGACATAAAATAAAAAATGTGTGCTGACCACAGAAGAAAAGGGGTAGAACACCAAAGGGTGACAGACCAAATTGTATTTTGGTGCTTTTTTTAAAACGTGGAAAGATGCCATCACATATTTGTTAGCAAATATCCAAACCCATTCAGTCCATTTTAGACTTAATAGTATAGTACGATTCTGGTCCCAGTTCAAATCTAATTTAGAACCCCTGCTAGACCACATTCCCAAACTACTTGTTGACTACCTGTTCATCACGGTTGTCTATGAGGATCCTCATATGTTCCGCTGTGTGATCTGTAATAAGCTGCAATGAGTGTGTTATGTACAGTTGATTAAAACGTTTTTTTGGATCTTTCAAAAGAAGGGCGAACATTTGGCAAAATGTATAACCCATCATCAATGATTAAAGAATATATGTTTAAGAGTCTCACTAGTAACAAAAGAACGGTGGTCCAAAAGAACGGCGTGTTGCTTAATGTATCCTTCCCTACCTGTACGTATCTAGTGCACCTTTAGTGCATATTATATAGTTGCAGGCCTACCAACTCTCACGGTTTCGCCGTGTGACACACGCTTTTGCATGTTTTCACACGCACTCACACCACACAACCAATTTCTCACGGCAAAAAAAAAAATCTGATTTTGGGCCGAAGCGCGTTCGTTCCTTTTCAAACTCCCCGACAATAGATGGCGCTAAGGAGCGCATCTGTAAACCCATTCGCTGCATAGACATCCTATTTACCCCAAAGAGTCCCGAAGTTAGCAACAGAAGAAGATTTTCAAACAGACACAACCGCGGGAGAAACTCAGGAGGAGCAAAGACTAAGGTATGTTAATGACATGTGGTTCAATTAAGTACTCACTCTCTTAAACTTTAAATCTTGAAAGAAATTATTTGTTGTGTTTGTGCGTGTGATTTTGAGTGGTGAATGTAAACTCAGCTGTCATAACAAGCAGCACTGCTGCTAATCTAATCTTAAACACAGGTCTATTAATTAGGCTATATTGTGGTACATAGACAGTCATTGAGGCACAGCAATAGTTTTCTGGTTGAATGTTCAGCTCAAGTCTAGAAGGCCCAACAAGTCATGAGCAGATGAACATAAATCAGAATAAGTTCAGGCATACCACCCAAAAATCCACGAGAATGCATGAAATAACATCTACTTAAACCAAAATGTCCTGGGGGTGGACCATCAGCTATGTCTTTGCTTCACAGAATGTAACCAATGTTGTCCATCTCCAGTAGGCCGCCCCTATCAACGACTTTGGGCCCCACAAACCACCAGAATGCAGGGTACAACATGGGTACTACGCCAAATGAATTCCAATTTCCTGATATTTGAGCCACCAACGTGTGTGGCTGCGTGCGCGGCAAAATTTTGGTCACCCCCGACAAAATCTCACTCCAAGGTTTTTTGAAAAGTTGGCAGCTCTGTAGTTGTAAAATATATATATTTTTATATATTCCTGTTCCTGTTGAGAACACATGTTACCGAAATAAAATTAGAACACATACATGGGAAATAAAACAGATTCTGTTCTTAATTAAATGTGACAAGCTGACACGGAGTTGTTATTTCCAATATCGCTCCCTCCTCGCAGGAAAGGGACACTGCCACTGAAGACTCGATCAATGTTGTAAAATGGGGTAGTATTACTCATATTTAAAACACGCGTTTTCATGAGTATTCTTACTCAATTAAAATTTATATATAAAAAGTAAAATATCAATCAAATAAAACATATATATATATATATATATATATATATGTTTATATATATATATATATATATATATATATATATATATATATATATATATATATATATAAGTTTTCTCTACTTTTCAGTACGGTTTCAGTGGATTGCACTCGTTATCAGTAAAGTTGAAATTTTGAGTATATATATATATATATATATATATATATATATATATATATATATAAATATATATATATTTAGATTATGTATATGTATATATATATATTTATATACATCTTTTAAAAAAAAAAAAATTCTCCATTGCTCATGGTGGTGCCACACCCCATTGCCCTCTATGGACCAGTCGCAATTGGGGGTGGATTACTCTCATCCACAGGACTGCTGCTTTCTGTACATATAAAAGCAACCCTCAAACGCCATCACTACAGACCCTGAATGGACGCAAAGGAGACATCGGTTCTATTGAACTCTGGAGCTCTGTCTGCACAACCTGCTGCTCTGTCCGTGTAGAATGTCGCACAAGAAGATGCTGCAATGCTCCATGGGAGCTCTGCTTCTCCTCTTACCCTGGTTTGGTGGCCGGGTCCTGGGAGAGATCAGCAAGGACTTCTCCCAGTGCCTTGATTTCTTCTATAAGGAAACTCCACCCACAGGTATCCCAGCAGAGGGGTACCAGCCAATATGCCAGCGCTACCAAAACCAGTACCGCTTTGCGAGCCTGTATCACCGTGAGCATCATTCCCCTCTGTACTCTGCGTACATACTCAGTCCTCCAGATGGCAAGCGGCCCAAATCTACCTGGATGTTTGAACCTCAGGTGAGTAGGACAACATAGCTGAACATTACTTTATTCAGTTTATGTTTGTATCTACTGTCATTACATACCTAGTTTTTAGTTTATTATATGTATTAGTGTGTAAAGGAGTGGACAAATGAAATCAAACATCATTCAAATCTATCTCCCTCAAGTGAAACCAAAACCTCTGACAAGTCCTTATTATTACAACTTTCATGCAGATAGAATTTGTTGAAGAGCCGTTGCGATGCAGATCATTAGTTTAATGCAGCAAAAGTTGTCCTGACTAAAACACAGTAAAGTCAATACTATCGAGGCATTGCATTGAAGTGTGGCTTAATAACTCAAAAGAAATAAAATAACATAATGCAAATGACAAAGACAACAATAAGACAGAACATTAATAGTTTCTGGTGAAGTTTTCTCGTGGTCAATGTGTGATTGTGACACACATGATCTTTTCTTCAGTGAAGTAACAGAGAAAGGAAAGTGGAAGTCCTAAATTCTGTTTGAGATTTATTTTTCAAACATCGTGAGTGAATCGATCACACACCCAACTTTTGTTTTCTGATGAATTAGAAGAACAAAGTAAAAACGGTTGTGTCCTTCTCTCTGTCGGTCATTCAGTTGGCGTTTTCCAGTGACAGCAAAGAGATGCAAATCTTCCACCCCCACATGAACAAGAATGTGATCGAGAGCCAGGCGATGGAAGAGGACTACACAAACTCCACAACACTACACAACATCACCAAAGGCCATCTCAATCCAAGCGGGCACCAGAAGACAGAAGAAGACCGCAAGGCCACCTTTACACTCACTAACATTGTCCCACAGGAAGAGTTCTCCAACTCCGGACCGTGGAGTGATCTGGAGCAAGAGGTTTTAGGAAAATTCAAGGCCTTCTGCAGCGGGACTATGCATGTGATCACCGGAGTCATGCCGTACGAGTCGAAACCACGCAGGATCAACAACAGGGTTTCTGTCCCTGAGTACATGTGGTCCGCCTACTCCTGCCCATCCTTCAGATCCGACCTTCCTGAGCAAGAGAAGCCCTTTTTCCCCACGTATGCTGCAGTGGGAAGGAATGATCGTAGCAGTGGAGAGGAGTTTGTGCCAGTTAACGTCAAGGCGAAACCCTATGTGAGGGGCTACGATGTGAGGCGCATGTCCTTACAGGAGCTGGAGGACATCCTGAGTAAGAGGCTGAATGGGACCATCACTCTGTTCAATGGACAGTGCAAGTATGAAATGTCTCTGTGGTGGGTGTGCGCTGCTGTATTCACCATGTGCAGCACATCTTTTCTTCTTTAATTACTTGAATGACCGTTCTAATCAGAAAAGGAAATACATTTTTCAATGATTTTATTTTTCCCTGTTATGTTGTCACCCTGTAACAACTGACCCTGTGATTTTACTAATGGAACAAGACAATAAATAGGTGAAGAGCCTTCTTAATAAACAAATTGAATATTGATTTTCTGTTGAAGTATCCACTTTGTTTATTATACACATGCAAACACCTCCAAATAAAATGCTTGCACATTTCACACTTTGTACTCTCCGTATGTACCGCAGCAGGCAGATGCCGTGCCAGTAGGATGTGTAAAGTACAAACTGGACAAACTGTGTACACTGGGATATTTGTTAGGATGAGTTCTTTTAATTAGTTAAGACCGTAACCACCCTCATAGGCTGGATGAACCATCCATCCCACTGTACGTGCTACATGCACATGTCTCCGAGGCTGCTGTGTGATCATTTAAATAAACACAAATTGATTCAGGACTATATTACATGTATGCACTAAACTGGAAAACACAATAATGACATAGAAGAGTAGTCAGTTGATGTCGTACTTAATCGCGCATCTTACAGAAACAAATTTTAAAAGAGTTTTAAACTTTTGGAGACACTGGAATAATGGTTTGCTGAGGTTTATATAAAGATATATTAAAATGATTAATACACTATCTATATTAAATACTATATACTGATTTTAGCCAAAACAATAATACACTTAAGTAAAAACTATGAATTAATAATGAAACTGAAACCATTAAGGATGCTTTTGTTTTATTACATGATGTCTTTCCAGTGGTTACAAAGTCTAGAACTAATTAATCAGCATGTTATATATTTAGCTTGACTAATCCGTATAAAAACTCCACAAAGCCACAGGCCAGAACAGAGCCGACATGAATTAAAGAGTTGTTGCTATAACCCAAAAAGGTTGAAAAAATATCAAACAAGTTAAATGAAGTTTTAGCATGGACATTTGGTGGACGTTACGCTGAGCTTACGAGCTGCTGGCTGAAGCTTTATATTCAAGACAGAGTTTGTGTTTTCTGTATTGTTTTCTCGAACCCAACCCTATCGCACCAAGCCCGACGCATCGCCCGCTCCGTGTCCCTTACACTTTTTTTTATTCATATAGGATGTATTTTTTCACATTCCGTTTCTAATGTCTAACTATTCTGACAAATACAACGCTCTTTGAAATAGCATGCTTGTATTACTATGCTATTATATTGTCATTATGTTATCAGTGGCATAAAATAAAATAGAAAATTGCAATAATACCTCATATCACTATAAATGTTGGTGCAATCACACAACAAAAATTTGATATCGTGACAGCCCTAAGCCAGGCTTGATATGTGTTATTAGTACAGTGCCAAGTCAGACTCCTTCAACATTTATTTACTCAGTAAATGTTAAATGTTGTCTTGTCAAATGGAGCTTAAGCGGTAGTTCTAGAAGGATTACTCCCTTTTTGCCACGGGTAATTGTGAAATGCTTCAGCTGGTCTCCCTGAATTTACCAATTAGCAGAGACTGGCTGCGCCCAGGTGTATTCGACCAACAGAGGCGGTGCTGTGGCTCTAAACCAATCACATTGTTGCTGTCAAACCTTTTAAGGGGTTCTCTCTGTGCTGTCAGGTGTCATTTCAGTGCAAAACCGGATGCGACCCTCCTCCCCCCCCAGGCACCTCCAATATCAGGCATTCTTCACTCGTCCTGGGTTTTCATCAACTCCCTTCTTCACCACCAGTGTCTGGACTCCAGGGAGGATTCTGTCAAGCAGAACTCTGCATCACGGCCCCTTGATTATCCCGGTTTAGGATGGAGTCCAATCGCCAAAGATTCTGCACTATTTCAACATTCAGTTCAGAAGTTTTTTCACTCAAAGGGATGAGTCGTTCTCCATCTGCATGCACGGGTAAATAGCTGAAACGGATGACTTTTAACAACCAAACACTGAAATGGATAAAAGGCCTTGTGATACAATGAAATATTTATTTTGCAATGATATGGCCAAAACAAATTAAATACCAAGCTGTCAATTATATTGTCTGGCAAAAAACAAGGGCATCGGTTGCAACATGTGAGCGACTTTTTGATAAAAATGACAAATGTACGACTATCATACAGTATAAATAAGTACAAGCTTTGTACATACAAAGGACACCTGTAGGATATTAGAAATAAATTGACGACCCGGTTCATAAATTAATAAAATGCATTTAGTGTACACCAGAATACAGCTATGATTCTGAAACTGTGTAATCAATAAAGTAATGACAATATTGTAAAACCACTGTAATATTGAAACTGCAATCGAATAACATCAATGTACAGTTATGATTGTATTTAATGTAATGTAATCAACTGGAATGCATGCAGAGAGAGAGAGAGAGAGCGGTGAAGAAGGAGCGGGGATGCTTATGAATGTTGTGTATGTTGCGACCGGAGAAAAACTTTACACACTGGAGCATAGAACGAAGTCTCACCTGCGATCTCCAACTACGGTCAGAGACAGACAGGCAGGAAAGGTTAACACTGGCGACCACAAAGGGACACTGAGAAATATAAAAATATCAGCTGTGGTAAGCACAGAAAATAACCGGTGAGATAAACCGGAGCAGTTAGCATAACAGTACTGTCTTCCCATTCAAAGTTAGAACGTTAGCCAAGATGGCAGCCTCCGGTGGGTGCTTTGTGACTGAACGTAAACAAAAACAAAGTTTACATGAGAAAATGACCAGCCACTTCAGCCAATGTCGTTCACTGCAATGGAGGAAGTTAAAATAAAAGCTGACTGTTTGCACTTGAGAAGCGGATATGACTGGATTGATAACCTTTTATCATGCGATGGGCAGACTGTTAACAGGAAATGTTAAAAAAGTGAAACATATGATATACCCATCAAGCCACTCAAGTTATCAGACACTAACCTTTTTAAAGCTGATGTGGAAAGAGACTGTGGGACTGAGATGTAAAGAACCATGCTCACACATGCATAATAATGGTGATGGCACCGCAGCAGTGCCATTAATTGCCCAGCACTAACCCCTTTGCCACTGCCCACTCAGGGAGTTTCATTCATAGCGTTGATGGAAATTCACTCAAGAATGTTAATAATGCAGCAACGGCATTACAGCCCCCTCTTCCCATATATCAGCCACATCATGGCTTCCTCTGAGAGTGAGGATGAGTATGACTCCAGGGCAAGAATACCCACATAGCCGCATGAAAATAAATTGCTCTTCTCCAAGGAAAACTACCAGGGGTTAACCTCCAGCTCTTCTCCATCACCGCCCCGAGCCCACTGTGCTTCACTTTAGAACCCACAGTCAGGAAACGAGCATTCATCTGAAAATCAATGAGTTGGATTTTTGTGCTGCGCTAGACAGTGGGGCGCGGAAGAGTGTGCTGCCCTTGCATCGCTACAATGCCATCCAAGACGAACAGCTTCAGCTAGCCCAACTGCTGTATACCTATGGCAATGCTTTCTCTACTGGACCAGGTGATCTGGGCCACACTAGCATGGTGCAACACGACATCATGACCCAGCCAGGAGCTCCAATCAAGCTGGCACGAGAGAAGCAGCAGGATGCTGATCAACAAGTACAGCAGAGCCTGGAAGTCGGTTTGGCCCGTCGCGGCCATAGCAGCTGGGCCTTGCCCATAGTGATGGTGCGTAAAAAGGATGGCGCTAACTGTCTCTCTGCGGATTACCGTGAAAAATGTTTTCCTGTAAACTGGGATATTTTATTTTGAGTTGCTCTTACATTCTCTGGTTGCATCGGTGATGTTATGACTAGTAAATGACATGAATACATGAATGTCTTGCCAAGGATTGTAGCGCCCCACGCCCTATGTGTGCCCTAGGGCGCAGGACCGAAGGACTGCCAATTTTTACTGTATAACTATGCCAATGACTGTTGCACCCGCTAATGGACGGTGGAAGACGGGTTGCCCAGACCATCCTGAATGAACTCTGCAAATGAGTGATACGTACCTGTGGGAAGCAAACGAGCAAGGTTGAATTACAAGTTGTTGCATGTTGTGCAAGTTAGGTAATTGCCATCCAGAGTGGGGGTAGTGTTGTAAAACGGTGCGGCCCCTTTAAGAGCAGCACGTCCGGGCCGGGTATGGGGGAGAGAGAGAGAGAGAGAGGTGAAGAAGGAGCGGGGATGCTTACGAATGTTGTGGATGTAGCGACCGCAGAAGAACTTGTGTTACCCAGTGTGTAAATAATAAATCATCAAGAAAGAATACAGTGGGCATTTATTTGCTAATCAGCAACAGGAAGGAAAGGAAAGTGGATTAACCCCGAAGTTACGAACAGGTAAATACTTCGGTCCTGCAGCATAGAACTTAGTCTCATCTGCAATCTCCAACTACGGTAAAAGATAGACAGGCAGGAAACGTTAACACTATGCATATTAAATACTATGTACTGGTGTTAGCCAAAGCAGTAATAAACTTCAAGGAAAACTATGAATTAATAACGAAACCGAAACTGTTGTTACATCCTTTCTTTGAGCCCTTTCGACTTCCACAACCCAGTAATTTTTCCAGTGGTTACAAAGTCTAGAACTAATTAATTAGCATGTTGTATATTTAGTTTGACTCATCCGTGTAAAGACCCCACAAAGCCACCGGCCAGAAAAGAGCCGTCATAAATCCAAGCTTTGTTGCTTTGGGTGCGAGGGGTGCTTCCCGCACGCTTCCCGCACGCCTCGCACCCGTACGGACGCTCGCCGGTGTGAATCCGGCGGTGTCGCTCCAGATTGCCCATGGGCGGCTGAAGCTGCGTCCGCATTGAGGGCACCGGTGCGGCCTGGCGGCTGCTGCACGACAGGGCTGCAAGGATTTATTAGCCCGGAGGTAAAACAATTCATAAAAAACACACTTACATAATTCTGTATTGAGATATGATATGATAGCCCAGTGGCGGATGGAGGATTTTAGGACGCTGAAATTATAATGTAATTAACTGTATCAGTGATTGGCTAAACTGCTTAGACCCTCCGTCTTTGGGACCGGCCGAGCTGAGACATGCAGACAGGAGAGGACTCGCAGAAAAAGCATGTATTTTGCGCAGATATCTTAACTTACAAATAATACCGGGTAAATAAAGCACGTTTCAAAAACACACATATTGACTATTTGTATTTTGAATATAATAAAGAACAAAATATTAATATTGTTAGCAGAGATGGTTCGCTCAACGGTCCCGGCGTTCATACCCAATGCTAGGCCGAATATTATGGAAGTACAAATAACACAAGTGGAGCATCATGGCTGTTTGACTTGAACTGAGTCGTCTTTATTGAACGCAGATTCACTTGACCTCTCCTAGGTCACATGTCCATTCAAGGGCATCCTATTGGCCACCGCTTAACACACAATACTGGATATAATGTATAGGAAAGTAAATACAACAGATTGTGACAATGGAGGGCATATACTCATATATGTTAACAAATATATATAGTTTTTTTGCCCCTCCGTCGCTCATGTTGGTGCCACACCCATTTGCCCTCTATGGACCAGCCGCTATTGCGGGGGGTTACTCTCATCCGCAGGACTGCTGCTTTCTGTGGAGAGGAACCCTCAAACACCAACACTACAGACTCTGGAAGGACGCAAAGGAGACATCGGTTCTATTGAACTCTGGAGCTTTGTCTGCACAACCTGCTGCTCTGTCCGTGTAGAATGTCGCACAAGAAGATGCTGCAATGCTCCATGGGAGCTCTGCTTCTCCTCTTACCCTGGTTTGGTGGCCTGGTCCTGGGAGAGATCAGCAAGGACTTCTCCCAGTGCCTTGATTTCTTCTATAAGGAAACTCCACCCACAGGTATCCCAGCAGAGGGGTACCAGCCAATATGCCAGCGCTACCAAAACCAGTACCGCTTTGCGAGCCTGTATCACCGTGAGCATCGTTCCCCTCTGTACTCTGCGTACATACTCAGTCATCCAGATGGCAAGCGGCCCAATTCTACCTGGATGTTTGAACCTCAGGTGAGTAGGACACAGGAGTTCAACATTACTTTATTCAGTTTATTGTCATACCTAGTTTTTAGTTTATTATATGGATTAGTGTGTTAAGGAGTGGACAAATGAAAAGAAACAGCATTCAAAACGATCTCCCTCGGGTGAAACCAAAACCTCTGCAAAGTCTTTATTGTTACAACTTTCATGCAGATTGTTTTCTAAAGAATTAGAAGAACAAAGTTTTAAAAAGTTGTGTCCTTCTCTCTGTCGGTCATTCAGTTGGTGTTTTCCCGTGCCAGCTCAGAGATGCAAATCTTTTCTACCCCCGTGGACCAGAATGTGATGGAGAGCCAGGCGGTGAATGAGGACTACAAGAACTCCAACTTCACCAAAGGACATCTCAATCCAAGCCTCCACCAGAAGACCAAACAAGACCGCAAGGCCACCTTTACACTGACTAACATTGTCCCACAGCAAAAGGGCTCCAACTCCGGACCGTGGAATGTTCTGGAGCAGGAGGTTTTAAGAAAATTCAAGACCTTCTGCAACGGGACTATGCATGTGATCACCGGAGTCATGCCGTACGAGTCTGAACCGCACTGGATCAACAACAGGGTGTCTGTCCCTGAGTACATGTGGTCCGCCTACTGCTGCTCATTCGTCAGATCCGACCTTCCTGAGCAAGAGAAGCTCTTTTTCCCCACGTATGCTGCAGTGGGAAGGAATGATCGTAACAGTGGAGAGGAGTTTGTGCCAGTTAACGTCAAGGCGAAACCCTCTGTGAGGGGCTACGATGTGAGGCGCATGTCCTTACAGGAGCTGGAGGACATCCTGAGACAGAGGCTGAATGTGCCCATCGCTCTGTTTAATGGACAGTGCCAGTATGAAATGTCTCTGTGGTGGGTGTGCGCTGCTGTATTCACCATGTGCAGCACATCTTTTCTTCTTTAATTACTTGAATGACCGTTCTAATCAGGAAAGGAAATACACTTTTAAAGCAATGCTCCATGGGAGCTCTGCTTCTCCTCTTACCCTGGTTTGTTGGCCTGGTCCTGGGAGAGATCAGCAAGGACTTCTCCCAGTGCCTTGGTTTTTTAATAATAATACTCCACCCACAGGTATCCGAGCAGAGGGGTACCAGCCAATGCCACATGCACTTACAGACAAATAATGTCCTAAGCTTGCACATGGAAGAAGGCTCTTCGAGGAGGAATTCAGCTTCAAGCGAAACCAGCGTGTTCTCTCGTGGTACATCAACTCAATAAAAAGAACCAATCCTGCGCGTCTTCCCTCCTGTTGGCTCTCCACTAGGTGGCGGTATCTACTCATCCACAGCTCCTAAAGCTCCTAAATTTAGGTAGGCATTTCTTAGAGAAGGCATGATATAAGAAGAGTAAAGTCCCTAATGATGTTAGTGGGTTATATTTTAATCGCACATCTTCCACAAACACATTTTTTGAAAAAGTTTGAACCCTGAAGCTTTTGGGGACACTGGAATTCTGGTGGCCACTTGGCATGATTAGTAAACCAGCTTTGCTTAAAAGGGTGAATATGAAAATATTGTCACATTTTTAATACACTATGTATATTAAATACTATATATACTGGTCTTGGTCTGAAAAGGTTTAAGGACACTTTTGTTTTGTTACATAATTTCTTAGAGCCCTTTTGACTTCCACAATTCAGTTCTCCAGTGGTCACAAAGTCTAGAGCTAATTAAAGCCAGAAAAAAAGCTGACATGAATCCAAGAGTTGTTGCTTTTACCTTTCAGTTGAAAAAAAGAAAATGTAAAACAATGGAAAGTTTTGGTGCGGACATTTGATGGACGTTACGCTGAGCTTACGAGCGAGATGTGGTCAAATGTGTGACAGTAAACATGCAGGTGAGATGAAACCAAACTAGATTGTGGTCAAATGTGTGACAATCAGTCTGTTTAAATAGCACTGAGTACTAAAGCGTGAGGCGTTCCACTTAACATACCTGTACACAGTTCATCTTTCATAGCCAGGCTTGAAATGTGTTATACAGTGTATAGTCAGACTCCTTCAACATTTATTTAGTAAGTAAATGTTAAATGTTGTCTTGCCAAATGAAGGTTGGAAGTTAATGTGATCTTGAAATGTTTACTAACAATCAATCGATTCCAATAAACAATAAATAAACACTGAAATGGATAAAAGGCCTTGTGATAAATTGAAATATTTATTTCTTAATGATATGGCCAAAACACAAAACATATAAAATACCAAGCTGTCAATTACATTGTCTGGCAAAAAACAAGGGCACCAGTTGCAACACGTGAGCGCCTTTTTGATAAAAACGACAAATGTAATATAAATAAGTACAAACTTTGTACATACAAATGAGACCACCTCAAATCGATATGGCTGTAGAAGAGCATATAGAGAAACACCAAGTACAACGGACTGCGGTCGGTCGATATATAGACAGCTGGACAGTGTTAAAGGTTCAGAAAGCCCACGAGGGAGATCTCACTCCTTTGTTCTCGTCCTAGTTACACAATTACAAAATGAAATACAATGTGAATAGTCAAATATTTCACGAAATAGAGAATTCTCGGACCAAGTCTAAAGTGACTTATCAAAGCGGCTGCAGGAGAATCCTGACAGTCTTTTCCCCGCGCTGGTCCTTTGAAATCTCCTGAGGTGTGTCTTCTTGGGTGCATTTGAATGTCATTGGCTTCTCCTTCAAACGTGTCTCCTCCTGGATTGTCTCTTTCACATCGAGGTATGAATCTTCTGCTGTAACCTGTCTTTTCTGGCACTCGCATTCCAACACATTCAATGTAAATACCATTGGCTGTTTGCCTCAATGAGTGAATATAACATTGACTTCACCTTATAACTAGTACACTTTAATTACAACACATCATAAATGACACACAGTTCATCACACTACATCATACGGTTTAATACAGTTCATGTGGTCCAACACTCAAGACATTTGTCTCAATCTGCTGTCTTACATTCAGTTGCTCATCTAGTACCTGACATGAGAAAAAACTCCCCAAAAACCCTCTTTGGGGAGAAAATGAGGAGAAATCCATAAAGGACAGCAACTAGCATCCGTCCCCAGGTTTTGTCAGGGATGTTGCGTGGGGAAAAAGGCAGGACTCAAACGTAGAGTTTGCGGGAAACAAAAAGGACTTTAATAGTCAAAAGGGCAAAAGGCCAACAGGCAAAAACTGTCACACCTGTATGTCAAGTTGCGTTTTTGTCCTGTCTCCAGTTGTTTTTTGACTTCCTGTTTTATTTTGGAAACTAACTCCCTCTCGTTTCAGGTCCCTTGCCCTTCCTCATGTGTCACCAGTCTGATTGTCTCCCCTGATTCCTGATTGTGTCCACCTGTTCCCACAACTCCCTCATGGGTACTTATAGTCTGCGTCGCCCCTTGTCCTGTGCCAGTGTGTCTTGTTGTTTTGCCCTGCACACCAGCCCTCACGTCACGAGTCAAGTCAAGTCCGATAACGTTTGTCACGTCCTTTTGATCCCTGTTACATTTCCTCGTTTAAGAGAGATTTTGAGTTTTTGCCTTTTGAATTTTGATCTCAACCTTTTTTCCTCATTAAGAGAGATTTTGAGTTTTTTCCTTTTGAACTTTGATCGCAACCTTTTTTCCTCATTAAGAGAGATTTTGAGTTTTTTCCTTTTGAACTTTGATCGCGACCTTTGTTTCCTCGTTAAGAGAGATTTTCAGTTTTTTCTTGTTATTAATAAAAAGCAATATCAGCTGAACCCTCTGCGTCCGAGTCCTCCTCCTTCCTGCCTGACAAAAACACATACAAGTACCGGGGGGAAAAAGGCAGGCAGGAAGCGAGGAACATCCAGAACAATAGACAATGACGCGACAAGAGACACGCACTGCTTAAATACACTAGGGAGGTGCAGGTGATTGGACACAGGTGGAAACAATCAGACAATCACAGGGGACGACAGGACAAGGCAGGAAGTGAAGTTACCCGGGGACACGACTGGCAGAAAACTACAAAATAAGACAGGAAGTGAACCACACCATGACAGTTTTAACATCACATTGTGACAGAATGTTGGTGTGTACATAAAAATGTGTGTTTATATGATTTACATGACTATAAATTGTGTTTGATTCATATTGAATTTACTTCATCTAACATGTTAATATAACTAACATCTAACATCACACAAACTACAATTCTACACTAAACATTTCTACATGTATTATCATTTCTACCACTAGGTGTGCACTTCTACTTAAATCCCTAACAACAGTGGCCATGGAAGTCGAAATCCGCTGAGCAGTGTAACAACTCATCTGCCGAATCCTCTAGCCCTGGGAATGGTTGGAGCGTGTTGTGGAATATTTCAATAAAACTAGTTCGGGAGAAGAGAATGTTTTTATTAGATAAACCTAGAAACAAATCAGAGTCTTGATGAATGCTCAAAGTTGTAAAAGTCAATTTATTGCTTGTAAGCAGGAGGTCAAATACACTAGCGCGTATTACAGTGCTGTGTGGAGATGGCGTCTCCGAACAGTCAAAGTACTGAGCTTTTATACACACACATAGAGGACCGCGGTGGCACTGAATCCTAACCACTAGACCACACGGGTGATATGAAAGTGAGACAGGAAATTTGTGCTGATACAAATGGAACTAGGTTGTGAAACTTGCAGAGCAGGTGAGACATTTCGGGTGAAGTTCAAGATTGGGTGGCAGTTTCCTTTTTCCGAGCATACACAACCACAACAGAAACTTCAATACAGACACTTATCACCCTTTTAGCATAAGACTATGTTATAACATATTTTTTTCCATTACAGGCTTCTTAGGCCCCTAGCCGGCCGCAAGGGCTACTACGTGGTGAGCATGGAAGTCTAGGGCAGCTCTAGTGGTAGTAGCAAATATTCAAACAAGAAATTTGAGGGCTGAATTGGAGAAGTGTTCGGCAGGGAAACATGAGTTGAACATGGGTCAGTCGGTCCTAAGAGATGGGCGAGCACCGTTTCTAAGAGCGGTGCGATGGTCTACGTCGCCCCCGGCAGATCGAAAGGGAGTCAGGTTCAGATCCCTGGACCTGGAGTTCCACGAGGCGCCCACTGTAGTGACACAAACAATTCCCGAGATGCTGGGGGGAACTTCGCCCTCCTCTCCCCGCTCTGGGTTCTTCTCGCGGAATACCCCAGCTATGGTGCTTGTCTGCGGGGCCAATGGGTTGGGTTACCTGACGCCTAGAAGCTGACTTACAACGGACCAGGGGAATCCAGCTGTTTAATTAAAACTGGGGCTGTGAATAGATAATAAAAAATAACTAATTAATCGCACATTTTGAAATTCAAAAACCTCAATTAATGGCGATTAATGAAGGTTGTTGTCGTTACAAAGTTGTTTTATTTATTTTTATTTTTTATTTATTTATTGAATGTGTCACAAATTCACCATTGTATTAGTTTTTTCACCCCCTGCCTGCTTGTCAATTAACTCTACTATCATTCCAGATCTTGTCATCAACAATAAATCATATTTCATTCTCTTCACCTGGTCCTGAGGCCATTCCCTCATTAGTCCCTCACTATTTACGTCCCCACACTTGTCCTCTGCCAGATTGTCTTGTGTGTAAGGCAAGTTTTCCAGCTTTTCTCAATTAACCTGATATCCTGTTCTGACTTAGCCTGCCTTTTTGACCATGAATTCACTGCCTGCCCCTTTTTGGATTTGTTCGCACGTCTGATTTCCATCCTGGTTGTGAACCCCACCTTGTCTCCTAGGGATTCCCTGCCTGCCCCTCTGGATTTGTTTGCCTGTTGGATTGATATCCCGGTTTTGACCATGATTGAACTAGTAAAGAACTTTGATTGGATTTCGGTTTCCGAGTTGTGCTTTTGGGTTCTTGTACCTGTAATCCTTCCAGAATGTTTTTTTTCTTTTTCTAAAGACTAATGAGTAATCACTTTAGAAAACATATATTTTAGACACTGTTTTATTGTTAATGTTATTTCCAACCCAAAACTACACACATTTGATGATCTTTGATCAGGCAGAATTCCACTGGGCGGAACATTTTCAGCTACCGTCTTGCTTTCTCCGATGTAACTGACTGCAGCCAGCGGGCTGCTTTGTTTCCGCGCTCAACGGAAATAAACAGGAAGTAACAAAGGTTAGTTAACTAGGTTAAAATATTTTGTTTCATTAATCTTGGCCACATTAATCGCATAGATTAGTTTTTATTGACAGCCATAATTAAAACAAAGCATTCTAAAGGCCTACAAGAAGTTGGGTTAGAGGGCACATGCAGGTGATTCATCCGGGCGAGCATGGCTGCTGGGGTTGGTCTTGTTAGGAATTTGTCAGGCAACAGAGTGGCCCAGTGAGGTGGTAATGAGCTGTTTTTTTTTGAGTATTCTCAACTAATGGATAATGTGTTGTGTCAACTCGTGGTAAGAAGTTTGCTCCAAGTGCTATCCTAAGTTTGTCAAACTTAACATTATTATTCTGACCTACTAATACACGTGGGTTAACAGTACTCAAAAATATTTGCATTTGATAGTCTCATCTACTCCGGTACTTAAGTTCAGAACACTTATAATATTAAATTGGATGAACTTTGTTGTTATTTTAGATTGAAAACATCCATCATCAGCACTGAACATTTTATGTTGAGTATACTCAAAATAGCCTTCCAGCTAGTTGCGTAACTATTTTAATTTTTCTCAATTTTTAACTTTGTTACTAAATTTCACTGAAAAGTATATTCAAATCCTCTGCCACACTGCCTCCATTTTTAAAATTAAAAGGCTACACCGCTTTGGCTGGAAAACTCAAAGAACTGTATTTAAACATATATGAACTTGAAGCGTTTAATAAGTAAACATCTGCTTGTAACAAGGAAACCGCTGCTTGCAAAACAATATAATTGAATTTCAAAATTCAAAGAGCAAATCAGGAACAACCTGGTAAGTATTTCTGTAATAGTTGGTTTTCCTGTAACAAATCTATAAAATGCCTCATTTGTCTTCACTCGTAGTAACTACATGAACTGACCAAGAAAGAAATAAACCAACAACATGTGGCTTTTCTTCAAATATTGCTTTTTTTGTCTTTATTAGGAATGGACAGGAACAACTATTGTATTGTCTGTAACAAGACAACTGCAAACAGCACATTGGTCTTTAGAAACCTTTTTGACCGCATTTGGTCAACACACACACCACTGGCATTTAGTCAAAGCACACAGAGCATAGATGAGCCCAACAAAAGGGGAATGCTGTTGAGATACATCACACAGGACAATCTGTTGCTCGTTGTTGTTGTTGGACTTGAGCGGACTGTTCCAACGTCACCTTCAACCTTTGTGACTACTGTATACCAAGTTGATGTTGTTGTACTCTACAGAAAAACAAACATACACTACTCCCTTTTTAAAGTTCTAATTTTTTCACATCCCATTCTGTTAACAATACAATTTAAGCAAATTTTACTAAAACATTGACATTAGTCTTGCCAGACAGTTCTTCAGCAAGCCGTCCGGCTCCTCACAAAGGAATGCATTAGCTGATTACATTACATTTAATACAATAATATTCATGCAGTCTCATTCTCAATTAATTAGTTTTAAAATTACAGTTGTACATTGGCAATACATCATTTCTTTTTGATTTACATAACTTCTTCAGAAACCCAATTGTACACCAGTGTTACACAATATGCATTTCTTTATTGATTACATAATTAATGGAAAGTGGATTATCAGTTTATGATATCCTACAATACACATGAAGTTATGAACACGAGAGTAGTCTGTTACGTTGTGAAAATGTTAATGTCGATCTTTTCATTAAAAAGCAGGTTCGCTGGCTAACTAGTGAAGAATAAAAACAGTCTTACCTGGTTTATTTGTGCATGAAATGAACGGCACTCTGCAGAAACACTGGAGGATGTGTGGGGGGCCGCCAAGTGCGAAAAAGTGGTCGGTGGACGGTTTATTTTCAGAATGGCAGGTTCCAACATCTGAAGGTTGAGGAAACGGGCAGGAAAGGTCACTGCAGACCCTTCGGACCATGGGGAAAACTTGTTAAAAATGAAGTCAACTAAATGTGTACTTTTGAATATATAGTTGTTAAATAACTATTTTCTGTTATATTTTATTCTAATTAAATTATATTATATATTCCTGTTTATTGTATGAACTGTGTGTGTATGTTGAGAGCACATGTAACCGAAATTAAATTAGTACGTATACGCATGCGGGAAATACATGGGAAATAAAACAGATTCTTTTCTTAATTAAATGTGACAACAAGTGGACACAGAGTTGTTTCGATAACGCCCCCTCCTGGCAGGAAAGGGACACTTTGAGTTAGTTCAACTTTTTTCAAAGGTATTTGTTGACTTTAAAAAATGTGTATTTAAAGTTGATCCTATTAAGAATCAACATTAAATACAGATTAAGGATAAAGACAGTTCAAAAATGAATAACATTTAATTTTTATTGACTTTGACTTTGACTGACTAGATTGGAGTAAAATATCATGAAAATACACGTGGGCATAGAGGAGGTACTCTTTAACAAGAAGTGTAACCTTTTATGGATTTGCTTTGAAGGCAGTTCAAACATAGGGAAATGATGAAAAGTGGGGCGAAGTTTGATAGGGGTTGGGGGGGTGGATTACACCCGCCCACAGGACTGCTGCTTTCTGTATATATAAAAGCAACCCTCAAACACCAACACTACAGACCCTGAAAGGACGCAAAGGAGACATCGGTTCTCTTGAACTCTGGAGCTCTGTCTGCACAACCTGCTGCTCTGTCCGTGTAGAATGTCACACAAGAAGATGCTGCAATGCTCCATGGGAGCTCTGCTTCTCCTCTTACCCTGGTTTGGTGGCCTGGTCCTGGGAAAGATCAGCAAGGACTTCTCCCAGTGCCTTGATTTCTTCTATAAGGAAACTCCACCCACAGGTATCCCAGCAGAGGGGTACCAGCCAATATGCCAGCGCTACCAAAACCAGTACCGCTTTGCGAGCCTGTATCACCGTGAGCATCGTTCCCCTCTGTACTCTGCGTACATACTCAGTCATCCAGATGGCAAGCGGCCCAAATCTACCTGGATGTTTGAACCTCAGGTGAGTAGGACAAAAGAGACCTTCTTTTAAGACTGTAAGCCGTTTAACATTACTTTGTTCAGTTTTATTTATATCTATAAGTCCAGTTTTTAGTTTATTCTATGTGTGTTAAGGAGTGAAATGAAAAGAAATGGAATTCAAATCTATCTCCCCCAAGTGAAACAAAACCTCTGCAAAGTCTTTATTGTTACAACTTTCAGGCAGATAGAGTTTTGCAATGTATCGGTCATTAGTTTAATGCAGCACAAGTTGCCCTGACTAAAACAGAGTAAGTTAGTTAGAGTAAGGTGTGTCTTAATAACTCATAAGAAATAAAATATCATAATGCAAATATTGGCATTCCCTTGTAGAGTTATTTGGAATTCAACATGTTAAGACAACAATATGACAGAGAACATTATTAGTTTCTGGTAAAAAGTATTCTCGTGGTCAATGTGTGATTGTGACAAACATGATCTTTTCTTCGGTGAGTTAACAGAGAAAGGAAAGTGGAAATCGTAAGTTGTGTTTGTAATTTATTTTCAAACTTCATGAGTGAATCGGTCACACGCCCAACTATTGTTTTCTGATGAATTAGAAGAACAAAGTAAAAGAAGTTGTATCCTTCTGTCTGTCGGTCATTCAGTTGGCGTATCCCACAAACGGCAGCGACGAGATGCAAGACCCGATTGATACCCCTGTGGACCAGAATTTGAAGGAGAGCCAGGCGATGGATGAGGACTACAAGAACTCCAACTTCACCAGAGGCCATCTCAATCCAAGCATGCACCAGAAGATAGAACAAGACCGCGACGCCACCTTTACACTGACTAACATTGTCCCACAGCAAAAGGGCTCCAACAGCGGGCCGTGGGAAAAACTGGAGCAGGAGGTTTTAAAACAATTCAAAAAATACTGCAACGGGATTATGTATGTGATCACCGGAGTCATGCCGTACGGGCCGGACAACCCCGATCAGCACTTGATGAAACACAGGGTGTCTGTCCCTGAGTACATGTGGTCCGCCTACTGCTGCACATCCTTCAAGTCCAAACTTGAGACGCCCGACCGGAACGCCTTCCCCACTTATGCTGCAGTGGGAAGGAATGATCATAACAGTACAAACGAGTTTGTCAATGGTACCATTTCGAAGAAGGGCTACGATGTGAAGCGCATGTCCTTAGGGGAGCTGGAGGACATCCTGAGACAGAGGCTGAATGGGACCATCACTCTGTTCAATGGACAGTGCAATCAGTAAATGTCTCTGTGGTGGGTGTGCGCTGCTGTATTCACCATGTGCAGCACATCTTTTCTTCTTTAATTACTTGAAAGACCGTTCTAATCACGAAAGGAAATACACTTTTTCAATGATTTTATTATTTCAAATTATGTTTTTCCCTGTTATGTTGTCATCCTGTAACAACTGACCCTGTGATTTTACTAATCGAAGAAGACAATAGGTGAAGAGCCTTCTTATTAAACAAAATGAATATTGATTTTCTGTTGAAGTATCCACTTTCTTTATACACATGCAAACACTTCCAAATAAAATGTACTCTCTGTATGTACCAGCAGGGTGTGTAAAGTACAAATTACTGTCTGAGTAATAAGTAACTTTAGGGACAAACTGTCCAATATGATTTTTGTCAGGAGGTTTTCTTTTAATTAACCACCCTGATAGGCTGGATGAACCATCCATCAAACTATATAAGGCTCAAGGCTGCTGTGTGATCATTTAAATAAACACAAATAGATTCAAGACTATATTACATGTATGCACTAAACTGGAAAACACAATTATGACGTAAAAGATTAAAGTCCCTAATGATGTCAGTTGATTAGTAGTAGTAGTAGTTTAAAGCTCTTGGGGACACTGGAATTTTGGTTTGCTTAATGGGGTCTATATGAAATATTGAGGACACTTTTGTTTTGTTAGATCATTTCTTTTGACTTCCACGACCCAGTAAGTTGTCCAGTGGTCTAGAACTAATTCATTAGCATGTTATATATTTAGTTTGACTAACCTGTATAAAGACTCCACAAAGCCACCGGCCAGAAAAGAGCCGACGTGAATCCGAGAGTTGTTGCTTTTACCCTAAAAGGTTGTAAAAATATAAATCAAGTTAAATGGAGTTTTAGCGCGGACATTTGGACGTTACGCTGAGCTTACGAGCTGCTGGCTGAAGCTTCACATTCAACACAGAGTTTGTGTTTCCTGTATTGTTTTTGTTGTGCTCAGTAACCCACATTCTCAAATCCAGTTTCCACTGGTTAGCAAGAGCCAGGCAGTGTGTCGGGACTCTCAGGAAGGGCCATCTCAATCCCAGCATGCATCAGACGACAACTGAAGCCTATGAGGCCAACTCTCCAGTTAGAAGACATCCCCCCTTCATCCCCAATCAGTCTGTTTAAATGGCACTGAGTAATAAAGGGTGAGACGCCCCAGTTAACTGCATACAGTTCATCTTTCATAGCAGCTTGATATGTGTTATTAGTACAGTGTCTAGTCCGACTCCTTCAACATTTATTTACTAAGTCAATGGTAAATGTTGTCTTGTCAAATGGTGGATAATGTGAAGACAACACCATGATTTTCCAATAAAAAATAAAACACTGAAATGGATAAAAGGCCTTGTGATAAATTGAAATATTTATTTCGTAATGATATGGCCAAAACACGAAACATAAAATACCAAGCTGTCTATTTTATTGTCTGGCAAAAAACAAGGGCACCAGTTGCCATATTTGAGAGGCTTTTTGATAAAAATGACAAATGTACGACTCGGTCATATAAATAATTACAAGCTTTGTACACCTCAAATCAAAAAAGGCTGTAGAAGAAAAAAATAGAGAAACACCAAGTATAAACTGACTTCCTGTTAATTTGCCATTTGCCTTCTACATTTACTCAACACAAATTGTCCACACGTGTATCTGCTTCTTCGTTTTAAAGTCCGAACGTGCTCCGATCACTGAGAATAGCATGAGCATCCACCATTGACTGGCATCAATCCATGAGCTCTACCACATTCAATTAAACCCCCCCCCCGCCTTTTCTTTCCAGTTCTGTGGGACGTTTAGAGGAGAGGCTCTTAAAAACACTGGTGGTTCTTCAGTTGCTCCAGGTCACTAAAGCCGCTCCCGCAGTTGGAGCACTGGAGCGCCGCCTTCTCACTGGTGTGTATGAGCTGGTGTCTCTTTAAGTACTCCACGCGGCTGAAGCGCTTCCCGCACGCCTCGCACCCGTACGGACGCTCGCCGGTGTGAATCCGCTGGTGTCGCTCCAGGTTGCCCAGGCGGCTGAAGCTGCGTCCGCATTGAGGGCACCGGTGCGGCCTCTCGCCCGTGTGCACCAGCTGATGCCGCTCCAGAGAGCGCGAGTGCGTGAAGCGCTTCCCGCAGATCTCGCAGCAGTGCGGCCTCTCGGCGGCGCACGCGCACTCGTGGTTCTTGAGGGCCCAGGCGTGGCTGAACGTGGTGCCGCAGTGGGCACACGGGTGGAGGACGTCCTCCCCGCTGTCCTGCAAATGGGATTCTCCCAGTGGACAGGGGTGCTCCTCGCGCTCCGCCTGTGAGGTGAAGCCTCCTCCGCATTGCGGGCAGAAATGGAGCAGGTCCCCGCCGCCCTCCTCCTCCCCTACGCTCTCGCCGACGCTTCCCGGAGCACACAGGTGGGGCAGGTGCGCCGGCTCGCCCTGCTCCGCCGCGTCCTCGCCTGACACGGAGGCGGCAGAGTCGTCCTCCCTTGACCTCTTCGACCAGCCCGACCTCGGCTCCCCTGCGGCCATCTCCACGTCCTTCGCCCGTCCTCGCCCGGTCTGCTCCTCCCTCTGCAGGGTGGGTGGCTCCAGCTCTTCGTCCTGCTCCATTCCGTCAAGACCGATGTACTTGGGCGCCAGGCTTCCCTCGCTGCCTTGCTCTGCCTCCGAGTCGGGGCTGACGGGCTCGGGAGTCGTCAGGGCGGCCTGTTCGCGGCCTCTCTCGGCCCTCAGTGCAGACTCCAGACCCCTCAGCTCGTCCATGGTCATGCCCCCCTCCGACGGCTCGGCGGAGTCCGACTCCCAGTCCTCGTCTCTCGCTCCTGAATGAAGGCTCGAGGGACGATCCGACAGGTCCCCTGGGGGGAGACAAAAGGTAGGAGGAGGAGATGGAGCTAGCGTGAGCTATCATTTCCACCATCTTTCAAACTATTCCACGAACATTTCCTCTCCTTACCTTTGCTTTGGGCTCTGGAGCACGCGTGGAGGTTCTGGATGGGTGGGTCCATCTTCAAAGCCTCCCTGATTAGCTGGAGGGAGGCGGGTTGATAAGTCTCTGTTTGTGCAAACTGCATTGAGAGCACAGGGAGCATAGTTACTGGGGGAGTGACTCACGAACAGGTAGTATAAGTTTTCCCCAAAACGGTTCTTTAACTTACAAAGTCCTATGTTTACAACATTATCATTGGTTATATCTACACCCAGGCACTTTATGAGACCGTGTAATGCCGTCACAGGGAGGCTAATAACACATTCTGCACTCTCTGAATAGTAATAAGTGAAGAGTGGATGTGTGTCCTGCCACTTGGGTCACGTGGTGGAATAGCAAACAGCTTTTCACCTCTACAGTAGTATTTCTACCTAAAAGCTGGCAGCACTTGAGATGTGGAGAGCGCTCCTCAACAGGCTCCTCTGGGGGATAAATATCAAATCAATAGTCTTCATCCACATCTCTGCAGTCATTTCATGGCTGAAAAATACAGGAACAATTCTCTGTTATCTTTCCTTTTTCTGACTGCGTTCTTTGTCATTCTACAACGAGCTGCTGAGCAGTGCAGAGATGCTGTGCCACTTTCTCCTCCTCCTCCTCCTCCTCTGAGAAAATCTGACTCCCTCACCTCCTCTTTGATGTTGGCAGTCTCCTCCCCCTCACCGCTGAGGCTGCCCTCCCCTTCCTCGTCCTCCATCATCCCTCCCTCGTCTGCTTCATCCCCGGGGAACTGGATGAGGTACATCTCCCTGGCCTCCTTCCCCCCTCTTCCTCTTCCTCTTCCTCCTGGTCCTGCCACCATCCCCACAGCTCCTGCCCTTCTTCTTCTTCTTCCTGCTCCTCCTCCTCCACCACCAACTCCTCCTCCTCCTCTTTCCTCCCACACACCTCCAGGCCAGCCTTTTCCATAGACTGCTGCCGGGCCCTTCTTTGACTTGCCTCCTGTGGAGAAGAGAGGAAGATGAGCGAATGGTGGGAGGTAGGTGAAAGAGGAAGGAGAGCAGGAGGGAGGAGGTAGGAGAGAGGGGGGCCACCGGGAGACAGGAAGGAGATATAATAGAATATGAAGGGGGGGGGGGAGAAGTGGGAGGAGATGATTGGAACGCCAGGAGTGAGTTGGAGGAGAGAAGAGGGTGGAGAAGTGGGAGATGAGAAGGAGGAGGGAGAGGATTGGAGAAGCAGAGGGGGGAACAGGAGCAGAGGGGAGCTTGGGGGGAAGGGAGAGAGGAATAGGAGCAGGGGGAGGAGGAGTGAGCATGATGAATGAGTGGGGAGAGAGGGGGCGTAGCAGGACAGACAAGAGAGCGGCAAGGAGAGGAAAAAAACGCATGAAAGGGAGGAGAAGAGCAGGAGACGAGAGGGAAAAGTGGAGTTGGCGGGGGGCAACAGGGGAGAGGAGGAGAAAGAGGACATGTTGAAGGAGAAAGAGCAGGGTTGAGGAGGAAAAGAGGAGAGGAGAAGTGGCGTGGAGAGGGAGTATGTAATTATGGTGGTGGTGGAGAGGAGCGAGAGCGGATTGGAGTGGAGGAGGTGGGGGAGGGAAGGAGCGACGTGTGTGTGTGTGTGTGTGCAACGTGACGAAGGAGAGAACAGAGCAGAAGGAGGTGGGGGCAGGGAGAGAGGAAAGGAGGAGGCGTGAAGGAGAGAGGAGCGGGAAGGGGAGGAGGTGGGTGGGAGGGAGAGGAGCAATGCAGGAAGGGGAGGGAGAGGGAGAGAGAGCGAGCAAATGCACAGAGGAGTGGGAGGGACAGAATGCAGAGGAGAGGGGGAGGTGGAGGACAGAGGGAGCGGACATGAAGAGGAGGCGGAGGAGGAAGGGAGGGAGAGAGAGAGAGGAGGGAGGGAGGGAGGGAGATCAGCTCTTGCCAGATGGTTTCCAACAAAACAAGTGCGTCTCCACATAAGCCCCCGAGTGCACAGACTCAGCCATGTTTCTCCCATCGTTCACCCAGAGGTGGCCTTTTTAAATGTAGAGACACGTGACACAGACGCAAGGCGACGTAAAGCATCCTTCTTTGGGCGTTAAAAACAACAACAACAACAACAAAAAACCCGCCATCCTCAGGGAACACTTACGGGGCCCCTCGACCTTCCGCTTCTGCCGCCCCGCGGCTCCGTCCTCCGCCGCCGCCGCGGCCGCCAGGCCGGCGTTGCGGCGGGTGGCCGCCCAGCCCATCCCGTACTTGCGCTCGGTCCTCAGCTTGTTCTCGGTGAGCCTCAGCCGCTGCTTGAGAGCGTCGTTCTCCTTCCGGTTGAGGGAGATCTCCACCAGGTAGTCGTTGACCATGTCCTGGAACAGCTTGGTGACCTCGCACACCGACGCTCGGATCAGACTGTCCATGACGGCCGTCAGATGCGTCTCGAACGTGGACACCGACTCCTCCATCATCGTGGAAGGCGGGTCGGACCTGACGATGGATCCATAACATGTCATGAGTTTACTTCCCCGCCCCCCTCAAACCTGCGCCGATCACAAAACTTTCCCACCGTCGGTCCCGATACGTGACGTCAGTTACAACCGCCGCACGTCCTTATCGCCGATGTCAGTTAACGTTACAAATATGAACTTCATGCGTTAGCTAGCAGCTACACACAATACCGACAACACGAGCGTGACAGTTCATGCGCCCGGTGGCATTGCCGTTAACGTTACCGCACCCCTGCTGTCCGTTAATTAAATACGGTACCGGCCGTGTGTTTACACCGCGTTATGCGCCGGTGAACGCGTAAACACGGGAACACGCAGCGCAACTCTCCACGAGAGGAGCACCGACGGCTCCCGAGGGGTCGGGCTAGCAGCCGCGGCTAATTTAGCCGTGTGTACGTACCGTTTCCCGGGTGGAATCCGGACGGGTTAGTCAGACGCGACACAACAGCGGGCTGAACGAGATCACGGATCGCGGGTGAGCTCGATCGAGGGTCATAAGCACGGAGACTCGGTGACAAAGGAAAGCACCATCTAACTTCTTCTTCTTCCTCCCCCTCTCTCTCCCTCTCTCTCTCTCTTTTCTCTCTCTGCTCCTCCTCGCCTCCTTCAGCACTGTTCGATGATGCTGGAGAGCTCTGCGCATGCGCAGTACCGTAATTAGCCGACACGCTGGAAGCACCGCGCCGGGAAAATAAAGTCGTTCCCTAATAAACTTGATTTGTACTGAATGTATTACTGTACTATTGTATAGTGGAGGCGAGCTTTATTTTTTGGAAGGAAATGACAAACCCTGAATATGCTTGTATTCCGCTTCTATGTCTTCTGTGTCTTTTAGAGGTGTCTTCCAGGACGAGTGGGGGCGCTGTGGTCAGTCACGTGGAGGCTATACAAGCGAGGAAGACACGTGTCACGTGACTTCAGTCCGTAGTTAGCTGAGTTGAGCCAGAGCTTCTTGCAGCTCCGCGTGACAGAGACGCTACGGGGGGGAAACCAGAAGGAGCAATCATGCCGATGTTCGTGGTGAACACCAACGTGGCCAAAAGCGACGTGCCCGCGTCTCTGCTGTCCGAGGCGACCGAGGAGCTGGCCAAGGCTATGGGCAAACCTGCACAGGTAATGCGAGCCCATCCCTGCAGAACCCGAGCGTCCACCATGCAGCTAAAGGCTCATTGTGTCCTGTATGGGTCAGTTTGCTGTGTTATTTTCTCTGCTGGGGGCTTAAACGACCGACGCTTGAAGCCTGATGACCATTTAACTGTAGATAATAGTGGAGGTTGTTCATTGTTTGAGCAAAGCTAACTTCACATGCGATCAAGTAAACGTGACTATTTATTGTAGTGTTAGCATGGGTAGATGATTGATCAGCTGCTTTCTGATCAGGACTTGAACATATTTTTCCAAAATATACATTTTTTTTGTAATTTTTGTGTCATTAATCTATGTCACTTCTACACACCAGGTTTAACTTTAAATATCCAACGTCAGACCAAATAGATTGCACACAAAGAAAGTGGTTTCAATTGTAGCTGGTCACTGAATGTTGTTTCTGGCTTCATTTCTTGTGTATTTTTGAAGATGCTTTAAATAATATTCAGTTGGTGATTAAAGTGGGTATAATTGTGTCCTGACCTCCTCTTTTGTGTTTCTGTCTTTCATGTAACAGTATATTGCTGTGCTTATTAACCCTGAACAAATGATGATGTTCGGGGGAAAGGGAGACCCCTGCGCAGTCTGCTCCCTCCACAGTATTGGCAAGATCAGCGGAGCTCACAACAAGCAATACTCCAAGCTCCTGTGTGGACTGCTCAACAAACACCTGAGCATCTCTCCTGACAGGTAGCAAACACACACCCAGCAACCGCACCCGTGTGATAAGTCAAGTATAATATGGTGACTGAGACCCAACGACTTTAATCTCCCAGTGCCTCACAAAACTTGCTCAACGTTAATGTTCAATCTCATTAACCTATTTCTCTTTGTGTCTATTTCAGGATTTACATTAACTTTGTAGACATGGATGCAGCCAATGTGGCCTGGAACAACACTACTTTCGGATGAGAAGCAGGTTAACCGACAGGCATTGAAGATTCCAGTATTCCCTCTATGTATGAGCGTAGTTAAAACCGACAGTCAAGGGAAGAGGCAAAGACATGTTATTGCAGGGCCAATGTACCATATGTTAATCTTTAAAGCACTTAGCTGGAACCTTCAGTTTTGCACTGAAACTTTGTTTGATTTGAAATGCAATAAAAACACTGTTGACTATGAATAAACCAATGTGGTCCTTGATTGTCTGAGAGAGTGAAACCACAAGCAATGTTTTTGTTTTGTTTTTATTAGACTCATTGCGGAAATCCCCTAGTGTAGACAAATTGTCCCGAGACGAGCACACTAGCAGGCCCCTTCTTGAATAACACATGACACGTTTCTGCTAAGGGAATCTATGGTTTGACTTGTGTTGCTTGATACAGTGGAACATGTTTATAAGCTTTACTGATTGCTCACAATCTTACAGTACATGGAAAAAAAACTCACTGTGCCTAAGTACACCATGAAATGTAAAACATTTAATCACAATTTATTTGCTATGTATTTTAGTGTTTTATATTGCACAGGATGTTTTATCAATGAGTTAATGTGCTTTAAGGAGACTTTATAGGATTTCACAAATCGCTGGTAAGCTTAGCCAACGCTCATCAGCATAGAGACAATAGAGGAGCGCCTTCTAACTTCTGCCCTTTCTCTCCCACCGCCTCCGCTCCTTCAGAGGGCTCCATGATGCTTGAGAACACTGCGCATGCGCCGTACCGTAATTCTCCTAAACACAGATCTACCGCACCACCACAAAAACAACCAAAAATAAAATAAAACAACACCTCTTTGTGAAATAGATGTAAACACGGGTGGCGGACATTATTATTACTCCCTTTATTTAAATAATAAACCTTTCTTTCCATCTGGTTTGCCTTTTCGTTGAGCCCGTCGCCCGAGCGGTCTTCCGGGGGGCGTGGAGGCGCTGTGCTCCGTTGGTCACGTGGTGCCACACTCTGCAGGAGAGAGGAAGGCGCTTTCACCCGTCTGCGTAGGCTGCAGAACAGAGTTCAGGCAGACCGCACTCCAGAGGAGCAATCATGCCGATGTTCGTGGTGAACACCAACGTGGCCAAGAGCGAGGTACCGGTGGCTTTGCTGTCCGACGTGACCGAGGAGCTGGCCAAAGCTATGGGGAAACCCGCGGAGGTAACGTGAGGCCACGTGAGGCCATGGCCGCGTTCGTCCATGCACAATCTGTGCTCATTGTGAAACTAAAGGGGCATTTCTGCATTCACGCTGCCCTGTATAGATACGCTCGAAAAGCCTACCTTTTTATTTATTTGCTGAGAGATACACCGCAACCACCTGAAACCTGACTTTTATTTAATTGCAGCAAAAACTAGAGTTTGTACATTATATGAGCAAGGCTAGCTTCTTATGGAAGTGTGCAAACATTGCATTGACTGTTATTTGTAGAGATAGTATGGTCGATCATTAATCAGCTTCTTCTGTAACCTTAAGCCCTGAGGTTAAAGGCATATTATTAAATTATTACTTTTGATAAAACATAGAACTCATAGCAAAGTCCTCTTTAAAAAGTTCAATGTTGTTTTGATGGTTTTGACAGTTTGTATTTGTGTGCCCATGTTTTCCAACATGAAAAAGGGAAATAGAAATTGTAAACTGGCTGTTATTTCTGAAATTGGAAGGTTTCTGTAACGGAGTTGAGGCCAATCAACTTTAGTTTAGGTTTAACATTTTTAAGGCCAGAACTGTCGAGGCAATTGCATTGTTGGGAATTAATAGTCAAATTAAGCCATTTTGTTGGGTAATACTGATGAAAGTTAATAAATCTTCAGGTTCGGGTTCCAGTAAAGCAGAATCTGGATTCATGACCATGTTTCAAAAGTCCTGACCTTGTGTCTCTGTCTTGCACATACCAGAAAATTGCAGTGCATATCATCTCTGACCAAATAATGATGTTCGGAGGAAAGGGAGACCCCTGTGCAGTCTGCTCCCTCCACAGTATTGGCAAGATAGGCAGTGATTACAACAAGCAATACTCTAAGCTCCTGTGTGGACTGCTCAACAAACACCTGGGCATCTCTCCTGACAGGTAGCACACACACACACACACACACACACACATAAAGTATAATATGCTGCCAAAATCTCACTGACTCAACATGCCTTGCATAACTTGTGTGACGTTCAGTCCCATCAAGCCATTTCTCTCTGTGTCTGTTTTCCAGGATTTACATTAACTTTGTAGACATGGATGCGGTCAACGTTGCCCGGAACAGCACGACCATTGGATAACAGCCGGTTCGCTCACAGAAGTAAAAGATGATTCTAGTATTTTTCTGTATGTGTGAGCATAGTTAAAACAGACGGTGAAGTGAAGGCACAAAGACACGTGGTAATTGCACGGCCAGTGTACTGTTTGGCAATCTATTAAGCACTTGGACTATTTAGTCTAGCACTTGGTCTTTTTCCAATAAAGTTCAATAAATACAACTACATCCTCATCTTAATCTCTGTTGTCCTTGGTTGTCTGTCTGATAAACCCATACTAAAAGCAAAGATTGTTTTATTAAATTCAACTCCACTGTGAACTACTTAAAATATGAAAAAGGAATAAACTAACACAGAAAAGCCTAATTTTGCCCCAAAGAGAGTAAGAGCCATTCATTATTTGCAGCTTACATGAAACTCTGTCCCAACTATGTGATAATATAATAAAACTATTATTTTGTGGTGTTTGTGTGGGAATGTTAACTAACATTTTTATTACAGATTATTTGCTATCTGAGGGAAAGTTAGAATGTTTTTTTTCTTACCAGTATGGTAATAATAATAATGTAATGTGTCAGCTTGTTTATACGCCGTGCGTTATAGCAGTCAATACAAATTGTTTTTGTTTTCATCAAAGAAAAGAATGGAGTAACAATTTAGCAATGTGACCTAATTGCAGCAGAGCACATGATATGATCAACAAGCTGTTGGCCCCATTAGTTATGCAGAACGCGTGTTATCCTGGTCTGAACAACAAAGGTCGCTTAGTACCATTTAATTGTAATTGTTGTGTAGTTGTGCCCACATTTTCACATGTCACCACCTTGTTCCAGGTGTCTTTACAACAAACACCTATGTTGCTCCCAGGAGCTGTCTGAACTTCTTCTAAAAGTCCAAAGCAGTTATTTATTCTTTATGGAACTTTTTATCATTTTTTTAAATTGAATCAGGTAGTATTCTCATACATTTTAATAGACTCTTAGAATTTGTTTTTAGAATCTGAACTACCGTTCATTAAAAATAAATAAATTCTATGACTCGTTCTGTACCAGATCGGTTGCACACGACGGCCGTGTCACATATATTTATATACCTATATTTATACGTATATATATATATATATATATATATATATATATATATGTATGTATATATATATATATATATATATATATATATATACATATATGTATGTATAAACTCTGTATATATATATGTATGTATATATGTATGTATAAACTCTGTATATATATATATATATATATATATATATATATACATATATATGTATATATATATATGTATATATATATATGTATATATATATACATGTATATATATATATACATGTATATATATATATATATATATATATATATATATATATATAACTGACGTTACATGTATCAAAAGAACGAAGGATACAACAAGCAGGAGCCTAAACCACACGGTATAACAACCGTGACGTAGTAGTGACGTAACCATCCCCTCCTTCCTCGGGGATGTGGAGCGAAAATGGCGTACGGACGTTTCAACCGTTGTGTCTGTTACACGTCGACTGACTAACGGCACAGACGCCGCGGACCCCTCGCCGGGAGGCCGGATGTGGACTAGCCGCTGACCTGTTGATGGACTTTTCGGGGGTTCACAGGAAGTTAATCGTCGTAGCAGTACAATAGTTCGGTCAGTATTCTTCATAGATCACATCATTTACCCGCCATGTGGATGTTGTGAAACCCAAACGCTTTTAGTCATCGCGGTGTCATGTTGGCGCGAATGGTGCGTCTGCTGTGTAACGGTACCGATTACTCATCAAAGCCGCGATACGGAAAGATGGCGATCACGTGTTATTATAACGTTAGCGTTCATTGCCACTGGGTCTGTCAGCATCTCCGGAAGTAGTGAACCGTGACGTCATTCCGCACACACAGTGTCCCGTTTGGCGCTATATCCTGATGCTAAAGCCCGGTGCCGCTTTGGGATTGTTGATTTGCGCGCGCAAACATCCGAGGACCATCATCATAAGCTTGAAACGCATCACCCCTCTTCCTGGGCGTAGAGACCTGTGTGCACTAAATACACCCTGCTACAAGTTACCTAAACTGACCTCTGATCTCCCTCTTTAGGAGTCCGAAACATCTGTAAGCATCTCCCGCTCATCTTCCAAGATGTCCGACTTTCTGATGAGATCATTCCGGGCGCAGCTGACCACGAGCATGGACTCGGTGCTGAGGGGAGCCGTGTTTAAAATAATGACCATCTTTGAGAACAGCCTGCACGACCATCAGGTGGAGCTGGCGCAGAAAGGGGAAGAGATCGCTCAACTGAAGATAAAGTTGCAGAACGCAGAGGTCAGGCTGAGCGAAAACCAGCGCGCAAGTGACGGAGGACCGGAGAGGAAGCAGAGCGAGCCGGAGAAGGTTCTGAGCGGCCCGGAAGAGGCTCCCGATGCTTCAGAGTTTAATTTTGAAGGTATAGACGACGCTGGGATTAAAATGTGTTCCGCGTTAGAATGCAGCACTCTTGTGGCAGGTGCCGCGGCTCATCTGAGCGCTCATAGCTCCACTATGTTTGTGTCTGTGCAGTACCTGATGACTGGTGTGCCCCCCTTGGCTATGAGACCGTGGTCAAGCGAGAAGACTCTTTTTGTCCCAGTGTGAGACTTCGCCGGCTGTCCATCCCTCTCTATCCCGTTCCCTTCCTGAAGCAAGAGGTGTGTAGCCCGAACAAGAAAGCCCGCGGTGACCTTTCATTTCAGCATCGGGAACCAGCGGAGAAAACACCCGTGGGCATGTTTTTTAAGTTAATACAACAGTTAACACGGTAATAATACAAAACTATATGTGAAGTTCAGAGCCGGGGAGCGGTCTGCTCGAGATGATCACCTTTTTTTATACTCAATGACCACTTTTTTTATTTGTTTCCAAATCTTACAGGCAAACATAGCCTATATTTGTGGGAAGTCGTATTTACAATCATTTGATTGTAAAGGAGCGTTTTTTAACATGCAAATAATGCTTTTCTACGTAAATATAATGGATAACATAGATAAAGATAATATAGATATTGGATACATCCAGGACATGCAGTAGGAGTCCGCACCAATCCTATCAGGGTTCAGTTTTTTATAGCTGTACTCGGTTATAACGAGCTACAATGTCCACTTCACATTTAGACAAAATGATTGAAAGTCTCAGAACATCCAAAGTTCACCTCCTTTTATTTTGGCCTATGCAGACTATGTTCTGTGCGTGTATATTTTCTCCATACATGCATTGTGAATCACTGAAGAAAATGACGGAGTTTACTAAATACTTAGTTTTATTTCAGGTTGTTAACGATGACATTGACTCCAGGCGGAGATCCAGCAGAGGTGCGTTTCTCTCATTATTGTGTTGTGGAAATTGTATTTTGATTGTCAGAATTGTCACATTTTACTTATTTACACATTTGCATGCAGAGAATACCAATTCATCATGTCCAAAGCTGCTATTGTGAAAAATATTTTGGTCTTGGTCAGCTTCTCAGGTAAAATCCCCAACTGAACTATACTGTGATCCATAACGCAATCAGTCGGTGCAAAAAGTACAGAGCTTGTTTCAGCCTTTCGTACCGTGAATGTCTATCTGCACAAGTTGTTTTGTTTATACTTGGAGGGTTAGCAGTGGTTTACCGAGGGTACTGGTGGTGATAAACAGTAGCAGGCCTTGTGTCAACTGACCTATTCTAACATTTACCAACCGTTACCTTCTAGACACCACGTTCCCTTTCAGCATACAACTATTGTTCTTATTAGTTCCTGATGAACTTGAAGGCATCTGGCAGCTGCTTATTTGCATGAAGATACACAGAGCTCAGAAGGAAGGCAGCGTCCCTTTGGTAGCCGTCACGTGTGCTAGCCGTTTAAAGTTGATCAGTTCTCTCACCGTGATACCGAAAAAATGTGTTTTAAAGATATCAGCATTACAAATCCCGTTTCCTTCCATTGTGTTGGTATCGTAACAGGAAAGGTCTGTTCTGTGTGAAGGTATTTTATACACAACGATTTGTTACAAACCGCTCGGTTCTTATATTCATGTCACATCTGCTTATTTTACTTTTTTTTTTCTTCCTTGGCAGGCTGTTCATTGAACGCGAGGCTCGCACACGGGGAGCAAGAACCTTGCCGTCCGCCGGCGGGAAACGACATGGCGAAATTGGTCCAAGACATCCAACAGGAATATACTGACCCCGCGGACGGTGCCCGTCCTAGAAGGACAAGGAGACGCGTGACTGGCAAACCGCAAAAGAGTACGATGAAGAGGAAAAAAGGGGGAGGCAAAGCTGCAGCGGCTGCGTGCAGCGAGAAAGAGACTAAGACGAACGGCAGGGAAAGCACGTACTCCTGCAAGTTTTGTAAGAAGGAATTCGACACGATTTGGGGCCGAAAGGTGCACGTACGATCACACAAGAAGTGCAAAGGTTGCAAAAAAGAGTTCCGTTTTCCAAGTGCCCTTAGGAGTCATAAGCCCTTTTGCAAAAAACTCCGGGCATTGATGGCGAAACAAGCTACCTCCGCTAACCCTCCAAAACCCCAGAGCCCCGGTGTAGAAAACCTGACGGCGCCCAGCAAAGAAACGCCTGCTGTTAACGAAAGCGCGCCTTCCTCTAACGGCCGCCGTGAATCATCCACCCAGAAGGCCGAGTCTGCCAAAAAGCACGCCTGCACGCACTGCAACATGAGTTTTAATAGCAGTACGAGGCTGAGGGAGCACGTGCGCGTTCACACCGGCGAGAGGCCGTACCTCTGCAGCGCGTGCCCGAAGAAGTTCGCCGTCAAACAGGCCCTCAAAAAACACATGTCGAGAATGCACGAGGGCCAAGCCGACGTCAGCGAGGCGCAGGCGGACACGAGTTCAAACTGGAAGACCGTTGGCACGCGCTGCCGCGAGGGTTTCATCTGCGCGTTGTGCCCGAGGCTGTTGAGAACCAGATTCATGCTGAGCGAGCACTTTCGCACGCACACGGGGGAGAAGCCCCTCAAGTGCGAGCAGTGTTCCGCAACGTTTCGTTTTCGCGGGCAGCTGAGCCTCCACAAGAAAAGGTGTGCGGGTCCTCAGCCGGTGACCGAGTGCGCAAAGTGTCAGAAAACATTCGCCACGCAAGCGCGGTACCTGAAGCACATGTCCAGTTTTCACAAAGATCGGTCCTTCTGTAAGATTTGTGGGAAGGTCTTCCTCACAAAAGGCCGCCTGAGGAACCACATGGAGCGTTTCCATCAGTAAGCCAGTTCACCGGTGGGACGTCTTTTATGCTCTCGCTGGAGGTTGTATGACAAATCCGTATTTCCTTCAGGCCAGCAAACTTTTATTTTTTGGGGTATTTGCTGAAGCTAAATGTGTAATCATCTCTACATATTGTTCTCCTGGTTGCCTTAATCACATTGTGCTGTTTGGTGTCAAGTCAGCAACTTTTTTGCTGAATTCAAAACTTGAGTCTCTTGGATTAAGTTTGTGGTCACGTGCTTTGTTGTGGAGTCACATTTTTGGACTAATCTTTGATTTTGGCTGTACTTTTGGTCATTTGTTATACACAAGTGTTTTTTTACTGATACACCGATATGTGAAGAAATTACACTGTTATAGACGTCTTACATTCAAAATGACGTCTTATTGTTCAACCTAAAGCTTGAGTTCTTAAATAACCCCAAACATGCCTATATATTTAAAGTATCGACTGTTTCAATCGTGGTTTTATATTATGTGTAGTGTTTGTGTTAATGTATCCACACGGTAGGATCTGATAACACTGCTGCTTTTTATTTTCTTTAATATAAGTAATGAATAATTGTTATTCTAGACCTACACATTGTTGCCATTTTCCCCAAATAAAATGTTATACTTTTTGTCCTGCACGGTTTTTGAGTAGTATGAATGTTTTATTTCTTCATTTCTACTAAGTGCATTTCACACCTCTGTGTGGGAGATGTCGGAATGTCCTTTTTTCAGCATCGTTGATTTTCAGCAGTTCACAAATCCTTGATATGTTATCGCGAGATTTAGAATTTACGCGAGACTTGACGTCATAGACACCAACCTGCTAGCTGGACGACGGCTCGCCGCATCTTTGAATGTGACTACAGCGCGTTCGTGGATTAACGGTCAGCCAGAGACTGTATTTAACCACCGTGCGTGGAAACACAGTGGACCTGCTTGTTTGGTTGCCTCAAATGCAAGAACACAGTTGGCTTCAGTGCTAAAAAAAGAACGGGCTATCATCACCAACACAGGCTACGCTTCGTTGGCTCCCTTGTTTGCACGTTAGCTTGTAATGCTAACGCTAGCTAACAACGCCACTGAATGACATCACGTTAAGTCACAGCATGTTTTCTTCTCGCTAGCAAGAAGTTGAACTGCATGTTCGTAAACTATGCCAACTGACGGTTTTAAACCGCATTGCTACTAACCGTAGCGGTAGCTCGTCAGATAAAACCGGGACAGCCAAGCTTCAAATGTGACACCGGAGAGACCCGACTAACGCCCAGCGAGATGCGTTATCGAAGCGGCTTGCTGTTCTAGACAACGCCGGCTAATGGAGATGGCCCAGCCGCGTTGACATGGCAACAACTCATGGCACTCCGCCGATGCAAGGGCAGAGGCGTGCACGGTGCTAGCGGCGTTAGCCACATCTTCCCTCTGCTGTCCTCGGAGGATCCCCGCGCAGCTGAACCGCGGTGTCGGTCGGACGTGGATTCCAAAGCGTCGCCGCCGCCGAAACGAAAGCGCATGGAGGCCGCGAGGGGCGCGTTCCACGCGCAGCTGGCCGCCGTCATGGACTCGCTGCTGGCGGCCGCCGTGTGCGAGATCGCCAAGATCTTCGAGAGCAGCCTGTGCGAGCAGCAGGCGGAGCTGGCGCACAAAACGGACGAGATCTGCGTCCTCCGGGGCGAGCTGGAGAAAGCGGGGAGGAGGCAGAGGGCGAAGGGCGGAGGAGTAGAAGGCAGCGAGGAGGTGGAGGTGGCGTCCGGGGACAGAGAGGGAAGTTCGAGGCAGCAGACCCAGGCAGGATCAGGTAGGACAGCTCACCTGTTGATACTTTCCAGGCATTTCATTGGCCACGTGTCACACATACTCACCTGTACAGTACTGGACAGGTTTTATTTTGGAGGGGGATTGGCTGTACAAAATACATTTGCACAGCCACTTTGTACAACATTTGTACAATTCATTGTTTCCCAGGCTGTATTTTAAAGGATTCGTCTTCTCTTTCAAACCGAGTAGAAGGACTCAGTCAGAGCCTCAGTGGGCTGAAAGAAGAGGTCACAGGCCAGAGCGACGCGTCAATAAAACACGAGGTCAGACCCCGTTCTTTATGTTTCAAAAGTTGGTTGTTCAAAAAATACCAAAGGAATAAAGCCTTTGTTATTATTTCGGAGCGCACGGTACAATGTGACATTGAACCCCGCTCTCTTTTTCCGTCTCACGTGTTTTATTTATTCTCCACAGCGTGCTGTACCTCGAGCTTCACCCGAGTTTACCACAGGCCGAGTCCCAGACGGAAGCCTCGCTGCTGGGGACCTGAGGCAGACGGAGACCCTCTCTGGCACACAAGCCAAAGCCAAATGTAAGAAGTCACAATATTCTGCTCCTGCTATTTGTTCAGCATTTCCAATGTTACGACAATGATGTTGATGTTGAAACCTTTGACTGCAGAGGCATTCACTGTTTCCCACAGGACTGTGTGAGACTATTCTAGTATAATAAGAGATATTTGTGTTTTACTTATTGTATTTCCTTTTTATCTTAATATGTTCACTTAGTTCACGGTAACCGTTTTACTTTTTAGCTTTAGTACATTTATTTGACCAGACTAGTTGCTAATATCTACTTTGCATATTCTGATTCTTTATACACACTATAAATCGACCAATAGACCATCACACGTTGTTCAGTCGTACGCAATAGTCATTAAGTATGTAAACGATTAAATTGATGAAAAGTTCCTCTTCCTCCTAATTTCTCTGCAGTGTCTCATTGGGATGAGGGTGGTGCTGAACACAGATCTCACCAGGATCAAGCCTCCACCCCTTTTCTCTCAATCTCCCAGAGCGGACGTTGCTCCCCGGGGCCCGACCCAAGCCCAGCTCAACCAGCGCACTGGCCGCCGGGGTTAAGCGCCACACGAGGCGGGGTGTCCGGCCTGGAGAACCTGCAGATGGACGGCACCATCTGCTCCGGTCCGGCCAGCAGCAGCACCGGCACGGACGGGTCCTGCTTCCGACCGGGTTTCGTCTCTGACGAGACCAGCAACGAAGACGACGACGACGGCGGCTCCTTCCCTTACCTGGACCAGGAGCCTGAAAACCACGACTCCAATCAGAACGCGGCGCAGGGCCACGGCGGGGGGCCGAGGGGGGCTCGGCAGGTTCAGCTTCCAGCCCCCTCCGGAGAATCCCCGTGGAGGCCCAGAGATGACCGGGGAGGGAGAGGCTCCGTCAATCACCCGCGGCGGCTCGCTGCTTTTGGCGGCAGAGACCCTCTCCGACCACAGCCCAACGCACTGCGACACACCAACGCCCTGAGCCACCCCGCCGCTCCCGGCGGAGGGAGCGGACGGCCGTACACCTGCCCGTACTGCACCAAGTGCTTCACCTACCCGTCCCACCAGCGCAGACACCTGCTGCGCCACACGGGAGTCCGGCTGCATCCCTGTCAGTTTTGCGACAAGAGCTTCCTCACCCCCTCGGAGCTCACCGTGCACACCCGCACACACACAGGGGAGCGGCCTTTTGGCTGCGCTCAGTGCGGTAAGCGCTTCGCCCGCAGCGGGAACCTGAGAGCCCACCAGCGAGACGTTCACATGGGGAAGAGGCCCTTTGCCTGCGGGGAGTGCGGGAAGAGGTTCGCCCACAGGGGGAACCTGAGGGTGCACAATCACAGAGTCCATCAAGGAGATCCGTACTACATGGAGGAACAGCAGGAGCCCGACTTGGGCCCGAATCCCATTTGAAAATAACCCAAGACAACAAGGACTGTGCACTTTAAATGATTTCTGAACACTTAAAACAGGTTGAAAGTATTAGGTTTTATTTTTTAATTTCATCTTGGGGGGAAACAAAGATTAACTTCCATTACTTCTTATAATAGGTACTTCTTTGAGGTCTAATTGAAGTGTTTTCAATACCATGGGTCACAGTTCAGGGGAGAGCTTTGCATTGGACTCAATAATTCATGAAAGAGTAATAATCTCTACTGTATATTAAATAACTTTTCTCCTAATGACTATCCGCTAATGTTCTTCCATATCACGGAAAAGTCACTGAACATATCTGAGCACTGTTTCATTGTTAAAACTTTCCAAAAGCCAATTAAGAAAGTCCTGTTCCCTTTAAAGTCGTGTTTATGTGCTGCCCATCTCTTTGTGGTGTAAAAAGGAAACATGTTATTGCAAGTTGTACATAGGAACTGTGTTTAATTTGACATTGTTTTGCAAGGTGAAATTAAATATGTATGACAAGACCATTGTTATTTTTAATTCAGAATCATCGTTCAGCACAAGCCAACATTATTGCACTACTCCACAGCAGACACCAGGGGGCAGTGTCGACGCGCTAAAGACTGACGGAATTGGACGTGCATTGCAAATAGATTTGTGATAAGTGTTGCAGTCAGCATGTTTAATCATGCGTCCTGTATTTGCAGACCTTTTTCCCTGATGTATGCGCCGCCATGCCACTACAAGAATGTGCTTATAAAGCAAAATCTAAATGAGTTTGAGTCCTTTGTGCAAAAACACATTTTCTGTGTGTAAATGTGTAAAAACAGTATTTAGGTTGTAACAAGAATTTTGTTTGTCTTCATTTATAGTTTATAGTCACATTACTAAGGCTTTTTTTTTTACCTCAGTTAATTTTTGTTAAAGGATAGTGTCGCATTTATTTTTTAACATTCTCATGACTTTATGTACGAGTCAGAAGTCCCTGTAGTTGTCTCTCCTCTTAAAGGACAGCTATGAAAACCTTTCTTCCTCATGTGATGGGTTCAAAATTTACATTACGCGATTGTGTTATTCAAATTGGGATTCGACCAATAGTCCCAGTGTGTTCTTTGTGTTTCGGGCCTATAGGCAGTGTTTTCTCTGAGCTGCAGTGGAGGAATCATCACCCAAAGAGCAAATGTCATACTCGGAAACACTAACTAATAGAAACCCACTTGATGTATTGACTCAAGAATCCGAAGCCTCGCAGAGCTTCGACCGAACCGGGTTTTTCCGCCAAACCATCTACCCAAAGGCCAACATAAAAATGAATGTGGGCCGTGTGGAGGTTGATGAGACATTTGTCCCCGTCTCTCATTCTCCCTTTCATACGCACAATCAGCTGCTGAGGGAGGCTGCGGCCGTGTATTCCCCAGGCTGCTGAGCCCTCGCTTTGCTCATTGAAAGATTGCATTCAATGACCTCCTTTCGGTGACCTCCCCTCCCCCCAAAGGTCACCTGTGTCCGTCTCTCCCTCTGGTTTCAAAGCACACGGGTGTTAAAACCCTACGTTGGTTCTGGGAATGGGCACATGTGCTTTTATACTGTATGTATATATATATATATATATATAAGCACATGTGCCCATATCTATTGGGTTCTATTAGTTGTAATGTGGGAGGATTTAAACCTCCCACCAACTAAAAGCTGCATGCTCTTACAGGCCATTAAGGGAATATACAGTGTAAGCTGAATTTATGTGCAGATGAAAGCTCCTGGTGAGATAGAGACGCAAATATATATGCAGATCTGGTTCTCAAAATAGGTGCGTGCATGTGTGTTCGTGGGCAGAGGTCACGAAGGCTTTGCAGTGTTTTCTGTTTGTGTATTTGGTTCTGCGTAATCTCCTTTCTGCTCTAAGCAGCTTTTCTCCGGGGGGGGGCAACAAATGAACAGTAGACCACGCTGGAAGGACGACACACGGCTGCTTTAAATGTGTGTGATAAAAGGGACGTATGTAGTCATTTTAAAAATTACCCCATTCAAAACAACGTTTCTGGTCATTTACTCCCATTTCCCCTCAAGCTACTGGGACCCAACGATGATTTGTTGTGGTGTGAATTTGACCTTCCTCTTTGTTTTCTCAGCGCGCATGTAATAATAAGTATATCCCTGATGGATTACCACGTCCTAACCGGGTGTTTATCACTAGGCTACAACGTTACCATTCTGTTGTAAGGCTGTAATGTGCTCTTTATGTTTTATGTGACCATGTTTCAGTTTATTTCTCTAAACCCCGAGGCTGCTGCTTTCATTTGCTCGGGGAAAAACACACTTTCAACCTCCTGCCATTTCCTCGCTCGCGGCCCAAAGAGTGATTCCATCACCATCCCATAATCACCCAGGAGTTAAATCAGACCCCCGACAACCCGGTTACTGCCCCCTCCTCCCCGAACATGTCATACACACGTAGAAAAGAGAAGAAATACGTCCTCAACGCAGCCGCCAATGTTTTTGCACGTTGGGAATCAGCCAAACCAGTTTATTTGTACATTGTACACCTGTACACCTGTCTGTATCTTTTCAATTTCCCCACCCTGCTTAGGTGTGTGCTTCCATGCGTGCAATGATTGTGTTTATGTGTGCACACTTACCTGCTACTTTCTGTGTGTGTGTGTGTGTTGGTGTTCGGCGGCTATAAGGGACGTTGCGTCGCCCCGAGGCTTCTCATAATCCACCCAGTCCCACCACTCCCCAGGGGCTGTGGTTTCATACGGGTTGCCATTACTGTAGTGAAACCCCCCCTCTAGGGGATTACAGTGCTGTCTCCCGCTCGCCGCTCCGCGTTGATCCATCGTCTGCTGACTGTATTTAAGCACTCGCTTAATGTGCTAATAGCGTTAGCCTGGGGAGACGATGCTGAGCTTTTAACTTTCATCTGCTGAAAGCTCTTTGTCCGTTGGAAATGCTGATTTCATGGACAGCGGCTTGAGTCCACTGGTGATCAGTCACAACCACAAAATATGAAGTGAGCTTCTGGACGTAGCTGTGACATTATAGCGAGACGCCACTGGGATTGTTTCACTGTATGTTGGGTATGTTGGGGGCAAGGACAACTTCCTGCTCAGACAGTGGACTTTACGTGTGCGTGTGTGTGTGTGTGTGTGTGTGTATCCAAGGCAATGATGAAAGGTCACTGGGCCGCGGCTACAGTGTCAAACCTCCCCCGGGCAGAGGGTCGGATGTTTCTCTTCCCATTTTGGGGTTCACAGAGCATGATGGAGAAGTGGAGGGGGAGAACATTATCTTTGTCTTTCATAGTTCTGTGTGTGTGAGAGAGAGAGAGCGAGAGAGAGAGAGAGAGAGAGAGAGTGTGCACGGATGAGAGTGTGTTCTCCACAGGCTGTTCTCTGGTTGCTAAGCAACCCCCTGTCTGCACATAGGAGTGGGGGTGGGAAGGGAGAGAAGCGCCAGGTCAATGGTGACAGACACTCGCAAGCATTGCTGCGTCCGATTGGACACATCGACACATCACATGCTGCTGATGGAAGGCGCTGATCATTAACACGTCCACCGGCACGAGGCCTTGGTGTTTGGGTCTTACAGTCCGGATCCTCCCTACAGAGTCCATTCAATGTAACAGGAGCCGACTCTGAGGGAGGGACGGAAACGTTTGTGTGTTAGATTTGTTTTGGTCAGTTTTAGCCCAAAAATTCTCAAATTTTTAATTGAAAATTGAAAAAAGCTTACCAAAACCTAATGTAGCCAAACTTGTACGTTGTGGTTAAATGTAAAATGCCGAATGATGATTGGCACCTGTGTCCCTCTTCTCTCCAGCCAGGGATGCTGTGACGACGCCGTACAACTCGGCTTCACCCAACGGCGACGGGTCCACGTGACGTCGGAGATGGTGGGTGATCACGCTGCACCGTCACCAAGGCGACGGGACCGGTCGGGGGGGCCAAGCCGTCGCGGCTGAATGGCAGACAGCAATGAGTCCTCTTTGTCACAGACCCGGGGTCAGCAGGTTAACAAGGACAAGCTGGGGTGGATTTACTGCACCTGAAAAAAAAAAAACTGCCGCACGCGAGGGAGTAGATGGTCATTCCTGTATTAACGTAATTACTTGATGATGGAGATGATGGAGATCTTACAGTGTGAGGGAATCTGGATGGAGTTGTATTTCTACATGCTCTGACTTCCTGTCCCTCCTAAAGGTTTTTTCCCACCTAACAAAGTTGGATGAATTATGTGCAATCTCCGCTGAGCAAACTGCTCTGGCAACCTTTTCATAATACAACCTAAATACAATCTGCTCTTTTTTTATATTTTTTATTTCTGAAAAAAAAATTCAGCTGATTTCTAAAAATCTTTTTTTTCCTAAATGTTCTCTTTGATTCAGTCACACATCCGTTCATAAACCCGGTTTTCTATGCTGGAATGCCTCATGTTACCTGCCAGCAATGTTTTATTCCCACTGCAATTCAAAACTAAAAGAGATCTGATTTGTAATGGATAAATGGTATTTTGTGTTCAATGTCTTCAAACTGCTTGCTAGTAAAAAAATTGAGTGAAAATGGATCTGAAAATGGAGATTGCAAAATGATCAACTTTACGCAGCACTAACAGCCCTTAATGTTTGCATGCAATATCTAAACGTGTCTTTACAACTTCCATCCATTTAAGGATACCAACGTGGAAGCACATCAAAAATAAATAAACCTCATCTCTCGCCTCTCTGCTTAGGGTTTGGTAAATTGGTCAATTCTCCCACTGATGGGACCTTCAGAAAAAGCTAAACTCCAAACCTTATGGGTTTATAGATTTAACCAGGGGGGGATTTTGCTGGCATATGGTTGGACTGAATAGGTAGAGCCTTGCAGATAGGACAGTAGCTATATGTGGCAAACAGTGGGTGGGCTTAAGGAAAGCTTTTTGGTGGATGTTGTCCTGGCAGGGCGCAGTTAGAGGGGCAGATATGCCAGTGGACCATTGCCCAAAGTGGGGAGAGGCGGATACTGCCAGTCTTGGTACAAATCAGAAAAACTGCTCTGCTGTTCCCTGTTTTGGGGAAAGGGAGGAGGGTGGGGGGGGGGGGGGGTGTTTAAAGCCTGGTGGCAGACAGCCAGCACCAGCGATGGCACCAACTGTCACTGGCAGCATGTCACGCTGCCGCCACGCTGACCGAAGCTGTGTGTGTGTGTTGGTGTGTGAATTTAAGTATTGCTCCTGCAGTCTGACGCTATTTCTGACCCCTCCTCGAGCGAGGCAATACGGTTTATCAACTATTTATCCTGATATTATTTAATCTTGTTTGTATGTATTCTCCTTATGTTGTGCTGTTCATTGCCACGTGCCAACTGGTGAAAAAAGTAGCAGTGGCTTTATTCAGCTGATAATACGCCTTATTTTTAGTAGTAAATCCATAAACAAGAGAAATTAGCACAAAAAAAAGGTTAAATGTCAAAAGCAAATTTGACAGAAAAGGTGTGTGTGTGTGTGTGTGTGTGTGTGTGTATGTGTGTGTGTGTGTGTGTGAGCGCGCTAATTGAATTATGTCTTCAGGTAAATCCCCTAGTGGTCACTGTACCGCGGCTCATATTCACCACTCAGTCAAGTGAAACGGTCCTAATTTCATCCTCTCTCCCTCACCCTTTCTCCCCCCCACATTACTCACCATCCAATGAGACACTGCCAGTTCTGCTCGTCCACCCACTCCCTCCCTCTGTTACTTTTTTATATCTAACTGTCAACAACACAATAAAACGCAACATAGAAATCCAATCAACACAATGTCAGAACAGTGCCAGACAGAAAAAAATCTAAGGATAAAATAAGATTGATCAACTCATCCTTCGCTCACCTGCAGTCAGTGGTCATGCAGATCTCAGCTCAGTGAGGATAGGCTGGGGCCGAGTAGTGGGCGGGGCCTGCTCTGATGCATCACACACGTACCACCAGCGCAGCAGGACAGATCCTCTCTCTCTCTCTCTCTCTCTCTCTCCCTCTCTCCCTCCCCCTTTCTCTACCTCTCGGTCCGCCTTTCACACATACGCCAGAGCGCAGACTGCAGCAGAACGCAAGGCCGGCAGGATTTTCCTCCTCATAACAGCTGAGAAAGCACAGAGACAGTCACCCGCTGAGGAGGAGGAGGGAGACGTTGTTCGTGGAGGATCCGCCGAGGAGTACCTGACTCACGAGCCGCCGATCACATAGGTGAGTAAGTGTGTGTCCTGCTCTGTGTGTGTGTGTGTGTGTGTCCGTGTGTATCCGTGTGTGAGTTCACCGCAGAAGCAGCAACAGCAGCACTGCAGATACACCGACCAGGGGCTTTGCTCGTCCCTCTCTCCCCTCCCCCCACTCTCCTCCTCCTCCTCTTCATCTACTCTCTTCTCCCGGAGCATTAACAAGTAGGGACTTTTTCCCGTTTCCCATCAGAGAGACCTCAGAAGTGTGTCCGTGGCGTGTGTTTGCAAGAGTGGCGTCGGTCAGGCCACACCTGGACCCAGCAGCTGCAGAGCGGCACACGTGGGGGGGAGAAAGAGGGGAGGGGGAGGAGGGGGAGGCGGGCTGGGCCCTGGATTTCTCTCCGTCTCACAAGTGATGTGTTCTCCTGCCAGCGACAAATCAAGCTCACTCCTGAGGGGATTTTGAACTGTTTTCCAACAATCCTCCGCCCCCCCCCGCAGGTCTGCGCCCCGGGCCCCCTCAGGAGCGGGTGTGCGGACTCCTCCTGCGGGACCGTCCCAGACTGCCTCCTCATCTGCGGGTAGGATGCTCGGCTCTGCGCCCTTGTGCTGAGGAGGCGTCTGCGGGCCACAGTATGGGCGCTGTGCTGGCCGGCATCCTCACCACCACCCCGTCCGCCACTTCTCTGCACCCGCCACCACCACCACGCTGCCCCACCGAGACGGGCGCTTCCCCGGCCCCGCTGATGGGCGAAGACACTGACGCCGCCCCGACGCTCGACCACCGCGGCTTCCTCCCCGACCACAACTATGTGACTGAAGGTAAGAGGCCGGCAGAGGAAGCCGCGTGGGACTAAAGGTCACACTTTCTTTGTCATGTGAGTGTGTTTCCACGCATTGGACTTTGGGAACGTGTGTGTGTGTGTGTGTGTGTGTGTGTGTGTGTGTGTGTGTGTGTGTGTGTGTGACAAAAACAAGCTCAGGACGGCTTCCTAATCGTCTGTGAGCTCCGTGTTGATGAGAGTTGTAGACGATTCAACAAGAGGTAGGAAGCAAAACACTTTGTGGCAAGTGTTCCCTTCCTCCTTCCCTTTTGGGGGTCTTGTTTGCTTTTGCTTTTGTAACCACTTTCTTACCTTGTGTAACAGCTATTCAGTCAAACCGCAGGGAATAATTGATCCGGCCTGTGTGTGTGTGTGTGTGTGTGTGTGTGTGTACGTCTCTGTTTGTGTGGGAGAATAGTTCTTTCTTCTGTAACAGCAGACATTTCCTGAAATAAAAAACAGTGATTTGGACTCGTTGCACAAACCGGTCACCTTTCACAACCACACATGCACGCTGTCCCATTTAATAAAATAGAGTGTGGCCTCTCAGCCCGGGGGAATGTTTTCAAAGTCCCGGCAGGAGCACAAGCTGCGCACATGAACCCACTTGTTCTGTTTTCATAATGCACATGGATTATTAGCTCCCGCTAATCTCAATTACACCACTAATCTCACCTGGACTGGAGCTTCGCCGTGTGCCGGCTCACGTCTCTTAGACCAGAGCAGCGGATTATCGTCCTGGGGGGGGGGGGGGGTCACGAACGTGTTGCGAGTCCATTTGGGATCCTCGTAACACTGCAGAAAGGGAATTACGCGTCTGTGCTGTAATATAATATGCCTCCCTCGGATACTGTCGTCAAGGGAGACCTGTAGTGCCGCCTGTTGATTGTGTCGATGCCTGTGTGTGTGTGTGTGTGTGTGTGTGTGTGCACACAACTGATTGTATTGCTGAAAAGAGAGGAGGACGTGCGCATGTTTTCTTATACGAACATCAACGCGAGAGAAACATGTCTTTGTCCATTTCAGAGAAAGGACTTTGATGGGTTAGTGGCAGAAAATCAGCCCTAACGTCCGTCACCGAGCGTAAATTGTTGCCATAGCCACAGTCCATGATGATGTACATGGCAATTTTCATGCTCGGCCAGTATGATTGACAGGTCGCCTACGCCCACCAATAATGGCAGTATTAATTATTCCACACATCTCAGGCAGACACAGACATTATTCAGGGTGAATTGCTGATGAGCTCACAGCGAGGTGATCACCCCAGTGAACACGATCGGTCCGACAGGAGCGTGCAACACACGGACGGCCTGAAAATAGATAGTTGCAAATGAACAAGCACAAATTGTGCAGTTAAAGTCGATCTCACGACGGTTCTCCAATAATGACCAAAAAGGAGTATTTTCCATCATTACCCACCTACTCCAACCCCCCTCCACCTCCTCAATGTTCACCCCATCCCCCGTCCTCCACCCCATTTCCATCCCCCACTGCCTCCCTCCCCTTCCCCATCGGCCCTCTAATGCAACTCGCAGCATTGCCCGGTGCTGAAGTGGCGCGTCTGCCAAACAATTATCCAACAGTGCTCCGAAGGCTGCCCAAACACAACCTGCCTCTGTGTGTGTCTGAGTGTGTGTGCGTGTGAAAGAAGAGAGACAAAGTGGGGTGCATGTGATTTAACACTTGGATGCACTTGATCAGCTGCTGTGTGTCTTTTCATCTTTCGTTATTTTCCGTCCGTGTCGCATCCATGTTCATGTCTGTGTTTTTGTTTGCCTGGGTCTGTAAATGTGAGTCCGTCTGCCAGGATTTTGTGTGTTTATGTACGTGTGTGCGCATCCAATTCAGTGCGCGTGCGGATCTTAACCCGTGGGGATTCCCCTGCCCTGTGACTCCTACAAGGGAGGGATGCTTAACCTCGCTCTTCCTAAACCTCCCTCCCTCCCTCCCTTCCTCCCTCCCTGCCTTCCTTCTCCCCTCCATCTCTTCCTCTAACTTCTTTTGCCCTCCGCTGTATCTCCCTTCGCTACACCCTCACCTCAGACTGCAGCAGCATCACGTTCAAGGGTGGATGAGGAAATAATACAAATAATTAGCGATAGCATCAACATTCTGATGTATAAACCATTTGTCAGTTTGTAAATTAATTATTTATGACTGTCTTCGTGTCATAAATAATGCAAGCACACTAACCCCCCTAACTATTGTCTGTGTGTATATATATATATATATATATATATATATATATATATATATATAAATTATAACTCTTGAGGTTGAAACAAAAACTTAATCTCAATATTTATTTTCAAGTCATGATTGATATAATATCAAACATATTATTAATAATGATAATGATAATTTGTTGCGTGTTTCAATTGTTGCTCAGGCAAACATGACAGTTTATAAATTGCTTTGGGCTTTGGAAACATTCGCTGTCATTATGTTTGACATTTCGTCCGACAGGTTAATCAATATTAAACGTAATTATTTGTCATCGCACCCTTACGTAAGTGAGTGAGCTCTCACCAGCCGTCACTGCTCTTTTCGAATTGTCAACCGCCTCTGGGGAAATGTGAGCGCCGCCAACGCTTCCTGTTACGCTCGCCTGCCAAACCTCCTTCTGGAAGCGACGGCCACTAAAAACGTCGAAGCTGTCCGTCTCCGTCCGTGCTGCATGTTCCTGCCGAACCCCACATGTGAATACATCATGTTCTATGGCACAAATACACCATCAGTATTTCTATTCTCTGGTGAGCTCTCATGGCCACATGTGGTGATGCAGTAACTCCGTCCCCCCCACCCTCCCCGGTTCCTTCCCCCCTTAACCTCTGCTCCTCCCTGTTGCCCTCCTTCCCTTCCCTCCATCCTTGCTCCTCTTGCAGGGCTGCTCCTGGCTATAGCCTGAAGAGCTCCGCCCATCCCGTCCACCCTTCTCCACCCTGGAGCCCTCCCCCAGGATGTTGAGCCCCATCCAGGTCCTGTGCTCCGACATCACTACCCTTTCTCTGGAGCCCGAGCCGTTTGCCTCTTACACTGAAGGTGTGTGCTCTATCCTCTTGTCGACACACTTGTGCGACTGTAACTAGGGGCGGTGGGGGGGGGCTGGAAGTGACAGAGTGTGTGTGTGTGTGTAGTTTGAGTCAGGTGAATTCTCACGTGAGTCTGAGAGCTTGAAATATCTTCAACATCGCTTCTTCTCCGTCTGGCTCCCTCGTCCTTTCCGCGTGTCTCTATTTTTGTGCCTTCCTCCTTATTTTCGTCTCAGTCGGCTTTTGTGTGTGTGTGTGTGTGTGTGTGTGTGTGTGTGTGTGTGTGTGTGTGTGTGTGAGTGTTGCGCTTTGATTTCTTTAAATAGTTCGACCACACACCTCTTCAAAGCACCTGTCTGACAAGACCTTGCACGCAGACGCTCACGTATGTGCACGCAAACACGCCCAGACTCTTCTAATCCTTTGAACACAAATGCACTACGTGTGCTGTGCAGAGAAACACACTCAGTCACACACGATGCTTTCACTATCACTTCATCGACAATCAATTTAAGATGAATTATGTTTTCTGTGAAGTGTCTGAAAGGAGGGAAAACTTCTTGTTTCGTTCTACAAGCCGACGAATGTATTTAGTTTGCAGTAAATTTTAGCATTTTTTATTTTAAAAATGTTGCTTTATAATTCTGATCATTACGCTTTCAGCTTTGATCACATCCGAACGGAATGACAAGCAAAGCGGTATAAATAAACGGTATGAGATTTCTGAACACGGGATTACGTTTCGGTATTTAGGAGTTGTCGACACATAATCTCGGTGTTCATTGTCGTCTGGATTATATCGGGCGAAAACCAGCTCAGCTCATCATCTTTTTTTATGTTACAGTCTGACGAATCTGCTGAGAGAACAAATTGATTTTGCTTTAAGAAGAACGCAGCTTTGAGTGTTCGTGCAGGATTACAGGTGTATTTCACACGGGCTGCTTCTCGGTTTGTGATTCTAATTGTTTGTGTCTATAACCATTAGACTCACACCGGCTCTGCTCCATTGTGCCCGAGTGTGTTTGGGGAAACGGCAGCTCCCCTGCTGTGAGTTTAAATCACTCCTCCACACACACACACACACACACACACACACACACACACACACACACACACACACATATACGTGAACCTCGACAAACACAAACACACGCCCCAGTTTTATTTCTCCTTCAGATAAGACTGCAGGACCGGGTCCGATTGAACGTGTCCCTCCCACACCTCCCCCTCCCTCCTCTCCTCTCCCCCCGGCCCATTTATTTTCTCTTCTGCGTAATTGAGTACACACTTGTGCACACGTGCACAGGAAATGCGGCGCGCACACAAACAGACACACATCTCCTGCTGAGCGGGTGGCCTGTCGTCCCTTTTAAGGCGTGTGTGTTTTTGGCCCTGCTTTAAACGGCCCGTGTTTACCGTCCTAAGATGTCTATAATTGGGACTGTGGGACGTCTGCTCCCCTCTCGTTCCCTGTGGCACACTTAAGGCAACGAAGGAACCTCCTCCGCCACCACCCTCATCCATCCCTCCGCCACCACCCTCATCCAGCCCTCCTACGCCACCTCCCTCATCCATCCCTCCTCCGCCACCACCATCATCCCTCCCTCCTCCGCCACCACCCTCATCCATCCCTCCTCCGCCACCACCATCATCCATCCCTCCTCCGCCACCACCCTCATCCAGCCTTCCTCCGCCACCACCCTCATCCATCCCTCCTCCGCCACCACCCTCATCCATCCCTCCTCCCTTCTCCGCATTGTCTGTTGTTTTGGCCGCAGATGAACACTCATCTTAATTTGTAAAAAAACATTCTTAAATGATCAATAAACGCAACTTGATCGATTAATCAATAAATCTTTGCATCCCGAGCCAGAAACGCTATTCACTGTTCCCCAAATGTCCAGATTTTGCATTCAGGCTGCTTGTTTTGTCAGCTAAACCGCCCAAACGCTGTATTGTTCGGTCTACTACCACTTAAGAAAAAGGGAAGCAGCAAATGGATTGAGAATATTACACATAACAAATCAGTTATCTGTCAGTTATTTGTTCAGCGTGTTCCCCAAACAGATTTGCATCTTTACCCCATAAATGTCCTAAACACCTCTCTGTGCACTGTGTTTGGTGCACATTCTTCAACGCTGTTTTGTGTCATTGTGTTCATTCATGTTTGTGTGTTGTTTTGTGCTCATGCACTTGCAGTCACAGCGTGTTCCCCAGATCCCGCAGTGCGAGGATGAGTCAGACAGGCCTGCTGATGCTAATGGACCGTTTGTGGGAGACGGACCCTGCTAGCTTGCTATACTGTAGCACACACATCCACGCACATCGACTAACAGCTCGACAGCCAAACAGACACACAAACACGCACACAGAGCCACAGCACTTCTTGCTTCTTCGCTCTCAGAGGTTTATTCTTCTGTGTGTGGTACTTCTTCTAATGAAGAGCATCAGAGACAGATGGGTGTGGAGTGTGTGAGCGTGTGCGTTTGTGTGTGTGTGTGTGCTTCAGAGTGACACAGAGAAACGCAGAGAGGCGACTGACAGAGGATGAGAGACAAAGGTGTGCGTCTCTCCTGTGGGTTTTGCTTTGCTTTGCTTTTCTCTGCGCAGTGTGGAGACACAGTTGTCTGTTAATGTGTGTGTGTGTGTGCGTTGAAAGCTGCCTGCTGTGTGTGTGTTAGTGAAATCCGTTGCATGAGTAGGGGTCATCGCCCCAACAATGATCTGCTTTTCCTCTATCTGGAACCTTCCCCCTGGTATTTATTTAGCAACCGTTGGTTAGTGGACGGACCAGCAGGGCCGTAATCTTTCTACAGGATCGGATCGATGAATCCCGCTTCCCTCCTTCACCAGCGTGCCGTACACGGCTAACTGCTACGAGCACCCGTGCTACCGGCTGGCTCAGCCTGTTACCATGGCAACCCCATGCTCACCAAAAGCCTCCCATAACCGTCCCCCCCCCCCCCCAGCGCCTCATCTCTCCACCTCCCTTTCCATCCATTCTTCCAGCAGCAGCAGCAGCAGCAGCGCCACCACTCCAAAGACGCAACGTACAGCCGGGCGGCAAAATGCTGTGGGGGAGGGATGAGAGGGAGGGATGAGAGGGATGAGAGAGAGAGAGAGAGACAACCAGGAAACAAATGGGGGGCAAAAGACAGAAACTGGGGAACAAGAGATGAGGGGTGACAAAAGAGCGCGTGGGTGCTGGAGAGGCTGAAATAGAGGAAAGGAAATTGAAACTGAAGAATGAAGAAGGCCCTGCGGTGAGATCAAGGAGCGGTGCAATGACTGGCAGAGATGTGATGGAAACCAGTAACACACGAGGCGTGTGGGGAACAGAGCAGAGCTCATACAGTCTGTCTCTGTCGCTCTCTCTCAAGGCCACCGGCAATCTGACGAGGCCACAGCTCGGATTCACGTTGACGCTCAATAAATACATTCGACCCGCTCGTTTCGTTTATTCCAGTCAAGGTACATCAAAACAGAGCACAGTGGAGTCCTTTGTCGAAGGCTTAGTGGAATACAACATCTAAAAATATATGTATATACATATATATATTCAGACATTTTTGAATTATTTGATTATTTTGTGGCGCAGTAGCAGATTTAAGCTTTTGCTACACGGCAAAGGTCACGCGGCTTTGGAGGCCACGGCAGGACGCCAGTTATGCAGCTTGTTGATAAGCCTGCAGGTTGTCTTCAAGTCTTCAAAATATCAGAAGTATTCATTCCAAAAAAATGTTTTTCCTGGTTTTATGTTACACCGGTCACCAATATATGCATAAACGCTTTAACCTTATTAATTCAATATTATTCATAATGTATTATTATTATGTACCAACTACTACATCTATAACTATTCATTGTCCCGGGTGCAGTGACTTTGCAGAGGGTCTGCTGATTATCGCCCCCCCCCCCCCCCCCCCTCCCGGTGAATACTCAAGGAAGCCAGGAAGTATTTCTTTAGAAAATAATTTTCGGTGGATTGAAATGTTTGGTCCGTTAGAAATAATCTGTTCACTACTGTACATGACGGCTGTCATGAGGACGACAACACAGGGATTCATTCTTATTGTGACTGTGGTTGATCGTGGGTCAGCAATCGGCCTAAATTAATCATTCACGTGTTTTGTTTTATTTTATCAACCTGGATTTAAAGCGTTGACGCACTACCAAAGAACTCCTCTTTCCTTAAACCTCAGCTCATAATTACTTTGAAAGAGATTTCCCCACCAATTTGTTTTCTCCCTCCAGACCAGCTCTGTCTGCAAACAGACATGTCTAAATAAAACTCAAATCTTTGCTGTACAAAGGGAGAGTGAAAGGAGGATTAAAGGGGCCGGAGGGCGGGGAGGAGATTACATCTAACGCTGAACCAGATTCAGAAATCCCACTGGCAAGCTCTTCATTAGCCTCTGTGTTGTGTGATGCAGGAGGGTCCGATGAAAGCATCCAGTGCTCAGTGTGCTCCTCATGTCAGTGTCAGTGTGAGGGGGACATTGCTGCAAGCATCCAAATGAATGGCCTGAGCAATGATGTTTTCATTGCACTGTGGGTTGCACTGTGAGTGGAGTGCATTGTTATTCTTACACACACACACACTCGAGATGAACTTGGGTGCCACAGAGTGGGTCATTGTGAACGTGTCGCCCTGGAACACAGACGACACCTGGGCCGAAACAGCTGTGTGTCTCTTTGGTTTTGATGGGCACATTTTGGTTTGTTCTGTGTAATCTGAATTCTCTGAAACTTTTGCAGAATCATTTGTGTTACTGGTTTTATTCTAAACACTGATCTGCACATTGAAATCCATTCACCTGTTAATGCGTTGATTGTGCACAGATTATGTAGACGATTCTTCCTCTCATCTTTGCCTCTCTGCCTGTTGCCACCCCCAGCCGATATCATCTCCACCGTCGAGTTCAACCACACCGGAGAGCTCCTGGCCACGGGGGACAAGGGGGGCCGAGTGGTCATCTTTCAGAGGGAACCCGAGGTATAGCCGCGCACATTCATACCCACAAATGTCACCCTTTTTCATTCAAGCAGCCATGAACACACTCTGCTCCCCTCCGGCTGCAGTCGGGATCGAATGATAAACACCTTGTGCCGGATCAAGTTGACTACACTTTACTGCGATTGTGCACGTGAGGAGATGCTGATCGTTTTCCCTGCGCTCGTCCGCAGAGCAAAGGGGAGCCGTTCTCACAGGGCGAGTACAATGTCTACAGCACCTTCCAGAGCCACGAGCCCGAGTTCGACTACCTTAAGAGTCTGGAGATCGAGGAGAAGATCAACAAGATCCGCTGGCTGCCTCAGCAGAACGCCGCGCACTTCCTCCTCTCCACCAACGGTGAGCGACTTTAACCGTAACCGTCTTATTTCCACTTTGCACTCAGCATCAAGGGTTCGTCTGCCTTGGATGAGAGTTCCTACCATCAGCCCACATCCGAGCTTCCATATTGGAATATCTATAGATTTTCCCTGAGGCTCTTATTATTGATTTATTTAAGTACTGTGTTATTTATGATTGCGGGTATGGAAAATAGAGGACCTGCCTCAGCAGTTGAGGTAATGCGTCTGGAAAGCTTGAGATCTTTTCAGTGTAATGCAGAGACCTTCTGTGTCTGTCAGTGTTGAGAAAACAAAAGCTTTCAGAGTCCGATCTGTCTTCCAGAGCTGACGGACTGGAGTACGCTGGATTATCTCTTCTTTTAAGTCATTTATTTTGGGCTCAACTGCTTAAAATGATTTGGCTCTTTGCACCAAGCACTTAAAACAGCTCTATTTAGCGAACGTACCAATTCGAGATGCGAATTCCATAATTAGCCTTCTCTGATTTGTTTAATCACATCTAATGTAAGATCTGTAGATAGCTTCTCGACACAGCATATCATAACAACTCGAATCTTATCGGATTGCTTAATAGCCCCTTTGTGATTCCCAGATAAAACCATTAAGTTGTGGAAGGTGGGGGAGAGAGACAAGCGTCCCGAGGGCTACAACCTGAAGGATGAGGGGGGCCGCATCAAGGACATGTCCACCGTCACCTCCCTACAGGTAACATGTAACTGTCCGTCTGCCCGTCTCCTTCAGGCACTAAAACATCCGTGAACGCTGATTGTGAAACATAACTGGGTCAGTGGGTACAGATGTGTTTGCATGTGCAGAAATGGGTCACTGGCACACTGATACAAGCGTGAGAGCAGCACTCAGGGTGGGGAAACACTCCTTTTTCCACAGTACAGAAACATCCGTAGTTCTATTCTAGTAATGTGTACGTCGAGGGTGCACGTGTGTTTTTGCACGTAGAGTGTGTATGATGGTGTCTTCATCGCCCCGTATGCAAATAAGGAAAATAAGAAAAAATGTGTTTCAATGCAAATCAATGCAAATCCCAAGTTATGAATAGCCACATGAGCGCACGCAATGAACTTGCTCTTGTTTCTGCCATCAAGAGTTAGGCGAGTTAGGAATAATGGAATACTGATGCCAAAGAAAGTAATTCATTAATTATTAATTCACGATGGAATAGAATTATTTAAATTGAATCTAACCTGTCTGTACCTTCGCCATCTGTCTTCTCCTAATCAGTGACAGGGGACGTTAAACCCGCTCTCTGCCTCCTCCTCCTTCCTCTCAGGTGCCGGTGTTGATGCCGATGGACCTGATGGTGGAGGTGAGCCCACGGCGAGTGTTCGCCAACGCCCACACCTACCACGTCAACTCCATCTCCGTCAACTCCGACTACGAGACCTACATGTCGGCCGACGACCTGAGGATCAACCTCTGGCATCTGGACATCACCGATCGCAGCTTCAGTATCCTTTGCATCCCGAGAGGAGGAGGAGGAGGAGGAGGAGAGGACCACATCCCTCGTGCACACACTTGTATAAAAGCAGGGATGGATTTATTTAAGCACGAGGCCGCGGATAATGAGTGCACACGCTAACAGACAGAAGCTCACACGTGCTCAATAGTCAATTCCTGCCGACGCACTCGCACAACAAACTCCCACCTTGCAAATCCCACTTTGTGGTATAAAGAAATGCACAAAGACGCACGGTGTTGGGGGAGGGGGGGGGGGGGATATAACTCTTGGAGCTTAATGAATAATTCAAAGGGTGCATAAATATTTCAGCCTCTTTCTGGGTTCTAATCCAGCTCAATAGGACACAGCACGAGCACAACCGTGACCCAGACAGGATTTATGATATTACAGTTTGTCTGAATATGAAATTACTTTTCTCCTAACAATCCCCCCAAGATACATTTAAATTGGTTTGCTTTATTTCCTCTGTAAATTATTCACATTGTTATGGTTTAAGTACACATTTACATACACTAATATTTTTGCTTTTGTGTGTAGTTTATGAGCTTCAAACACAATCTAATTTCTCATGGAGGCAGTTATTGAACAGAAGTCATGAATGAATGAATTCATGCTGCGCGCCTCGTCAGGTTAAAACCAAGTGCTCGGCCTTGGGAGCAAAAACTGTCCCTGACGTTTCCCTCAGCGACCGTCTCTGCCTCTCAGACATCGTGGACATCAAACCAGCCAACATGGAGGATCTGACGGAGGTGATCACGGCGGCCGAGTTTCACCCCCATCACTGTAACCTGTTTGTGTACAGCAGCAGCAAAGGGACCCTGCGCCTCTGTGACATGAGGGAGGCGGCGCTGTGCGACAAACACTCCAAACGTGAGTCCAGCTGCGGCAACACGTCGCGTTTCTGCTGTTTACTTTGGATCTGAGTGAAATGACTCACAACTGAGGATCATTTGCTGCATTCAAATTAAGGCAAATATGAATTACTTGGGGATCTTTTCATTTAGCTCACGAAAATCAACTGGCAGACATTGGGTTATAATTATCAGTTAGCTTTATTTGGTCAGTGGTTTAGAGCGGGGAAGTCTAGTGATTTGACACTAAACACTGTGTATTCAATTTGTAATTTCATATATTAATATGACACAGTGAATCATAAAAGCTGCTGCTGGAGTCACGTGAACGTCACCGACTGTCTTCAGTGGATCCTACAAAGCGTCAAGGGCTTCCCTCATTGTTAGTTACATATAAATGCGATTGTGAGACGTGCTGATGTCTACGCACATAGAGGCATTCAGAAGAATGCCGCAATCTCCCGTCATCCTCTCATGTTCCTCTGCAGTGTTCGAGGAGCCCGAGGACCCCAGCGCCCGCTCCTTCTTCTCTGAGATCATCTCCTCCGTGTCGGACGTCAAGTTCAGCCACAGCGGTCGCTACCTGCTCACCAGAGACTACCTGACTGCCAAGGTCTGGGACCTCAACATGGAGAGCAAGCCCCTGGAGACGTACCAGGTGCGTGACGTGAGGGAGAGTGAGGATGGACGTTGTCTCCCAGCTGCTGGGATGAGATCTCCTCCGGGGAGGTTAAGCTGATCAGTAGGCGAGGAAGCGCAAAAATCCCTTTTTTTTAATCCACTCATCTGTCGAGTGACTCCAATCTTATGTTCTTGCTTTGTTGGCTGATAACATTCAGTCAGAGCCAATAGGCTCTATTGTAAAACATCGGTGTCCGTACTCCACCTGCTGCACGTTGGGTGGTTTGCATTAAATCTTCAGCCAGCTGACTCACTGTCATCCTGAACATCTGAATAACTGATGAAGGGGAAGGGGACGTGCTGTTGAAAATGCACAAAGACAAAACTTTATTTTTCTTTGCATGTTATCCTTCTCATTGACTCATCCCACATATCACCTGTGTTACAACAGGCCGCCCCATCTTCTGTATGGATCCATGAGCAGTAGAAGCTCAACTCCTTTTTTGATTGGCAGTTTAGCATTGTGTGTGTGTGTGTGTGTGTGTGTGTGTGTGTGTGTGTGTGTGTGTGTGTGTGTGAGGGCCTCTGTGGCAGCCGAGACGCACTGGAGCTATTTATAGTCTCCACTCATATAGTGAAACGGGAAGAAGGGATACCTCACACAGTGCCCGACACCTAGAACTGCAATGCAGCACGGAGAGGGAGGGAGGGAGGGAGGGAGGGAGGAGAGGAGAGGGGTGAGGATTTAGGAGGGAGGCTGCTGAGAGGAGGGGAGAAGAAAGAGGGGAGGCGAGTGCAAATGAGAGGATGAGAAAGAGGTTGAAGGGAGTAAACTGAGAGGAGTAAAGGGATATTTCAGCTAAGCCGCTCTTATTTTGGTAAATTTCGCCTTATTCGCTCTGGAAGCTTGAATAATAATCCCAAATCCATGAGAGAAGAGGCAATGTGCTCTAACGCAGGGACAGTGCAGACACATATTTATCTTCTGACACTGTGTCATTTCTCCCTTAGCAGAAAGACCCACAGGAGGAAACTAAAACGTCACCTGATTTGATTTACAACCATGAGCCGACCTCAGCTCGACTATTTATTGACTGCAGGGCGACTGCTGGCTTTATGCAGAATGCGAAAACGGGGGGCTCAGTGCGGAACTGCAGGAGGAAGGTGTAGATTTCAACCTCTTGCATCACAGCGCTGTTGTTAGTCTACGTGTGTGTCTGTGCCATCACGCCCTGGATGCTAATGGGTTTTACTGATGTGGAAAAGGAGTTTAGATTCAAATGTATCCTGGCCCTCATATTGCTCCGAGCTGCTGTTGTGTCTCATTACAGTCGCCTTCGGGGAGGTTTGTGTTACAACTTGCCCACATTGTGTTTTGCGTGTGCTGAGCTGTGTGTGTGTGTGTATGTGTGCGTCTTCTATCCACTCTATTACCTGTATAGTTTACACAGGTTTGGATGTGTGTGTTCTCCTCCAGGTTCACGATTACCTCCGCAGCAAGTTGTGTTCACTTTATGAAAACGACTGCATCTTCGACAAGTTTGAGTGTGCGTGGAACGGCTCCGACAGGTACAGTACCCGAACGTGTCTTTTGTTGTTCTTATACCAAATGTACCAAGATGACAACTTGAGCTCTCGTTTATTTTTGGAGTGTAGGATGAGTTAGTACAAGTTTTAGCGTCAGTGTAGATTCTAATTGTGGAAAAGTTGTATTCTTTCTATTTACCCATAAATGTGCAGTTGCCGTGAGTAATATCAATTCTTTAATTGGTTCAAAAGTAGTTCTAACCGCTGACAGGATTTTTTATCTGAATTATCCATCTTAAGCAGGATATTGTTTTGGAAAAAACGTATGTTTGAAGTTTTTGAAACTTCAAGTGGTATGATGTAATAAATGGATTTACCCAAATACTTAATTCTACTGTATAGTTACACTCGATGTACACGATTCACCCGTTTTAATGCAGTACATTTTTACTTATAAGTGTAAGCGGATGAGACGGGTTCAGGAAATCGTAGTGAACTGATCCGTCGTCTCCTCCTCTTCCTCAGCGTAATCATGACCGGGGCCTACAACAACTTCTTCCGCATGTTCGACCGCAACACCAAGCGGGACGTGACCCTGGAGGCCTCGCGGGAGAGCAGCAAACCCCGAGCGGTCCTGAAGCCGCGGCGGGTCTGCGCCGCCGGGGGGAAGCGCCGCAAGGACGACATCAGCGTGGACAGCCTGGACTTCACCAAGAAGATCCTCCACACGGCCTGGCACCCCACCGAGAACATCATCGCCATCGCCGCCACCAACAACCTGTACATCTTCCAGGACAAACTCAACTCTGAGATGCATTGACGAAGGGGTCGGGTGGGGTCGGGGGGGGGGTCACAGCGGTGGATTGCCAACGAGTTTACGCCCGAACACACAGCTGCGCCAGAATGTACACTGTTTTAGAGACGTCCACACGGGAATGTGCCTAACGGCCACTTGGTCACAAAACACACACACAGACACACGCACACATCTAGTTCTACTCTACGACACACTTCCTCTCCCCAGCCTCCCAGAACTGAAAGGACCTAAAAAATGGGCTAAAAAAGGGAAACATGCTGATACAGAATGCAAAAAAAAAAAAAAAAAGCTGTGGGTTCTCGACTGGTGAACCTCTGGATTGGTGTGTTTATTTCAGCAGCTCATCTTCTGAAGGGGGAGAAACCCCCCCACCCCCCCTCCCCCTCGGATTAGAGAGACGTTTACATGTGTGTCTTTATTTCATTTTCTCCTCCTTCCTCTCCCTCCTTGCTGGAGCGAAGCCGTTTCTCGTCCCCCCTGCTCACTGTTTTGTGTAAAGGAAATTCTCAAACAGTGGCTCCGTTTGGGACAAAATTGGGGCTTTTACTTTTGTTTCATGCAAATCAGCTGCTCCCGTTCTGTTTTTTGTAACCTCGCGTCGAATGATGTTTTACGGCGGTAATTTTGATGGCAATGTGTGATCTGCAAGGATGTATTCAGGACCCCCCCCCACCCCCCCCCTCCACGACCCAACTGCACCCAGACGCCTGTGAGCTGAGCCGGACCGGCGTTCGAGTGAGGTAAAACATCTGCCGTCCTGCAGCTGGAGGCAAACGTCAGGCTGATACGAGCACGCACACTCGTATCGGCTCCACGCGGTGCGTTTCAGCCGTTAACGTCGTCTCCGGCCTTTCGCAGCTTACTCTGATTGTGGATTGTGCTTCTGGTCCGGGGCCACGTCGTCTGCTACTTTGCAGTTAAACGCAACTCAAATTAAGCAAAAAAAAAAGAACGAAAAAAAAAGCTGTTTTAAAAATGAACTAAATAATTTCAACAATCAAGCAAAGAGATGCTGCATGTGAAACCAATTTAGCCATAGGTGTTTTTAAAATTGACTGACTGACTTGGCTGCCTTCTTAACCATTTAGACCAAGCTGTACAAAGGCTTCAGGGGCCCCGGGGCCCCACGCAGGATGAGTAACCATAGATGACTGAGCTCTCCTACCTTTATTTGAGTCTTCGGACAGTGAAGCATGTTTACCAGTGTTTGGTTCATACACTCACATGTGCATTTTGAATGAAGCCGTCCAAGAATCAGTTTGTACTCAACTGAAACTGGGAACCAAGAAGAATGGGGAATGTTTCCATTAATGTTGTTTTCTAAAAAGAAAAAAATAGAAAAATACAAGGGCCTGTATGGTGTCTGTATATACCAACTATGTTTTTCACATGTATGATTTTCTTTTACATCCTCCAAACGGACTGAGATCATCTGTATCGTCAAATACAGAGAGATGGTACTTAAACTCAGCCTTCCTCACAGATTATTTTGCTGATGTGCAGACGCTTTCATTCTAGGGAACATTTTTTTTGTTGTTTTCGATATCAGTCCACCGCGTCCTGACCAAACTAATGTTGATTCACACATTTTTATGTTAATGTATGTTGATGACAAAATTGTCAAATGGACAGTTATAAATAATGTTAATATGTTTTTTCCTGAATAAAGATTTCAAAGAAATTGCATCCAATGAGCGTACATCTGTGATTTTTATTGCAACTACACAGGACTGATTGCCCGGTCTTTATGGAAATTGAAATGGACCTGTTATGACCTGTTATGGTCATTGGTAGTCATGTGGTCTGAGGCGCCATCTAGTGTCATCACCAACTTACTGCACGTAATGTAGAGTTGACTTTGGACAAGACATATTTCTGCCCTGCTACACTGACAGTGAACTAGCTGGACTTATATAGTTGTATATAGTTATATAGTATATATTTTGGATTTTACTAGTGTGTGTTGGAGCATTTGCTTGTTCTTTTTCCATGTCCAAAGTCAGCCCAGTCGTCTGAAAACATTAACTTAATCCATAAATATCATCCCAATGAAAGACTATAGAGTCTGTTGCTCCCAAATCAATTAATATCAATATTTCCAAGCAGACATTTCGTCTTGTCGTAGCAGGAAGAGTGTAGGTAAAGCTTATTGCATTAAACCTGCGTTTGATTTTGTGGCCACAAGGGGGCAGCAGAAACAAGTGGAACACAGCAATGACACGTCATCACCACCTTCATAATATTGACTAACTTAGAAACACAACTACAAAAGATGAATGCGATTGTGTCTGTTATGAATGTATGTCCATCATTAGAGTTGTTTTTAATGCAAAAAATGCTTCATTCTCTCAAATATGAAGATTTCCTGTTTTTCTCCTTTATTTAATATAAAACGTGACTAAGATGGATTTACAATTTGTAGACCAAACATAATTGATAATGAAAATAGTTGTATAAACCAGCACGGCAGGAGGATTTCCACTCAAACAGTAAACAATCAGTACCTTCCTTATACCTTATAAGTACCTTATAAAAGCAGGAAAGAGCATCTTACCTTAAAGTATTGTATATCAAATGTATAATGCAGTAAATGCCGAATAAAAAACGCAATGCATAATTGTTTTCATTGTGTTTATAGGTCACAGTAAAGAAACCAGTAGTGACATTCTAACCTAAACCACATCACTCAGATCACAAATCTTATATTTCAAATCTCTGCACAGCAGAGAACAAAGAAGGAGACAGAGATGGGAGAACAGCAAAGGCAGCTTTAAACCAAAACGATTAAAGACATGATTTAGCGTAGTTTCTTCATAATCATTTTCCAACGGAGAATATTTTTAATAAAGCACTCAAAAAGCATCTCCCACTACAGGCACGCTGTGCACATACAGCATGCCGTCTACTGTTGAATGATTAAAACTTGTCTGCAAAGGAAACCATCGGCACTCCAGCTGGTTTTCTTCTACAACCCGTCGCCCACAGACACACACATAGCAGCTCCCAACTGTGAAATGTAAATACGGATGAATTTGGCTACAAATATTCGATAAGCAACACAAAAATTCCTTCAGCTCACACCGTGTTTGCACGCCGAACAAACAGATTCAAGATGACTTTATGAGTAGTACGGTCTAAAAATCTCAGGAGGTTTTTATTGTTGTTTTTCTCCTATTGTTAATGATAGAAAGTGAATGATTTCCAAAACGATGTTTTACTTTCTGTTTCTCCTTTTGTGAGGGTGCTTTCATACGTCTCCGGTTTGGTTCGGTTTAGAGGAGAAACTTCATTTGAGCTGGTATGAAAACGGTCAAATCAAACCTGACGTCAACTTCCGAGCGGCACATCGGTCCGGTTGTGGATGTGCCGGTGCTGGCAGCGCTTATATTTTGAGTTCTTTACGTATTTTGTCTCAAAAGCTATTCGAAATGCTCTCGTGGTCAGATCTCCAACCGGGCCGGTTCCTACAAACCCTCAGTGTGCGTTCCCGCTCTTACAGTGTTAAAACAAGTGACACCCGATCCGTATTATCCCTTGACTAGTATTACCACGATCATACGTGTCATTCATCCCGGAGGTGTCTACCCGTCCTCCTGAGTCGCGGCCTCCGTTTCGGCCTCCGTTCCGGCCTGCGAGCGCTCCTCCAGGCGAGCGCTCAGGAGAGGGTTGAAGAAGAAGTCGAACCCAAACTGCAGGGCGCTCCGGGCCGTGCGCCTCCAGTCGTGTTCGATCTTGTACTGCCTGCGGCTGGGCAGCCGGGCGTCCCCGCACGACACGCAGTGGATGGCCTTCAGTTCGAACACGGGCCATTTGGAGCCCAGGCGGCCCTCCAGTATGGTGCTGAACTCCACCAGGCTCCCTGTGTTTAGGTGCAGGAGCATGGACTTGAACTCGTTGCTGGCTCGCAGCACGATGTCCTTGGTCGCGTCCTCGTCTTCCACGATCGTCCCGTTTCTGGTCTTCCTCTCCAGCGGCATGCCCATCGTCACCTCGAACTTGTAGCGATCGAAGCGCTTGATGTGGCACTCGTGCTTGGCCAGCGCTCTGAGCTTACAGAGGGCGTCTTCCGGCGCGGGGGCCGGCGCGGGCAGCGGCTGGGGCCACGCGCTGGCGTTTCTTTCCTCGCACAAAGGATACGGCTCACCGTACAGGCAGCGCATCCAGTCGCCCACGGCCACGGGCAGCATGTTGATCACCGCCTGCGGCCCGTTCTCTATGTCGGTCACGCGGACGTATCGGAAGCGTCCGGTCCACGTGACGCGGTGGCCTTCCAGGTGAGAGCAGAGGATCTGCGTCTGGGCCATGTTGGCCTCTTTCCAGGCGCGAGGGCCGCACAGGGTGCTGTACTCGGGCCACGTCAGCGTGGAGTTGTACACCTTCATGCCCTCGGACCTGTAGACGTACATCCAGCAGAAGAGCAGCACGGCACTGAGCCACACCAGGATGAGCTTCACAATGCTGCTGCGGGACAAAGAGCGGAAGACCTGGACGGGGTTGAGGCTGAGGCGGGTCCAACGCCTCAGCGCCACCGGCACGAAGCAAATGACCAAGGTGACCGCCATCTTGGTCACCTCCAGAGTGAGGAACCACTGCAGCAGCTGGATGACGAGCATGGCGGCCATGCCCAGCGAGAGGACGGGGAGGGCGAACACGAAGAGGCAGTAGCCGACGCCCGTGCGGATGAGTCCTAAGGCGGTGGCGTTGTGAAGGAACACCAAGCTGAGCTCGCACCAGGTGAAGCACACCAGGTAAGGCACCAGGCACAGGTAGGTGCCCTTGAAGCCCCTCAGCTGAGCCATACGGAAGAGCAGATAGAAAAGGTGTCCGTAGAGCACGCACGGCAGCCCGAGGTTCAGCAGCACGTTGTCGCCGAGAGGCACGGCGACGAACGTCCTCCCGAGGACCCTGAGGAACCAGGGGAAGGAGGCGGGCAGGAGGCGGGTGAGGGAGCACACTCCGCAGAGGACCTCCGTGAGGAGGGCCTTGCGAGCGAAGAGCTGAGCAGAGGCTTGAAGGCTGAGGAAGGCGGTGACGGTGAAGAAGAGAGCGACGGCGGCCAACTCGGAGCAGGGGATCCAGGATTTATCCGCCACGGGGAAAGAGAAGACCACAAAGACCACAGAGAGCAGGAAGTACCTGTGACACAAAGAGAAAGGATGTATCCATTTGGCTCCGGAGGCGTCGCCTCATCGCCTCCATTTGATTTAACTTTAAAGGCTTTATCGTCAAGGCAATGCTAAACAGATGTTGTAGTTACTGAAACCTGATCAAAAACCTAACATGTGAACACAAACCAGATTTAACAACACAAAGGAAAGGAATAAGTATGGGCTGGGTATGTTGTCCACGTGGATCCATGTAAATAGAGAGTTTCTTACAGATAAGGCTCCAGGTGTGTCCACCCAAAGTTGGTCTCGGCCTGCTCCAGATCAAGACCGGGTTCAAAGTGCGTCAGCAGGTCGGTCAGGGCCCGGAAATGTTCCCATGCTTTGGAATTCTGGAAAAAATGTACAGGTTTTCCAACAGGAAATGGATACAACTGAGCCCCATACAAAGGGTCTTTAAAAAGAGCAATCACCCACCTGAAACACCCGCAATGTGCAGATGATGAGGGAGAAGAATGAGAGGTAGAAAACCAGCAGAGGGATGAGGAAGATGAAGAACTCGATGGTGAGGTTGGAGATGATGAAGAAGAAGAGGAGGGCGTTGACGTGGTGCGTGGGGATCAGAGCGCTCAGCCACTGCATGCCGGCGCGCGACGCCCAGTCGATGAGGTGCTCCTTGATCTCCAGCAGAGCGAACAGAGGGAACTTCAGCAGCTGGAGGAACCACACGAAAGAGAGTCGACAGGGTCCCGAAATGTGATCGCTACTTGTACAAAGCACTTATTAAGAGAGCAACAACAAGTAACAGCCTCAGAGCCTTCTACCTTTTGGTGTAAGGGCAACTCATCTGGGTTCTTCACCACCACATCATCGTCGTCATCGTCGTCGTCGTCGTCATCATCACCTCCTGCGGTAGCCATGACTGGCGAAGGCGGAACGCCCTGAGCATACTTCTTGGTCATCTCAACAAAGTCGTCCAGACCCACTTGGCATCTGGCTACAAAGACGTACACACGGATGTTGTATCAGAAAGTTGGATTTCATCTCTGAAAACGTGGAAAGAGGAACGCATAGCAAATTGTCACAGCTTTATTTCAAACCACACACGCACCTTCACTGGTGACCATATTCTCCAGGACTCTCCTCTGTTTCTTGGCAGAGCTGTTTAGTGGACCTGGCAACACTGGTTTGCCTAGAAGTCACAGGGAGACAGAGAATTATCCTCACCATGCAACTCGCCGGCATTTCTCTGAAACAGCTGCAGCGTGTGGAGTGTCGTCCTATTAGTCAACAGACAACCCTTCCCCTCTTGCACCTGGCTCTGCGTGAACGTGCTCCACGTTCTCCAGCATCTCAGAGACCGTCACAGACTTCTTCCTCTCCGGGTTCAACCTCCAGTACATGAGCAGAGCAGCTTTCCGGACTCCTCTCTCGAAGCGCGTCTCTGTGCACAACTTCTTCACCTCCTCAATGTTCTCCAGAGTGATGCCTGGAAAGACACAAATGTTCCAACTGTTCTCGGCACCTGTCGACTGAAAGCATCCCACCAACATAGAACACGGCTAGGAGGGGGGACATTTTGGTACCTTTCCTGGAGGACAAGCAGCGCTGCAGCTGTTTGACGGCGTCCTTGCGTCCTTGCTTAGCGGCCTGGACCAGCCAGGTGACCGCCGTGCAGTTGTTCAGCTCCTCGTCTCTTTCTTCCGCCAGCGCCAGGAAGTAACGCCCCATCTGGACAGACAGAACTTCCACATTTCAGCATCACTGTGACTCTGTTGACTTTGTGACCCGTCCTTCCCGTTGATGTGCCTCTTAAAATAGAATTCATCAATAGTTGGCTGATCCGTCCTGTGCCCACCATATGGTCATTAAAGTCAATAGTATTTGCAATATGTTGGCTGACCTTGCTCTGGGCTCTCGCATCTCCTGACTTTGCTCTCTCCTCCAAATCCTCAAGAGTGACCTCCTCCTCTGGCTCTTCTGAAGGAAACAGAAGACAGTAGATGTCATGGGTGTCCTCAACAGAAAGGTACACAATATACAACAGATTCTTCCTAAAATCATTTGAAATAGAATGCGTGAAAATTGCAAATACACATGTCTTCCTGATAAATAAATGGTGATCAAACTATTTCCATTTGAAGTTCATCTCTATAACAAACAAATTATGAATTTCAACTTAAATGCAACCAGATATTTGTGTATGTCTGAAAACCAAGATCTCCACCATTGAACATATTAATAAACATATTAAGTTAGCTTCAAGGTGTGTGTGTGTGTGTGTGTGTGTGTGTGTGTGTGTGTATATATATATATACACACACACACACACACAAATCCTTCTAAGAACAGCATCTGCCAAATATTTGTCAAATATTTTGTGTCATGGATTCAAGGGAAAAAATGAAGGGGGTAACAGATGTGGAAAGAAATGTCGAGATTCCAAACGCCCACACGCGCTGGGAGTGGTGGTGCGCCTCCGCCTTCCTGCCTCTGGAAGCAAGAGAAAATGTAACGGGATTCGGTGATTTCCAGATGCCCCTAAAATAACAGCAGCTGCGAGTCAGCGTGATGCAACCCATGTCTCAAATTACGTTATGTTAATCTTAGCAGCTAGACAAATGGTACATGCATTTTAGAGGAGACGGAACTGTCCAAATTGAACGTCTCAGGTGTTCGATTTCACACTTTCCAATGATGCTCCACATTTATATGTCAATACAAAGCCATGCAATAAATCAAAACGTCCTCAAGTGAGCAGAGTGAGACGGGCTGCTTTACATGTTGTGGTGAATGTCTGTCGTTGCCACGGAGACACTTCAGTAAACAAAGCAAACTGGGAGTGTTGCCTTCCCTGATTTGCGGAGAACAGGCAGAGGAGACGGAAAAGACGCTGGATTATGAACGTAAAAAAGGTCAAAGATCAGAGTTTACAACTCACCGGATTCAGGTGTGGCAGCAGACGGCTGCGCCACGGCGGCAGCTCCGGCGACTGGGAATCCCGGCGTGGAGGCCGCATTAAGCTGAGATCTGCCCACCTGAGAGGGGCTCCTGATGGGCTGGACTGGGGGGGATGAACGAGAGGAAGGACACGGAGGAGTCCGAGGGGAGGCCGAAGATGAGGCCGCGGTTGGCGAGGTGAGTTCAGGCTGCAGGCGGTCTGAGGGCGGTGTGGTCGTTGGGGAAGAAGGGCCCGGCGGAGGGGCGGAGGGGGAGGAGGGGCTGGGTTTCGTGGCGGCCGGGTTGCCAGTCAGAGATGGTTCCATGGCTAAAAAGACACACCAGACAACTAATCAGTCGAACATAAAGCTTTAAGGTCAACAGAAAGAGGCGATGGAGAACAACGAAGGTTCACTTTGTACTAACGCCGGTGGTTAAGCATCTGCCGTCATGAAAGAACCTTCCCGATCTTCACATTAATATGCACCTGCCACTCACTCCGCTATACGCAGACTGCAGTACACAAACAAATGACCAAATTGCCTTTTCTGCCGAGGAAGTCAAATAGAGAACTTGTGTGAGAATGACTTATTGATACACCAAGGCTTGATGTTATACATCTGCATACAAATACACTTTAATTGGTGAATTAGATCAATGTGTTTTCCATCAACACAGCGGCAAAAAAAGGATGACCAAGATGAAGAGAGAGAAAGAGAATTAAGAGTTTAGAATATTTGACATAATCTCTTATGATTTATGGTTCAGCCACTTCAGCTTCAGTGAAATACCAACGGGCACCTGCGGCTCTCAAACCTGTGCCAACAATGACGAGACAATAGACTGGAGATTGCTTTGATTTAACCGTCTGACCTGTGTTGACCCCTGTGACCTCACTTTTAATTCATCAAACAGTTGATACCCTCACTGCGAATGTTTTGTTTGACTTTAGTTTGCTGAAGCTGTGTGAAACATTTTTGTCATGTGCTTCTGAAGTTTATTTTGGGCAAAAGTGAACCCTGAGCAGCTATATTGGGAAGGTGACATCCTTGAAGTGCTCCTGACTGGAAACAGACCTGTTGCGTGTTGGGGGGGCCGACCCCCCCACAAAGAAGGGGCTCCGATCTAACTAATTAAACCAGCGAAGTGGCATGAAGAAATCCACATTTAGTCCACCACAGACAATGCAACGCTCTGTCCACACGGCGCCGCACGCTTTACGTAACCGACGCACAGCTGACAGTGACCGACCGGGCAGATAAAGCTAAATAACCACCGTTAAAGGGTTCGCTGCTAATGCTAATAACACGGTCGCTAGTGTCCGCTCACCTTTACCACGGTCAAATAAATCCTCCGAGTGACAAGGACGCGAGTAATGGTTTGTTTGCTAAACTGTGGGACAAATCATTGTCCTCCCGTGCGAACGAGCCCGCCGCGTCGGTCCGCTGGTTGTTGTGTGCGTGGTCCAACTCGACCTGAACCCGATGCACGGCGGAGTCGCTCGGCCACGCCCACCTTGTGTTGTGATTGGACAAGAATGACGGGTCGCTCTCTGCATGAGGCGTTTCGATTGGTTGTAAAAGCAGGAAGTCGAAATCGTTTGTTTCAGTCAGGAGCAATCAACCCTCGAAGTGTCTCAAGGACTGTTGAACATGTAGCACCCGTTTGAAGGGGCTGTATTTTGAGAGGGATTTGTCTTTTTTCTTTTGTTACAAATCAGTTTATCAGTATTATTGTTTTTCTCTGTTTGCAACGACTCAATACAAATGTTCCACCAGGAGATGGCAGTACGCGACATGTCATCTATTTAATTTACAGATGATCCAGGCTCTGATTGCAAAATGATTGTGTATTGTTATTGTATATATTGTGGCATTTTAAAGTCACGAAAGCTTTGAAAATGTAGTTCAAGAACGTATGTGCCTAAATTAAAACCATAATGAGGTACTGGACCCATATTCATCCATGCAGTTCATTTTCTTTTTGGAAATGACTGTTTTCTAATAATTTAATCATATAATCTAAGCTTCACAGTAGGAGTATAATCTGCAGTACAGACAAAAGCAGTTTTTTTCATTAAAATAGAAAATTATGCCTGTGATGGCCGGAGAGTCGTTGCCATGTTCATTGTCCTCAAAGAGTGAAACAATTAAAAGTTGAAACGATGTTCATGAGACAGGCTTTGTGCTCACATGTGCAATGCAAAGTGCTACCAGGAACCCCAGAAAACTGACAAGGAAAGCAACATTTAAGTTTATTAGAGAGTGACCCAGGCGCAAAAGGAAGGAGAGTAGACACACAAAGGAGAATAATCAACAGGACTCTGGGGACGGAGATTAAAGTTCCAGTCTGGGAATGAAAGTAGATACCACATTGTGGGGGAAAGGAAATGGGGGCAGTAATTGCTTAACTCCAGCTGCACTAAAGCAGTTATGTAAATGTCTCTTGATTAGTAGATTAACACGATCCTGTTGAGAGGATAAGTGTGACCCTTGAACGGGGTTTTCGTCTTTCACATGCACACCTTTAATCTATATTAGCTCTCTTTTAAATGGGCTTGGACGCTCATGCACTCGCAGCTGCAACTCACATTTAAATTAGGCAAAGCAGCTCAAACAAGAGCTTTTCTTTCTCTCTCAGTATCCCCTCAAGGTTGGGATAACCTGAACCCTAAGCTCCTGTATTTCGGTTCTACAGTAAAAGGGGCACACATACTAATAGACTATTAGTCGTCTCTCCCTGTATTTGCAGTGTAGGCCTCATCCACTGTCTCACCCGGCATTACCAATGACTCTCACAGGAGGAGAGACCCGAGGAGGAGGAGAGGACGTGCGGTCAGTAACTATAGCAACCGGGAGGACGGACATTGGCTGCGTTGAAGATGAGTGTTTCGGGATGTGACGGATGCTAGCCTGCTGCTACATTTGGGTAAATTCACTCTGATTACGAAATATAAATATTGGCTTGTTTGTAACAACATGTGCAATACAATCAGCTGAAGCTTCCACTTTCAGGAGACCATGAATTAATCCAACTCTTGTAATGTTTGTGCCACTGACTTATCATCCTATAGAACATGAACCATCTTTAATAGAGGCCTGTTGTTATAGAGCTGTTATGGAAAATGCTTCGTTGGCTGGTACGACTCTTTTTACGTGTATCAATGTGAAGCAAGAGGAAGCAGAGAAAGAAAAGTTAAAATAGAAACAACTGTATGTGGCCGTTAGTCACAACCATTAGGGCTCATGATATTTGTTTAATGTGCTGTGTTTTGTCTTACAGGGGATCTCATGCATTATATTTGCACTTGTAGGAAGTTCTCTTTAATTGTCAACATTGAATCGGAGTTGAGAGCCTCTTTCATGTCTTTCAACGACACAAAACAGGCATAGAAAACATGGAACATGGTTCACAAAGTGGTCACAGACACGTAATCACAACGTTATTACAATGGTTACATTTTGATAAAATTGAAAATTCTACAAAACTATTGTTTTACATTTCAGAGCACTGGAACAACACTGTAATGCTAATACAGCTCTAACTTCCAACTACCAGTACGATCATTCTGGGTGGGGCCGGTTTGGTGCATTTGGGGAGCAAAGTACTGGACTGTAATGGAACATTTTACAACAGTTTACATTAAACACCTCGTATCTTCGGAAACAGAAAAACCCTTGTAAACATGTTTGAAGCGCTTTTTACAAATCAAAGAAACTTCCCTTCACACACACGGTTGTGTCTTGCTGTAATAATGCCATGAGTTAAACGTTTCGGGGATGCACCGTGGAACATCAGGCTCAGACCTTTATGTGAGCAACAGTTGTGACTCATGCCCGGCGAAGCCTAATTACCTTCATATGAAAATTGTACGTCACCACAAGCACTCCAGAATGGGAGGGTTTAGGGTTAGATTGTGGAAAATTGGTCAGTTTGGTGCTTGGCTCCGTAAAATGGATACAAAAGTGTGCGTTTCTTTTTTTTAGCTACGTGCTTCAGATAAATGCCGTATAAGTAGGCCTCATTTGATCCACTCTGAATACAAATGGCCGTCTAATATAGCTAATACCTTTAATCTGCCAGCAGTCGTGAATATGATAAGCCTATTACAGACAGCTCTCATTGATATGCGGAAATCCTAAGATATAATGTTAACTTAATAGAAACAGGGACTCCTCATATTGCCTCACAGAGGAGGAACAAGGCTGACCGACTAGAGGTCGTTTCTTTCTCCCGATGATGATTGAGATGCTTGTATAACTTGACGATCCAGCCTAGTCACAAAACCTCCTCTTAGAAGTCTGCTTTTCACCTGCACCTCCCCTTTACCCTTTAATATCACCAATATTATAGCCTGAATCTGATAGCAACTGAGGTTGTTCTACTATCTGCAGACGAGCTATCACAGGGCCTAATCACAAGGTTATTATGACGTAAAATAGAATAAAGTTTCCTTTATCCTTCTTCTGGGAAATCTTTCCTGTTCAGACAGAGCGAGAGGGAGAGAGAAAAAGACAGAGAGAGACAGAGAGGGACAAAAAGTGCAGACCCATAAAATACCATGCTGCGGTAAAACAGTGAAAATACCTCAGGCAAAACAACTTAAACCCCCCTCATTACAGCACTCTGACATACATCCACTCCCCGAGTCAATCCCACACCAAAACAAAGCAGGATACACATCTCTCCCTCTTCCCGTCTCTCTCTGCCTGCAACCACAAGGCTTTTTTTCACTTTATCTCTCCATCTAGATGTCTGTTTGCTGGCCTCAGCAGGAACCTGAATGAGGTACAGCTTAATACTCAAAACTCGCCCCCCCCCTTTAACTCGTCATGTTTCTACCTCACTCCAAAATCTTCCATACATATAGAGTGCACAAGCACATACAACACGAAAAAAAAAAATTCCCCTGTTAGTACGCAGGCTCTGAATGAGTGAACGACCACGGCAGGACAGGACATTGTGTTTGGACAATCGAAAGTTCTCCCTCCTGTGACCCGTGTTGCCCCGCAGCAGAGAGGATGTGCTGCAGCCGCAGAGCCCTGGCGGAGCGCTGTGAATGGCCGACGGGGCAGCCACTGTGCGGAGAGGCAGCGACGGGCAGCTGTGCGTAAGTAATGCATCCTCCACAATCTGGGTCACACACACAGCGCCTTCATGTTGTCGAGAGGTTTTTTTTTTTCACAGAATCCTATAATTTGACTAGTCATATTGTCCCTGATATAGAATCAGGAGGCCCGGCACTGTTATGTGAAGCTGTTCAGTTACAATACATTATTAATGTTATAGATTAAATGAGCATGACAATGATGATTGTTGTTCATCTTTAATAACCTTTGAAGATTCTTTCGATGATCTCTCGCAGAATTTATAGCACCCCTAATATTATAATATATTGACTATCATCAGGATCCCATCTGCTGTCAATATTGGCCACATTGCAACACCACCACCATGCACCATCAGGTACAAATCAAGGAGCCTAGGATACAAGGGGCTTAAAATTAATTAAAACAATATAGTGAAAAGGTATTTTTACACTGAACAACAGATATCAAATAATATTAATTAATTAAAATAAAAGCTAAACAAACATTTAGAAAAATCCACGCAGATAGAAAGGGAAGACAAAAGCAGACATTGTTGGAAACTTTAGCTTTACAGTGTAATACTTCAGTGGGTGTTTCAGTAATAATTTGTTGATCAAGTTGACTACTCGGGACACATTTATTGAGAAACCGACAGCTTTTTGGTTCCAATCAAATTTCCATCCTATGTTCATTTTCTTTTCTCTTACTGACAACACTGATAACATCGTCTCTCCGCCTTTCCATTGTCTTCTCGTGTCTCCTTGTGTTTTCTCCACGGACGTGCGGTACAAGCACCCCTGCGCACTGACGACGCACGTTTCTCCCGCACCGGCAGCGTGTCCGCGCACCGGCCGCGCACGCTGTCATTCTTGTACACGCAGTCAGGTGTCGCGCTTCTATCACGCTGCTCGGCGACGCCCGCCCGGCGTTTCTCTCTCTCTCGCGTTCTCCCTCTCCCTCTCTCTCTCTCTCTCCCTCTCTCTCCCTCTCTCTCTCTCTCTCTCTCTCTCTCTCTCTCTGTCTCTCTCTCTTTTTTCTTCTTCCGACTCGTGTGTTTGAACGGGTGACGTCACGCTTGCGCTCAAGTGTTTTGTGGGCGTGGGACGAAAGATGTCGTGAAGCCCGAAACGGAATCCACTTTGTAGCTTAGAGGACAATATCACGGGTGGAAATACTTCCGTCGTTGTGTTCACCGCCGGGAACGTGTGTGTGGTGTCGGAGAGGATAAAGTTGTAGCCGTTAGCCGTTAGCCGCGGCGTGTGTTTCAGAGGTGAGTTTAAATTCATCCCTTCAGCCTTCCTTCCTGGATGTAAAGCACACCCACGTGAAACAACGACAACATGTCAACCACTGAACTCCATATCCCAGGAATATACTCTGTTTCCCCCCCCACCTTAAAATTAGATATACTATCAGTGGGTCGAACCGGTATCCGTGTTTCGCACGGCGGCGCCCAAACGGTCAGCGAGCCGCTCGCGATGTGACACATTGGGGGCTTCCGGCGGCGGCGTCGCCCGCAATATGGAGCCTCGTATCGAGCCCACGCGTATGGGCGTTTTGTCCGCACCCTGAGCCCGCGGGGGGCCCGCGCCGATCCACCCCACCGGCCGGCCTGACAGGAAGTATGAGACGCGATGACAACGGATGATATCCAACTGCTTTCACTGCCCCCCGCCGCCCCTCTCCTCTCACGGTGCAACACGGTGTAAATGCTCCATGACTCCAATACGTTACCGAGGGACTGAGTGCATGGGCATCCGACCTTTGAGACAGGAGGATGCTGCAGCAGCAGCAGCCCCCCCCCTCCACACCCCTCACCCATGCATGTCCCCGTGGGGTGTGGTTGGCGAGCCGGACGGGCGGGATGTCAGTGGTGTAACAAGCGCCCCTTCCAGCAGCACTCTACCCGGTAATCTCCCATTTGACAGCTCATTAGAGAGCTGGCCACTTTGCACTAAACACCCCCCCCCCCCTGCCCCGCGTACTTTAGGAGGCTCCTAAATCAGCCCCAGTGGACAGCCGACGTGTGCTGCACCCTCACACCCGTGGGATCAGACTGAGGGGGGCACGCTGTCTGATCCACTCACCGTGCTCGTTGTGTGTGTTCTCCCTTGAAGTGAAGCGGCGGCTCTCGTGCAGACACTGGAGCGCATCTTAGATATAGGCTATACTGTGCATTCACGATGGTTAAATGTTGTCCCCCCGCTCCCCCCACCTCTACTCCAGAGGCATGAGATCAATGAATGGGAGTGCTGTTTACCCCCATGCCCTAATCCACATTCCTCTCCCTAATTTAATTCATCCCATTTATCCTCCTTCATAATCTCACGTTCCATTCCTGCGCTTTACTGTGTGGTTAATCCCTGTGCAGCATCCCCACACATGTGCATATTTCACTTAATTCTTTTTCTTAAGGACAAGAAGGTATTATTTCTGCAACGACTGGTCCAGATGAATAAATGTCTGCACCGTGTCCTCATGTTTGTGTAAACCGTGGATTAGTCTCCAGCTGTTACTGATTAATGTGCTTGCTGTGTAGTTAAAATGAGAAAGAGAGAGCGGGGCAAGTCTAATCTCATTACTGACTGCACCGTCATGTGTTACCGAGTGGGGAGAGGCTATTACTGCAACCACGCATGCACAAGCATGCACGTGGATGCACAGGCCGCGGTGAATGTCCAAATGGAAACGGTTAAATGTACTAATAGATCCACACCAGGTGAAACGGCAGCATAGAGCCTGTGAAAGAGACGCCGTGCAAGAGAAAGACAATGAGAGGGAGTGAGACACGTTGTTGATATGTTTGGGTTGACTAGTCATTTGGGTCAGTAACTTGGGAGTCATTCTGCTGCCGTAGCAGTTTGTAGGTCATATGCTCCACTAGTGCTGCACTAGGCTGAGTTACTCAGCCTCTCGGTGGGATCTCTACAGTGTCGTTGGAGTACCACAGTGTGTGTGTGTGTGTGTGTGTGTGTGGATGGAGGAGTGACGTCTGGAGCGTGGCCAGACCCGTTTTGACAGTCTACCTCCTGCTGAAGTGACTCCCACGGGACTGTATGCGTGTTGTGTGGAGACACAAGCCTATGGGGCGTTGTAAAATGTGCGTCCCTCACTGTCGGTTTATAACCAGAAGCAATGCGTCTTTGTTTCACCTTCCATTTGCAGCTCTTTTAACTATTTATTGGGCCTGTATGTCTCTCTGAAGTCTAGTTAATGTTTGACACTTTGTGAGTGTGTGTGGTCGGCCTAGCTTTGAGGAGGTCCAACTGTGCATGAGTGTGTGTAATAAACGTGCAACCATCGCAAAGACGTCCCGACCGCTTTCACCTCGTATAAAGTGTTTAATACTTAAATATCCTCTGACAAAGAACACAGTCAGCCTTACAGTGCGTTATAATCACTGTCTTTGCATCATAGTAATCAAATTACTCACGTAAATCTACATTTCATTGCCAGTGTTTCCCCTACAGAGGGCCGTGACAGAAACACTGATTTTCTGTGTTGTTTTCTGTGTTGAAAAAACTCATTTTTCAGTCAGGGACAATTGTCTCTCACATGTTTTTTGTTTTTGTGAAGACAAAGAATATGAATGTTAGTCATTACAGTGACATCCCCCAGCAATTAGTCATTTATTAAAATGCCACTTATTCCAACCCATTTGACTCGTTTAGAATATGTCTCCACTGACAATATATGAATATGACGCATCAGTTAAGTACAAAAAAGGCAGTGAGTGGACGTCCTCTTGGCTTTACACAGGAAGCAGCACCAAATGAAATTCTGAATTAAAATCCAGTTAATTAATTCAGTAACTTTTCCTTCCTGCTTCTTTCACATCTGTGACCCTCTTGCGGCACAAGCCCGTCCCGTCACAGAGGGCTGCTGAAGGCCGTTATGAAAGGAAACGGGGATCGCGGTTTCTTCATCAGGAGGTCGTCGCCGGGTACCATTGATAAAGCCGTGGTTATACAAGGCTTATAACCTCGTTGTGAAACTAGCTGCAGAATTTCTTCATCACGTCTCTATCGTCTCAGCCGACCGCTCAATAAGTCCTAGTGAAAAATTCTCTTCTCCTCTTCCCTTTTGCAAAACGACATGTTTTTGATTGAATTGATGAGTCATAACCACTTTGTTGGGTAATGAACATTGGAGCGCTCCGGGTTTAAGGTGCATCACTTGTTGTGCCGCCTTCCGTTTGCAGTAGGGAACCAACATTAAAGGATCTTGCCTCCCGGGGGCCTCTTTTGTAAAGCGTCCCACTTCCCCCTATAAACTCTTCTGGCTTCCCAGCTTGGGAACACGTGTCCCCATGAGGACTTTCTGCAGACTGTGGCTGACGCCACGTGAATCCAAATGGAACATGGACTTTGAGCATTGGTAAGGAGTTGAAGATGAACACAAACCGGGGAAACCATCCCGCGTGGGCCCGCTTGGCCTCCGGCGATGGCACGGCCGTGCATGGACGCTGCTTAAAGCAGTGGCGGGGGGCGCCGAGCCTGCGACAAAACAATGATTTGTCCCCGTAAACGAGGTCTGCACATTCCCCGACACGTGTGAGCCAAGTCCATTGATCCCCCCGCATGCAAAGACTCGTCTGTTGGTAATGTGAATACGTGTAGAGAGCCTCTGTGCGTAGATGTGCGCTGTATCCGTCTCCAGTTGTTCCGTGAGAGACTGAGAGTGTGTGTGTGTGCTTGTGGCAGGGCTCTTTGTGTGTGAAGGATCTCTCTCTCTCTCTCTCTCTCTCTCTCTCTCTCTCTCTCTCTGTGTGGATGAGAGGGAGATCACTGATTGCCTCGGCTCAGTAACCATCACTATTCACTGTGCCAGCGATTGGGGGTGGAGGGACGTAGGAGGAGGGGATGTTGGTTCCCCTCTTTGGTAGAGGTCTGCATGTTATTTGTTTTCCCCTTTGCTCCTAATTGTTTGTGTCCTATTGGCTTAACCCTCCTCTGTCTGCCCCCCCCCCTCTCTCTCCCCCTTACACTTTCCCATGGGTCTCTAATGTTTGACTGTGTGTCCTTCGTAAGAATCCATGTGGAAGAAAGCTTCCTCGCCCTCAAGCATCGCTGCATGTCTGTCTCTCAGTCAACCTCGGCTCAAAGATTGGACCAGATAACAAAATTATGTGTGTGTGTGTGTGTGTGTGTGTGTGTGTGTGTGTGTGTGTGTGTGTGTGTGTGTGTGTGTGTGTGTGTGTGTGCGTGTGTGTTCATTTCTCTCAAACGTGCAGCCCCTCGGCGGCGCCTCTTGTGTGCGTCTCTGTTTGTTCCAAGTCCGCCGTGACACTCCTCCTCCCCGTCGTCATCCTTTGCCACGAGAGGAGTTTTTGGTTGCCTTGGTAACTACTGCTGCCGTCTGTGTATGATGCATGATTGCTCAGTAACGTGTGTGTTGTAAATGATGGCGGCGCATGTGGCACTAATGTTCCAGCTCTCTTATTGCTGCATTACTTATTTAATAGTCAGCTGGAAGAAGTGGAAGGTTACTGGGTTACAGTTAATTCCAGGGAGAGATCAAAGGAGGCTACTTTAAACGCGGGGATTGTGTGTCACTCCAATTCATACAGGGACGAAATAGTAGAATTCAGCCTTCAGTGGGAAAAAAAGGTGGGAAGTGAAAACTATGAATCAATTTATATCCTAATGCCTTGTTGTTTTCCAGCTTTGCCAATCCTATCGATGACTTGATTGGTGGCAACTATTTCAATAATCAAATGGTTCTCTTCTTCATCTTTCATTGGAGAAGATTTGCTGCCATTGCTGGTGTTTTGTATAACTGCGCTTTTAACTACAAAAAATCTGCCACTCACTTAGTAAATCTATATATTATTATTTCATTATTTGAAATGGGAAGATGGAGACAAACAAACAAAGTGGAGGAATCAAATTGCATCAATGGAGGAAACTTTTCCTGGTCCAAATATTTCGCTGTTTTGTCGTTTATTTAAAAGCTGTGAAGACAAAAATAAAAATAAATAGAAAATAAGTCTAGATAGAATTTGCATGACTTCTCTTGAGCTCAGTTCACACAGGATCTCTAGAAATCAAATCTCTCGCGTCAATAGTTTAATGCATTAGTCAACTTGTTTGGGCTGAGAGGCCGAGACCGTCGCACACGTTTCCACGCACGACGAGGCCCCGGACGGAACAAGGTGGTAAGAGAGGAGGGTGACGGAGGAGAGTGTAAATGTTAGTCCCCAACATAGTCTGTTTTCCCCGGGCTGCGGTGCGTCATGTGGCTCGGGTCCAGTGCATTGAGTAGTTTGGTGTAACCCAGCTCTTAACCACTGACTGACACTTTTTCGCTTTCTCTTGTGTTTTTCCGTCGCTCTTCCTCAAAAAGCAACACGTCCAGCAATGATGTAGAGTGGACAACGATGTGATGACGACGATGAAGATGGCGAAGCAGGGCCTCGCATGGAGGTGGAGCAGCGATTGACCCGCTACTCGCTTTCGCCACACCTCGCGCTCTATGTCCGCCCTCATTGCGCGGCCGTAGTGCAATGTCCTCAACCACGCCCTCGGCGCCCCCAACGCTGAAGAAGGGGAGGAAGCCGGATAAATCGGAGGGGATGACCGAGTCGGCGCCGGTCACCAGCGAGGAGCTGAGGAGCAAAATCCTGGACACCCAGATAGAGCTGCAGCAAGAGCGGGGCAAGGTGAGGAGGAGGTGCACGCCGTCACGGGGCAATGTACAAGCACCCCGGGGCCCTGTGAGTAGTATGATGATGACGACAGGTTAACTGAAGTCCAATGCCCCTCTTCCCAGGTGTGTAAGCTCCGTGAGCGGCTCCAGGAGCAGCGGCAGGCTCGGGAGCTGGAGCAGCACAAGCACGCCGTGGCGCTCACCGACCTGCGCGCCAAACTCCACGAGGAAAAGCTGCGCGAGGTAGCGGCCGCCCGCGAGTCCCTGGCCAGGCAGCACGAGGTGGAGCTGGCGCGGGCCATCAAGATCAAGGATGCAGAGGCGCAGAGGCTGCAGGGGCTGGTGAACGCTCTGAGGGACGGAGCCGCCGACAAGCTGAAAAACGCTCTCCTCGGGGAGGCTCGGGAGGAGGCCAGGAGGGCTTTCGACGGGGAGAGGATAAAGCTGCAGCAGGAGGTGGGTCGCACCACGTATAGGGGACACTAGTAAGGTTTTTGTTATGGGAAAGAAAATACACTCATTATTATTATTATTAGGTTTCAGTCTGTCCTAAGTAGACTTTTAATTCAGGAACTAAAGGTTTGTTTAGTTTTTACTTTTAACTTTTAGCTTTTATTCCCCATATACTGGCTCTGTAGCCATCTGTCAAGCCGTGTCTGGTATGCAATGCTTCCAATATATTAGAGCTCTGTCAACTTTCGGCTGTTTATAATCCAACAAAATTAGAGAATAACTTTTGCAGATTGGGTATTTTCTGAGGGCTTTGTGTGTCAGAGTGTGTGTGTGTTGATGTGGGACTTGCTGCTGGAAAACAGGAAACAGGGTGGAAAAGCCTGTTGCCAAGCTATTGTTTCGATGTCGACAAACAGGACATCTATCATTACAATCGTCTAATGGGATCGGACACTTGTTTATGTGTGAGGGTGTCACTCTCTTCTTTTGGGGGGGAAGGAGATCCTGCGTATCAATATTATTGCCTTACGTGTTCTGCCTTTTCTTTTTTTTCTTTTTTAGATCCAGGAGCACAAGACCGCCAGGAAGCTGGCTGACGAGGCTCATGCAAATGCTCTGCAGGCCGATAAAGCCAAAGCGGCTGATCTCCGGACCGCCTACCAGCAGCACCAGGATGAGATGCACCGCGTCAAACGGGATTGTGAGAGAGACATCCGCCGACTGGTGAGGCGGCGTGCTGCCGGGACGACACACCATACAGCCTTATCTCCAAGGGATGAGGCCACCAGCTAATGCATTCCAATATGTCCGTCAGACATGATTGACAGTATAGTTGCTGGTCTCGTCCTGCTTCTGAACTCAATCGCACTGACCTCACTAGATGAAAGTTGGAGGTTAATTATCGCTGCTTCTGCAGTTACTAATTAACCACCGTAGAGCTCCGTTTAGTGTTACTGTTTATGAAAGGAATGTTTGACAAAGGCAACTCGATTCAGCTTTGTAAAATATTCAAACACGGCTCATTGAGGGAGAACCGGCGGTGCAGAAAAATTACAGCATTGAGGAACAAAATACCGATGGAAGTCAGAGGAAGTCACAGAAAGAGCAAAGCTTCATAAATGAATTACACTAAAACTCCTGCCTCCCTCTTAATCTGTTCACGGCCCAAGGCGCATGCATCTGAGTCTTAAAGTTAACAGTGGATACATGAACAGAACAATGTACTTTCCATAAAACATTCACAATTTGTTGTATTTCGCATTTGATCTGAAAACTACATTTCCAGTAGTATTAATGGTACGTAACCGGACTTTAAATGGAAAAGCCCTCCGTCTGACCCACTCAGTCTTCCCACCCACCACCTCTCCACCGCTCCGATAGATGGACGAGCTGAAGGCGAAGGACCGGGTGATGTGCGGCCTGGAGAAGGAGCTGGGGCTGCAGGCCGGCTATGCCCAGAAGCTGCAGCTGCAGAAGGACGCTCTGGATGAGCAGCTGGGTCATGTCCGAGAGGCCGAGCGGCACAACCACGGCAGCCCCAAGAGAGAGCTGGTGCCGGGACTGGGCGACAACTCTGACCCGCTCAGCAACCAGGTGTGCACAACACCGAATTACAGGAATTTATTAAACTCACTTTTTTTTTCCTTCTAGTGATTAAGATCGTATTTAAATGACGGATTTTTCCCGCGTTTGACATTTAATTGGGCTCTAAAACATTGAAAAAATGTTTTTGTTTCTTGAAGTCTTTATGGCAGAACCCACCTCATCATTTTGTTCATAATGCATTGTGGAGACTTCGATTGCATATTTCCATCAATCCTCATATAGACAGTATTGTAACACCTGCACAGCATCTCATCTTTCATCCCATCACCTCTTCTCTCCCAACCACCTCAAACACCTGCCCGCCTGCCTGCATGTACCCCCTTTTTTAGTTTTTATCTTCCTCCTCCTCCCCTGTCCCCTTTGCTCCACAGGAGGTGGAGGAGCGTGACACGAGGAGGTTCCAGCTGAAGATTGCGGAGCTCCACTCGGTCATCAGAAAATTGGAGGATAGAAATGCGCTGCTGGCTGACGAGAGGAATGAACTCGTGAGAAACACTAACGCACACGGAGGAGCACCAATGCAGTGATGACGGGGATGCAAATAAACACACACATTGTTACACTAAGTGCAGAGAAACGCACACATTAATAAACCTATGGGATGTGGGCCTTCCTCCTGCCTCTCCCGCTCAAACTGGAAATCTCGCTGAAAGACCTGTGGTTACATTGTGTCCCCTCCCTGTTTCCTCCCTCGGTCCAGTTGAAGCGTGTTCGGGAGGCCGAGAGCCAGATGAAGCCCATGTTTGAGAAGAACAAGCGGCTGTCCAAGAAGAACGACGACCTGCTGCAAACGCTGCAACGCATGGAGGAGAAACTAAAGAACCTGAGCCGAGACAACATCCAGATGGTCAGTGACGTCCGCTTTATGTTCCGCCACCACCACTCTCTGTTGCTTCCTTCTTCTCTCGGTCGCCCCCAAACGGCCGCAGACCCTCTACTCGCTGGCTGAGGAGAAGCGTGAAATCGTTTTCCAAACAATCCCAACGTGACCCCTCTCTTTCCGTCGCTCTCCTCTTAGAAGGAGAAAGCCGCCTCCTCTCGGCCTCCCCCCCCTCAGCAACAACCCGTCCAGTCCCAGCTGAAGCGGCCGAGCTCGCTGACGGACTTGAGCCACGCCCACGAGGAACAGGAAGTGGCGTTCCTGAAGCTGCAGGTTTCGGAGCAACGCGGCATCATCGATGAGCTCACGCAGGTCAGGACTCAAACCACAAAGAAGAAATCAATCCACATTTCGATTGGTTTAGTGTGTGTCAAGGGTTTCTGCTTTTAACGTATGGCCATGAAAATGTTCTGGTTCGTTTCATAATGGGATAAGACATAGATCACTGCCTCGTCTCAATCATCAGTACATTTTGTTTTTCTTCATGTTATTAGATTATATATCGTGATGCCGGTTCTGTACTAATTGAGCTCAGATGTCAGGCTGCTCTTCGTCTTGATCGACTGTGTGTTTTCCTTCAAGGAACGTGACCGATGGGTGATCAGCAAAAAGAGCACGAGGAAACCGCCCAAACTGTGTAAAGTAAGTGGCCTGTGGTGCGTAACTAAGCAGCCAACTCCTCCGCGGTCTTAATAGTGTGTGTGTGTGTGTCTCTGAACCTGTTTTAATTGGGCTCAGGAGACAGTGATGACAGTTTCCCTCCCAGATGAGAGCATCACGCTGAGCCTTCATGAACCACAGCGAGTGGGACATTCATGTTTGTTGTTCCTTTATTGTATTTTCTGCCTTTAGTGTTACGCTCATGTTTGTGTCCTTCTCATATGGGCTTCCTGGTCTTTGAATAAAGAGAGCAAAGGGATGAGAGAAACGAATTGGCTGTGTGAATGTTTGGGCTGAAACACCAGGGGACATTTTTGAGACCAGGACGTTGCCAGGGGGAGGAGCTTAAGCTCCCACCTCTCCTGCTGGAACCAGTTTGTCACCTTGGCGAGGTGGAAACCGCGTTGGGCAGATCGGCTTTTCTCTTGGCTCGCAACTGGAAGTTTGCCATTTTTTTAGGAATTTAAAGATAAATACATCAGCTCGGAGACAAGCGGAAAAGCTGGCATTTTGTTTTTATCAGAAGATTTGTTGTCACTCCTTAAATGGTGCAGAAGCGGAACAGAAAGCAATTTCACTTTCTGCGCGTTACTAGAGTCCAGCGTAGCTGAGTATAAATCCAAGATAATATAGACGTATTTTGGGGAAGGTCTTTTTTGTCGTGTAGCAACATGACCGAGTACATCCTACTCGTCCTCTACTTCTCGTCCTTCATTTGCCTCTGTACCCTGGTCTGCCTGTACTTCTCTGGTTGCCAGGAGATGACTTACAAACACGATGGTGAGGACTCGCTGGGCTTTGAAAATGTTAATAGAAAGACTGAAGTGACTGAAGAGGAATCGGAGACCTGATGGGTTCACATTTCCTTTGCCTTGTTCTTAAAAATGTCGGTTCATGAGGTTATACTGCACGGAATTAGGCTTATTTTAATAACTGTGAAAAAAATCTTTAAAAGCTGTATTGAATTCAAGCACAATGTATGTTTTTTATTTATTTTAGTATTCCTTTTTGCAGAGGCATGTTGTGGAGACGTATTTTGGATTTGATGAAGAGTCGATAGACTCTGAGACGTCCTCTCTGACCTCCTACAACACTGACCTCACTGACCGCACGCCTGCAACTCCAGAGGAGGATTTAGAAGAGGTAAGAAAATCCTCTTGTCTGCATTGACATAATCGATTTAAACTATGTTCTACAGTTTTAACAACTGAAAGCTGTATGGAGATACAACATTTAAGAGATGCTATTAGTCACATACAGTATAAATTCAAGTTATTTTATTTTTGGGAAATGTTGCGACTCCCAGGCAGTAAATAAACATGTATATCAAATATCTGCACCAGAATTAGCTAAATATAAACATTAGTAAAGATAGAAAAATAGTGAACATGATTTAAAGGAAAGTAATTTGCTGTACTGCAGCTGTACACGGGGAAATGTTTCATTCTTCAATGCGCGATTGAGGTGTGGGGGGGAGAGGGGGTGTAACTGTCCTGCTTACAAGTTTGTTGTGTGAAAGGTTTGTGTTTTTGTTTGACCCCGTCTCTTTTTAATATATCATTAATTATTGCTTTAAAAAAAAAAATCCAAGACCTTTTCCCGTGAAGAGTCGGAGCTCCGTTTCCGTCAGTTGACCAGGGAGTACCAGGCCCTCCAGCGGGCCTACGCGCTTCTCCAGGAGCAGACGGGGGGCTCTCTGGATGCTGAGAGGGAGGCCAGGGTCGGTTCTTCCACTTCTATCACAAACGCTTTTCATCCCTTTGTGAAGTCTAGTAAATTATTTATATCTATTTGTCACACGATGTAAACTCGTCAGCCGTCGTCTGTTGAGTAGCCGATTCCTTCCCTGACGGCCGATCTCTCCCACCACAGACACGCGAGCAGCTGCAGGCGGATCTCAGCAGCTGCCAGGCCAAGATGGCCGACCTGGAGAAGGCCCTGGCCGAACGGGGGCAGGTAACAAAGACTGGGGATGGTGACAGGAGCTCCCGGGTCCTGCTCTCACTGGCCCTCCTGCATGTCTGTCTGGCTGCTCTGCTCCTTGTCTGGCGCTACGCTGACCAGGTCTGCCGCAGAATCCGTTGATGTCAATTCCGCATGTCTATTCCGCCACCCCCCCCCGCGCACTCGGTCCCTCCTCGTTGGTGTTGATTCTCTGCAAAAAACACTTTGGTTTCTGTCCGCCTCAAAGAGACTGATAAACAAAGGTGCGACAATCGACCGGTTTCTGTTAGACGTGAACCGAAAGCTCACAATTTGTCACGAATGCAGGTCCAAAACAGGCCGTCGATGAACAGCAAGCCAGCTGATGTAAACAGAGGCCGCATGGACTTATTAGGATGCTTCCCAGCTGCTTTAAAGTGCAAAAACAGTGTTCGGTAAAGGTAATTACTAATGCTGTCATGATTTATTCAAATTGGATCTTACGCAATGTCGTTGTTGGTGAGAAACAGGATATGTTTTTACACTAATATATAAATAATGTTTAAGATGGAACTAAGACCAGTTGAACAACCTAACACAAGCTCTAAACAGTTTATAATAAATAATTAGCACTACTAATGCACAGATTCTTATTTTAATGTAAAGTTTTCAGATAGAAATAGAATAATTGATATCCTTATTTTTTGTAAATATCAACTAAAGAGGACAATACAGTAACAAGAAAACATTTCAATTCTACAGTTGAAATTATTCTTCAATGAAACATTAACCTCTCAATTATAGTTCTCCGAAAGTCCAAAGAATTCATTCATTTAGGTTCATTGGGTATTCAGGATGTAGTCTGTGATCAGTTCTGAACAGGACAAGCAGTTAAAGACGATGGACGGACGTATAGAAGTCATCATAAAAGAAGAAGAGAAGATCCATTTTGTCAACCCATATTGATTAAAATAACTTAGTTATTACCTACTGACTCTCTTGAGAAACACTAGAATTATTATGACTCACATCACTACTCTTATTTTCTCCATTTGTTTGAGGTGTTTCCTGTCGCTGCATGTTTTCTGCATGTTGCCTGGTGCTCTGTGGCTTGTTCCGCCTGGTATGCTGTGCTCTTTTTCACTTTGGATTGCCTTTTGTTCCGCCTGTTACTGTGAACTCTTGATGCCTGTGAATGCAGCACCTTTACCTGTTCTATAAAGTCTTTATTCCTCTGCATCAATAAACTATTGCCACTGCCACTCTGTTGCTGTTTGTTTGTGTCTGCGGCTTGTTGGTCACTTGGAAATGCATTTCATGGCGCCCTGGAGGCTCTCCTTCCTCTCCTCTTCCTGCCAGTGTCATTTCTCGCTGACGTTGTGTTTGGTTGTCATGGCAGGATTCAAAATGGGTGGAGGAGAAGCAGTACTTGCTCAGGACCAACCAGGAGCTTCACGAGAAGGTAGATTGCATTTGTCCAATTCAATAGCTCTCAATAGTGTGTGAAAATATTCTGTACATCTTCTCATGGGAAATCATTTGGAAAAATACCAAAAAGAACAGACTCCTTATTCCGTCTTCACAATGCTCTTTTTAAACCTTGTGTGTTTGTGTAGATGTGTGCGTCTCAGCAGGCAGAGTCCAAGCTGCAGGCCGAGGTTCAGGACGCCCGGGATCAGAATGAGCTGCTGGAATTCAGGGTGCTCGAACTGGAAGTAAGAGACTGTACCAACGTCAGACTGTCACCAGGAGGCGACAACAACAACCTCGGCTCCAGACTCAGGACCTACATACAGTGACTCCCCAGACCGACAGACCCACTCGCGTGCACACACTCGAGTCGTCGTCCTCTCTATGCATCCGTGTTCTGCATGGCAGCTGTGTGCACCCCCCCTCCACTCAACTGGAATATTTTTTTTTAATGAGAGTATGTTGTTTTAAGATGAATGTAATTATCAATTGAATAAAAATGTATTTAAGTTAAATATTCAATCCCATCCACGTTCCTTTTGTCTCATTTTTGCATGTGTCCTATTTTTTGTTCACATTTTTCATACAATTACAGGTAAAATTCCTGGATATTAATGCTTTTAAATATTTGTTATCATAAATATATATGTGTGTATATATAAATATACAACAGGTTACCGACCTAGAGGTTGAGAGGCATGTGCCATCGCTCACATCAGTTGTTCTTATTGTGTCTAGACAGAGACGGAGAAGCTCCGGCGTGAGATTCCTCTCAGTTTTGAGTTCCAGCATGTGTTTTTTCCCTCGTTGTTCGTTGTTTTGATTTCCCATTTAAAGCTTTGGGTTTCCACCTCGCTCATTTCGGCAGATCCCGAACATGTTTTCAGTGTCATGTAAGTAAATCCCTCATTCACTCCCCTTTCACGCTCGGCCACGTTCCGTATCTGCCGTTTGCAATGCGTCTCCCATCGCCGTTAAAATGACTCTGCACACTACGTTTGTATTTGTAGAGATTCCAGTCGGGCTGATGATCATGCAAGTTGTTGTGTGTTTGAGGTTTACAACTGGTGTATTTCCTTTAGGAGAGGGAGCGTAGATCTCCTGCCCTCAACCTCCACATGTCTGCGTTCCCTGAGAACAGCAGCAGTGCCCTGCAGATCTACTGTCACCAGCAGGGAGTCAAGGTGATGCAACACGCTCGCACCGACTGTTCTTCTTCTCTTAAGACCGCACGCAGTCAACATACTGCCTTTTTTTCACCTGCAGGATGTCATCATTCCGGAGCTGATGAAGAAACTGGATATCCTGGGAGATAACGGCGTGAGTCCAAATAAGTGAGGATTAAAAAGAAAAAAAAACCTGGTGGTCGTCAATTTCCGACTCTCATGCCCGATGTTTACTGTAGAATCTCAGAAATGAGGAGCAGGTAGCGGTGATCCAAGCGGGGACGGTGATCTCACTGTGTGAAAAGGTGAGCGGACGGCCTCTCGGTCGTGTCGCCGTTTTATAGTAATAACTCATTTATTGTGAAGCACAGCTGTCTTAGCTTCTGAGAGCACCGTAAGCACTCGTCCTCCCTCCCCGTACAGTGGTTGAAGCAGATCGACTGCACGGAGGCCGCACTCACACAGAAGATGATCGACCTGGAAAATGACAAGGTGCATAATCTATCAGAACCACTAGAACACACGCTTTGTCTGTTTTTGTCCGTCTTGACTTCGAGATGCAAACGTCACCCATCCAGATGTAAGATGTACCACTCACGGTGTTGCTGATGCTGCAGCGTGTACCGTTCTCCACCGATGCCACGTCCTGTGTTATATATATTTGATCACATCTTGTTGCAGGAGCTTTTTAGCAAGCAGAAGGGATTCCTGGAGGAAGAGTTGGACTACAGGAAGCAGGCCTTGGATCAGTCCTATATGGTACGGAGCAGTGTCTGTCCCTTTATACCAAGGTTGGCCAAAGCCTCTCAGATAGACACAATGCACTCATTCATATAAACGACGTTGATAACCAAGGTTGTACGCAAGGAATAAAGCCTTGTGATGAAGTGACTCAGGAACGCACAGGTGCAACATTGTCATTCCAGCATTACATGAACATTCGAAACCCCCGTTTAACCTCATGACTCCAATGTTCGTCATAAAGGTAAAATTGTGTCGGGATACTGCATCTTTTACCACTCAAGTCTAAATTCAAACAATGTTAGCGTTCTTATTAATTTGTCTCAGGCTCTTTTGTTATTGGAGGGGGCCAATTGTTGATCTGGCTCTAACATTGCACACAATGTGAAGAGGAAATGCTGTCGTGAATATCCTGTGATGCATCCATGATTTAAGTAGACCTCTGGTGCAGTTTAATACATATTCTAGACAGAATCAGTGTAATGACATTTGGAAGTTACATTTTGTATTTGCATGAACAATGTTAAAACATTCTCCCCCTCACGCCTTAAATCGGCCCCACCTTTAAAACAAAAGTTAACAGCTCGGTCACTCGCTAAATAACTCTAACCATTGTAGTTTTTATTAAGTTTTGTCTTAATGTTTCCATTTCCCATTGTCTCTGTGAACAAAGTGAACCACTGGCTTGTTGTCTTACTTGGTAACTTTGCTGAAACTCTCACGCGAATGGAATTCAATTGCAGGAGAAAGAATAAAAACACAGAGTTGTTATAATGAAGTTGCCCCATGAAGGTCCAGCCTAAACAACCCTCAATATGAAAGTCCCTTACATCTGCCATGGTCACAGTGGTGTGTGTGTGTGTGTGTGTGTGTGTGTGTGTGTGTCTGTCTGTGTGTGTGTGTGTGTACATACGTCTGTGTGCATGTGTGTGTTTTTGCATGTGCATGTGCACGTGTGTGTGTGTGTGTGTGTGTGTGCACATTTGGCTGGCTGTGCAGAGGATCGAGGAGCTGGAGGCCACGCTGTATAGCGCTCTGCAGCAGGAGCAGCCGGCATGCCGGGCGGTGGCCGAGTCGCTGACAGACAGGCAGAGGGAGGAGCTCCGGCTCGCCGTGGAAAAGCTGCGGCGTCAGATTCTCCGGCAGAGCCGGCAATTTGACAGTCAGATCTTACAGGAGCGCATGGAGCTCCTACAGCAGGCCCAGCAGGTAAGGCTTAGAACCAATGAAGTCAGCTTACTGAGTCCCCCAATCCGACCCCCCCCCCGGTACCTGTCTGAAACGTCTGACCCCACCCGACCTCTGTTGCTATGAGAAAGATGCAGTATCCCCGTGTGTGCAACCTGTGACCCTGTCTGTAAGTGTATATGTAGAAGAGTGACTGTGTGTATCATTATGATTTAAGTAGCCCCCCCCCCCCCAACAATTCCCTCCACCCGGCAGCCCTCATATTAGCTTTACACCCATTGTTCAGTCTACGTGATTCATCAAGTACATCAACAACCACTGCACCTTAAATTCTATTTAAATCTATTGTGCTGCAACTTACTTTTCACACATTTCTAATCAGCTACTCATGAAGCGTATTTACGTATTAAACACGTTTCTAGAAACTGCTGTTACAGTTTATGAAATGATCCAAAAGTCCAGCGAAATAGTTTCCTCTTCCCCTTTTATTACCTATATTGGTAAAGCTGTGTTTGGGTGAAGCATTTGGCACCTGCTCCACACATTTTGAGCAGATTTTCAGCACATATTTAACTAAAATCCTGGTTTTAATATAAAATTCCAAGGTGTGTTTTCCAATTATATTTGATCTTCCTTTTTTATCCCTGGTCACACGTACATATACGCAGGCTAGTTAAGTACTGCTTTAGGTCTCCACCATGGACTCACTCCACTGTTAAATCTGCTCTCCGGTTGCCATGGCAGCCAGTCTTACCCAATGCAGCTACCATGGAGACAGAAGGCATGATGGGAAGAAGGCCGAGTATTTGGAGCATATAAAGGAATAGTTGGATCACGGCCTCATTAACTGTGTGGCAACCGTTTCTTTTGTTGGATTGTACAAAGTTTAGTTTGTATGCAGGTTTTGTGCACCCTAACCACGTCCGTCTTTGCCTTCCAGAGAATTAGAGAGCTGGAGGACAGGCTTGACTTGCAAAAGAGACAAGTAAAGGAAATAGAGGAAAAGGTACACATTTCCGTTATTTGTTTCTACCTTAAAGACTTTCTCTTGTGGCTTTCGAGTCTGTGTGAAATGTGACGTGAAGAGAGAATGAGAAGGAGTTTACATCTTCTGTACTGACGATGTGTCTTTTTCTTTCCCCTTTTCACCTATTAATTAAACCCCTTTGTGTTCCTTCCAGTTTTTGTTCCTCTTTTTGTTTTTCTCTTTAGCATTCATTCTTTGGCCTTAAAGAGTGTCCAGCGACCCACATCAGGTAGCACCTTTTTTTCCCTCTGTCATATCAACATATGTATTGTTGCTTGTAACAATATCAATGAGGAAATAATTAAAAGCTGTATATTTCCTCGTAGGTGCTCCGGAAGCAGGCGAGGACGAGACAAAACCTACTTGTTTTTTATGCATCTGTAGACAGCTCACAAAAAACCCCATGGCCTTTTTGAACAATGTGCACTTTTTGACCCTTACCTGGAATGCAAACATATTTGAAACTGTAATAAGTAACCAGATATAAGTGAGAATTATTTATGAAGATAATTTAGTATCGTGGTTCTGGGATGTGGAACATAAGAACTCTCTCTGTGAGAAGCAAACAAACACACGGATCTACTGAGAGAAAACTCTGAATCAGAGGATTTATTAAAGAGACAAGAGACACCGCCTCAACTGATCTTCTGCTGGACAATAGAGAAGGAGAGATGGAAGGAGGAGGAGGAGGAGGAGGAGAGTGAAAGCACAGTGCTGAATGGGGGGGGGGGGTCCAAGCTGAGTCTCTACTGGATATGGAGGATTCTGGTTTCTAAGGAAACCACAGCGCAGCGCCACAAAGTTCACAGAGCTGACGCTGTGCTTACTGGAAGCTACTCGCTGCATTGGGAGGATGTAACTGCCATCAGAGGAGCGCAAAGAACAGGTTTTTGTTTGACCTTTTCATGAGAATTTACTCCTTTGTTAATTAATTACTACTAATGCTAATTTAAGGTTGTGTGAGTTGTATCATTTTTAGCATACAAAAACATCTGTATTTTACAAATTTGACTTTGTGATCCATTGACTTTGTTATTCCGGCCTGTACTTTAGTTATAACGTACGACGTCAACCCTGCTTGCTAGCTTACTCATCAAGTACGAATACCCATATCTTATGACTGGCAGTTTGGATGTGGGAAGCTGTCTCAGTGCACGTAGGGGCATGCGAGGAAACGTTTGCGGCCGTCCTTTAAGGTTTTGGGGTTGGAGGACTTGCTAGGAGGTGCTGGAGGAGACCCCATGATTAAGAGGCAGGGTAACCTGAGCGATACCTCTGCTCAAGCTTGCTACCAAGCTGTTGACGCGGTTAATAATAGATGACTGTACTTTGTGCTTGTGTGTCTATTTTTGTCCGTGTACGTTTTTGACAACCACTGACGCGTCAAAAGAGCATCACGGAGATATCGCCAACGCTTCTCCTTTTTACGTCTGACACCATCTCTCTCTCTCTCTCTCTGTCTCTCACGCGCAGGCCTACCGACGGAGGATCAGATGACCTCATCGGACACGGCGTGCAGCTCTGTTACCACGGCAACGGGCTCAATGGGAAGTGACCTGGAGCGGAGCGCAGGTTCGAGCCGACAGTTTTGATGCGACCCGATGAACAGGTGAGAAGGGGATCAAGTGTCACACACCTACCTGCTACTCGCTCTTCGCTCGGGGCGATATCACATATCACACACACACACACACACACACACACACACCACCGCACTGCACACTTACACGCCAGCACGCTGCGGCCAACATCAAGCAATTTTGTTTTGCATGTTTTATCTGTTTTTTTCTCACATTGGGAGGTAGAGGAGATTTTAGATTCTCTGTCTTGTGTGGTCGGATCAGAGTTATTGAGGTCAAAGGGGAGCCTGCTGCTAGAGCTCCGTCGGCTGGACCTCTGCCTCTCACCTCCCCGTCATGCAGCACTCCCAGAGACTGGACCAAAGACTACACACGCTCAGGGAGGAGGTCCGGACCATGGTGAGTGCTCGGGGCCTTTGAGTACATCGACAGGCGTGGATGCACCCTGTTAGACAGATGTGTGAGATCTGTTCGGTCGACTTTAGTTATGAGAGTAAAGTTATCGGCTACAATAAGTCTGGACTAAAACGTCCCTTCATTGGATCGACTACGCGGAGCAGATATGTCAAACTCAAGGGAGTCATCTTTGGCCATGCAGGATGGTATTTAATCACAGCTGGCCCACCGATGTGTTGTCTATTAAAAATAGCTCCTGTCCCTAATCAGTCCACCAGGGGTCGCACTGTGCGGGTGAGCCGCTGTGTGTGTGAGCGCATGACCAGACAATCGCCATTGCCTCTGGTTTTACTGGTCCGGCCCACTTAGGGGCCCAAACGTAAGATGGGTTTGACACCCCTGACGCATAGTATGCAGTGAGCTTTCTGTAATATGCAGGTATATATATATTTTTTTTCTTCTCTCCAACCTTCTAGACCCACGACAAGGAGCGGGGGGAGCAGGTTTGGAGGGACCGACTGCAGCGCTGTCAGAGGCAGCTGAAGGCCAAAGAGGAGGAGATGAGTCGCCAATCGCTGTACTTTGAGAACTTCAAAACCCAACTCCAGCACAAGCTGAGCCTGGCCCGGGACCGAGAGCAGAGCCTGCAGAACCGGATCTACACTCTAGAAAAGCAGCTGCTGGACGTGACTGTGAGAGCCGCCACCGACACCGCATCGATCGGGGCAGTCAGAATTACTGCCGAGACTGTAACACGCTGGGAAGAACCAGAGCGGCTGCCTCCCACGAGAGGACAGGGGGAAGGGGAGGAGGAGAGGAAGGAGGAGAGGAAGAGGCAATGGCAGCCAAGTGTGGGATATAAGAGGGGCGGAGGGCTAGGAGGTGACCAAGAGACACAAGGAGAACGGGTCAAAGAAGCACAGTCAAACGAAGCCAGGCTGCAAGGCTTCATCCTGAGCCTGCAGCAGGATCTCAAGGTGCTGCTGGAGAGAGAGGAAGGTGGGATGACGGAGCGAAGGGGGCTGATGGAGCAGCTCCAAGAGGTCCAGGAGAACAGCCACTTCCTGGACTGCAAGGTGGAGGACATGAGAGCAGAGGTGCAGCGGCTGAAGCTGTCCGAGCAGTCCTTGATGGGGGAGGTTGAAGAGCTGAAAGAGGAGAACCACAGACTCCATCCAGAGTCGACGTGGTTGAGTCCTGGGTCAAACACTGTCTCTTATGCCACCGCCACGGGACACTCCTCGGTCGGGAGCTTTGGAGAGGTAATTATTATTCGTCTAGCCTTCATTTAATCTGGTAGACTCATTGAGATCAAGATATAAGTATGGTACAATAGAAAAAACACAATATATATATATATATATATATATATATATATATATATATATATATATATATATATCTTAAAAAGGTCCAAAATTGGAAGTTTTGTAGGGAAAGTTGAGTATTTACTTGTAGGGCTTCAAGAGCCCTGATCCTCATCTGATGAACTGTGCTCACATATCTGAGGAGAGATGTGATGTACTGAGGCAGCTTTAGGTGAATGAACAGTAGTTATGTGGAGCTCTCTCTTGTTGCTAGTAAGAGCCAGCCTACTTCTTCACTATGATACTAATCTAATTCAATTAAATTGGAATGCACAGTGGTAAACATTGGTGTATCTATAGTTGACAAAAAAAACTTTTAGAATGTTAACTGTGATCGATTCAGCAGGAATCCTTTATCCTCACAACAGAGTTGTGGATGTTATGTTACCATCTCCGCTTTTGTAAATATATTTTAGTAACAATATATCACTATAGTAGGAATTTTGATAGCTTTTTATTGTGTGTGTGTGTGTGTGAGTGACATTCCCATTTTTGCATTAGTGATCCTCACCTCACGTCCCACAACTGAAACCTCTGTGTAGGCACATCTACCGCTGGATGAGGGAGCAGGCCGGCCGCATTCATCCGCAGTTTCACCACTTCACCACCAGGAGGAAGCAGAGAGTCTACAGAACAACGCAGAGGATCGTTCCCCATCTGCCCCATCAGAATCTACTCCCCCTAAAGTCTTTTGCCCCCGTGTCCGGTCACTCTCTTTGACTACAGAGACACTAGAGGAGTTCAGAATGGGGACATGGTGCTGTAAAGGGGTTCTGAACCTGGAGAAAAGCCCCAGTGAGGAATCGGATGCCCTGAGGGAAGCCTACAGGAGCTTGGGGCTGGAGAAGGAGCTTGAAGCGCATCAAGAACAACGTGTCAGCTTTGAGGTCGACAGGTTACAAGTCAGCAAAGAGGTACGAGAGTCAGAGATGCAGCAGAGGTCTTCAAGAGAAAAGGTATGTCGCAAAGGTTCCAATAGTCCCAATCTTTTTATATAGCTGCGTTAACGAACTTCCAGTGACAGTTTTTCCAGTATATCACAAATTCTACCTCTGTGTATCCTCAGATCTGCGCACCGTCCGCCGGTAATGGAGCTGAAGATGCCGCTGATCTCCCCCTCGCCCAGGGGGATCTGGTCTGGGCCCTGAATCAGGAGAACCGGCTCTTGGCGGAGCGGATTCAGGAGCTGGTCGCTCACATTGAGCTCAGAGAAGAGGAGGTCAAGAGGGCGCAAACGCAGCTGATGGAGCGCATCTTCAAACTCGAGGGAAACCGAGTTAGGCTGGAGCGGGAGAGCCAGGAACAAGAGTGTCTGATTACAGAACTCACCAAGAAAACCGAGGATGATCTCAACGCCATCATGGAGCTGCAGCAAAGGTTAGAGGAGAGTGAACAGCGTCCGGAGGAATCACAGGTTGCCAACACTCCGCGTGGATCTCAACTACAAAGTGAGCCGACGGCTGCACTGTCGGGAAGTTTTCAAGAGCAGAACCTGGAAGATTGTGTGGACAGTTTGGTGGAATGTGTGCTTAATGGGGAAGAGCCACAGGGGACGTCAGCTCAACAACTATATGACTCGACCGCTGCTTCAGCACCCAGTTCTCCACGAGATAATCACTACGGTCCTCTGCAGAACAGCCTGCTAATCAGTTTACGCGTTAGTTCGTTGACTGATCAAGAAAAGCAGCTCACCAGGTCGGTCCAGAGACTCAAAGCGGACGAAGAGGAACTGTCAGGTTGCATAAATGCTCTCAGAGAGCAGCAGAGAGAAGTAGCTCTGGCCGTCCAAACACAAACGGAAGACAAACAGCAGCTAACACGCACAGTTTGGGGACTGAAGGAGGAGAAAGACAGCGTCTCTCAATCTCTGGCTGGTGTCAAACAAGAGAGAGAGCAGCTCACCAGGACCGTCTGTGGCCTGAGGGACGAGAGAGACCAGTTAATAAGGTTTATGAGGGGCCTGAAAGAGGAGAAAGAGTCTTTATCGGGTCTCGAGAGAGAAAAAGAGAAACTGTTAGAATCTCTTTCTAGTGGCAAAGAAGAGAGAGATCAAATCATGCAGTCGCTACGCAGTTTACACACAGAGAGCGACCAGCTAAGCCAGTCGGTGCTGCATCTGAGAGGCGAAAGAGATGAGCTCACCAATTCCCTCAAGTGTCTGAAGGAGCGGAGAGAAGAAAAAGAAAGTGTTGAACATTCAATCAGCTGTTTGAAACAGGAAGAAAAACAGATAGAGCTTTTACTTCAGGGCCTTAGAGAGGAGAGAAACGTCCTCTCGCCGGCTCCGCCCGGCCGAACGCAGACGGAGGGGATCGATCGCAGGCCACTGAATCCAAACTGTGCCGTGGCCGCGGAGAAGTGCGCGAGTGTTGTTGGAACAGGAGCCACACGGAGACGTCCGGCTCACGGGCAAAGTTCTGCACAGGTATTCAGAGCGGGTTGATTCATGCCTTTGTGCATCATGTCGGCGTCTGTTGGGATCCTTAAGCAGGATTGCGTGTCGTTACGTTGGATCGATGTGTTCTTATGCAGCGTGTTTTTAATGGAAAGGAGGAGCAAAGCGATCTGAGGAGGGAGATTGAAGCTTTGGGAGAAAAACTAAAGAGGTCACGGGACGATCTGGACAAGAGCCGTGTAGATGTGAGTTTACACAGCTTGTCATTTCTTCGGTTACGTTTGTTGTGCTAGCAGATAATATTGGGTGATCAAACTAAATGATATTAACAAGAAAGTCTAACTCAAGGTCCACTTGCTTGCTTTATTTGATAGAGAACTTGATTTTAGATCAAACTTTTTATTATAGTAAACCCCTCACAGCATCCTATTGGCTTTGAATTTAGTTTTTCATGCAAAGTTTAAATTTCTGATTTTGAGATGCAGGAGTGACGTAAGAACAGAACCTTTTTTGTTCTGTTCAGCTCCGTTTTATATTTACAGGACAGTAAACTCACTAACTGTTTTCAGACCGAGTTTCTTGGCTGTGAGTTGCGTCGCTCAGAAGCAGCGAGGGAGGAGGTGGAGAGAAAGGCCGCCGCGGCAAAGGAGGAGCTGGTGAGGTGGAAGGACAAAGCTCATCAAATGGAAGAAACCAGAGAGGAAAATGACAGCCTCACCACCCAGGTATTTACTCAAACAGACACTACGATAAAAGCACAATAAGCAAAAAACACAGAGAAACGTGCGCTTGAAACCAACACATAAATCGTATTGTCATTCTTCTTTTTCGCTGACTGCAACTCCAGCTGCAAACCCAGATAAACCCACTGTTTATATTTGTGTCAGGTGGAGGAGCTGCAGAGGAAGGTGGGCGGCCTGATCACTGAGAAGACTGCTGCTCTGGCTCTAAAGGCCCAAGAAAAGGAGCAATACAACGTCCTCACAGCGGAGCTCAAAGCCAAGGTATCTTTTCCGTTTCTTATGTGACACGAGACACAAGTGGATGTGAAACTGCTGTCATTCGTTTCTTGAATCTGCAAAGGAAGAAATCCTAAATTTCCTCCAACAACTCATCCACTGTAGCCCAGAGAGACCCAACACGTTTTATACTTCAGCATATAGACTACTTTAAAAGTGAGCTAATAGATACAGATTCCTTTGTGTGTGTAAAACCCCACAGACGGTGGCCCTAGAGGAGCTGAACTCTGAGTACATTGCCCTAAAAAGAAGCCATGACAGTAAGGATGATGCGAGCGATGTTCTCGTCTCACTCAGGACCCGTTATAAGGACATCAGGGCCAAGGTGGGTAACCACTCGGGGAAGGAGGCTCTGCTCCCTTCTGTTGAAGCAGTTCGTTCCATGTTGAGAGCGGATGCTTTTTTAACTATGATTTATAAACTGTAGTCTCTTTTTTTCACAAACTGCAGTATGACGCACTGAAGAAGAAGAGCCAGAGTGATGTGGAAGTAGCTCCGTTAAAGGTGAGCAAAAATTCACCCCTATTGTAATATTACAGCTTCTCCATTGTGCCGCTCTGAGCGTCTGAGTTTGACCGACGGCTGTTTGGTCCAATGACAGGCCAAGCTGTCTTGCCTGGTGGAGAAGTGTCAGGAGAGGAACAGCTTGCTGGTTCAGATGATGAGGGCAATGCGCAGACACGACTGCGTGGACTCCGCGCTCGCCCATCAGGTCGAGCGGCTGCTCAGAGACGCCGCTCTGCAAAACTACACCGCGGCGTTCACGCCAAGCAGCCGCCTGAAAACCCAGGATTACGCCGGTGGGTTGACGTCGGGATTTGTTTCCAAATTCGAAGACTACGCCGGTGGATCGACGACTGATCAGACGTGCTCTACTGCATCCGCACATGTGCAGCAGCAACGCAAAAACGGATTCAAAGCTGAATCCGGAGCCCGAAGTGAAAAACCCAGATCTTTAGTCTCCACTGAAGCAGATGGGGGAGACCGGCAACCAGAGAAATCTGGACCGCATCACTCGGATACAGAAGAGACGTCCTCCCTGGACCCGAGCGGTTCCACTGGATCCCCAGTGAGTCCGACTCCTCCCTCCTCCGGCGCACGCTACAGTCCCAGCAGGAGGCTGAGTAGTCCCGAGAAGATCATGAACATGTATGAGCAACTGCAGCAGACTCTGATGAGCAGCTATCAGGTACGCTACAAAGATGCAGGTTGAGGTTTAAGTTTGGATAAAAAGCATTGGTCCTACTGGGTATGAGTCTCATTAGACACGCCACGTATTTCTACTTCTATTCTTTGTTCATGTTCATGTACGTTCTTTACGTATTTAACCCGTGCACAAAAAAGAAATTCATGTGGGAACCTACAAGTTTGATTTTCGTGTAACGTTTTCACATGTGTAATAAATGCCTTTCTCTCAATCCCAAGTCTCCAGAGAGCAGAGGAAGGGAACGGCAGCCCGGGAAAAGTCTCTCGTTTCCATCTTCAGCAGACCTTCACTCTGCCTCTGAGACCACGAAGCATAGCTTCTGTTCCAACGTGCCACCTCCCGACTCCCTCCCGCTCAGCGCTGCTCTGAGCCCAGCTAAGCACACAAATAGGTCAACGACGCTCTTTGACGCAGTCGCCTCCCGATCCGCCAACATTACATCAAGTCCCAACATGTTTGCCTGCTGTCCCTTTAAAACCACATCGTCTGCTGTATCTGGCTCCTCTGACCTTCCTTTTTCCACGAAAGACAAGTCCATCCCGAGCCGTGGCACGGATATAAAATCACCAGAACCGGCAAAGAAAACGCCTGCTATCCCCGCTGAATCCGACCCGAGACGCATGTGTTCTACTCCTTTAACTCCGAGGACCGCCACCGTTGACTCCGATGTCTTGACGTGTCCGAAAACCACAGCCTCAGACACAACTGCCCCGAGCTCGCCGACTGCCCCTCAGGCGAATCCTTTCCTCACGCCTTCTATAACGGATGGTGCTACGTCCGCCCGCCATGGACTCGTATTGGCTGCATCCTGCGCTCGCCCTGCTCGTTGCTCTCCCGAGAGGTCCAGCAAGCCTGGCAGAAAATCCACTGCTGCTCTGGGAAGACCCACACCAGGTACTCCACTCATAGGATGTTACAAAAAGGCCAAACGCACACATCCTTCAGATTCGTTTCATTAAATTGACCATAAAACTTTTCGTGTTAGAGCTTCAACTTACAACTTATGATTGCATTAGTTGTGCTTGTGTGTTGCTGCAATGTGATTACATCCAGTCCGGATATGGAACAGTTTCTGTAATTGAAATAATGTCTTATCTAATTCCAGAACAAATTTGATTTGGATTTATTGCTCACTGCAGTGCATGATGATACATCTCTACTTAAGTGCTTGCATTCACTTGTAGGTTCAGTTTAAAGGGAGTGACTTTATGTCTCTCTATTCTGGTGGGATTTTACAGTAAAATATGCCTCCCAATTAACAAAGAGACCAATAGATTATTGAGCATTTACCTCACATTTACAGCGTTACATGCATTGAATTGTTACAGATCGCTAAAGCACTGTGCTCCATTTCTCTTCCTCCAGAAGCTCCAGCTGAGGTTCAATCTGTTGAGGTTATCAAAACAGTGGGCCAGGGCAGCCTGATGATCGGTTGGGAAAGGCCGCCTCTCGACGAGCTGGGCTGCAGTAACGGCACGTTTGTGTACGGATATCGGGTAGGCAGCAACCGATCCATGGACTCCATCGGTTGTTTCTTCTCGTACTTATTACCTCCTTTCACCTCTCAGGTGTTTGTGGATGGAGACTTCCACAAATCTGTCATGAGCTCAGCGTGCACCAAGGTATCAGGCTCTTCAAAAGCTCTCATCGCCCGTAAAACCAAAGTGAACCACAGCGGTTCATGTTGCATTTCGGTTTCCTCAGTGTGTTCTGGAGAACGTCAACCTGCGCGGCCCGGTTCACGTCAGCGTCCAGACGCTGGGATCCAACGGACTTAGCTCGGACTTTGTCCACACCACGCACGTGACTTCGGTCAAGAACAGTCTGAGTCTCTGCGTCTGACTGACTGCAGCGAGCGCAACTGGATGGCTGCAGCCGCTCAGTGGAAACCTTCGAGTTTGAAAGGTACATGCGTGTCTGTCTGTTTTAAGGAATCTGTGTTGCTGCTTTTGGGTATTGATGACACAAATCACATTTTAAGTAGAAATCTGATTCATATATTCTAGAATATTTGAAAGATGGCTGAAGGACACTTTTCTCCCTGTCTCCTCTGTCCCTTCGTCCTGTGTGTCCGCCCTTCACTTCACAGCCATCTATAGCCTGCAGCTCTCTGAGGGGCCGTCCTGACCTCCACCTCAGCCGGCAGCGAGGGAGACACCGTCACGCTGCTCGGATACCCGCGGGGCTCAGGTCAAACAATCAGAAAAGTCTCGCGTCGTCTCACTTTTCCAGCCTACGAGTACCTTTATTGAACTGTGGCCGACCTCAAAACCACAGCAACTCACTGAAGATGTCATACTCATGTCAGACTGTTGCCTCGGCCCTCAGGGTCAACCTGCGCGTGAAGGCAGCTGATTGACTGTCGAACTTCCTGTCTCTCAGTTCTCTTGAATGGCCGGTTCGTCACTAGTGCCGAGTGAGAAAGATCAAATCAAACAAATCCAAACTGAGAAAATGTTTACATTTTTTTTGCCGTCTTTCCACCAAGACAGAGCGCGCTGGAGGGACGTCTGCTGCGCATTTGAACACTGTGTGAAACACGGAGGGACCAGGTGTCGTATCGCTCCGTGGGAGATCGATGCTGCTGCCTCTCTTGACTCTATGACGTGAACAGCTGGCTAAAGGGACACGTACTGTATCAAAAGCCTTTGTTCTTTTCTTTTTTCTTTATTTTATGTGCAGTAACGACCCCGATCTTACTTGATTTTACACATGAAGCCAAATATGAGAAGAGAAAGAGATTCACTCCAAAGACTTGTGTGTGTCAGCGTCTCCTCACACGTTTACGGGATCACTCCAAACAAAGAAGTTATTTACGTTCTGAATTTTGCACACAGTCGTTGTTGTATCTGATTACAGCTGATAGCAGGAGATGAAATCAAGAAAAGAAATTAACCCTGATATTTTTTGTAGAGAATATTATATAAATATGCCACAAACGAAACGTCTTTTTGTATGAGTGACACTTTGATTTTCACACCTAGTAGGTGTTATGTTTGCACGTTTGTATTGTTTTACACAATGCTCACAATATACACACGATGTTCTTTTGCTACTTACTTTATGTACGGGTGTGCAGTGATCAAAGTGCAGCAAAGGTATTTTTCTATCAGTAGTAGAAGTATTGATTCCTTTGCGACTGTACAGAGAATAAATGTTTATACGACACTGACCGTCATTCCAGCGTCTCAACAGTCTGGGTTTACAAATGCTCGTTAAAATCAATTCAGAGTTGAGATTTTATATTATGGAAAATACATCGCTGTCCAAAACACACATCTGGAAGATTCCGAATGTTATAAAGAGAAAATATTTATTAAACCATTTGGTTTTGTGAGAAAGCTCCGTCACAAAGCTGGAAATACTTTCCTATGACGGTGACAATAAATGTGTCTGATTAAACTCTGTGTAGACGTGTTTTATTTTGAAACTCTTACCCATCGATGGACAAAGAGGGGAGACGTTCATTAGTGCACCTAACAGGTGCTTTGACGAGCGATCTAGTGGGCTGTATGACGCTTGTGTGCATGCAAAGACTCAAACATCTTAGTGTCTAATTAGTCACAACACCAAAAACTGAGGTGAAAGAAGAAAGAAGCATCAGCAGCCTAAAAATAAGAGGAGCTTCATCATCTGAGGTCATCGCTCGTGCTCAGCAGAAAGAGCTCCAGGTGGAGGAGGGAGTGTGTTTGTATGGAGGAGTATCGGTGAGCAAACGGAGCGTTCCTCGTCTTGTGTCCGTTGCTTCCAGTAAACCTCGTGTGAGCAACCAACACAACGTCTCACACTACAGATGAAAAGCCATCTAAAAACGTCCCTTTACATTTTAGATTTGAAACACTAAATAAATTAGAAAAATGTGCAGATCCCCATTGATCCATTACAGAAAATGTAAACCGATAATACCCAGTTTTCTGTATTATCGATACTCTTGAAGTACATATTGCTTATAATATTTATGCTGCCGTCCACCAGGTGAGAATGCACTGTACAAGTATGGACTGTAACAAAAAACCGAAACTATTGTAGATCAACTGCAGGTTTAGTGAAGATAAGAGTATCGATACAAACTCCAGAATAGTAATATTATTGAACATATAAAGGTAACAGTAAGGCTCCGACACATAAAAGCTGCAGTCAGAGGCACAGTCTCTATACTTTCTTTAACCCTTGAGATGTTGATGAGAGAAGCGACCCTGCTTCCCTTTCTCTACCTGACCTTTGTTCATCTCCCCGATGAGCAGATCAGCTCCAGGTGTGTCTCTTCCCCCACCTGATCCCCACGCTGCCCTGGCCTCCTCCACTCTTTACTATATACAATTCATACAATGTTATCCACTTTTCATTGTGTTTTTTTAAATGGTCAAAGTAAACCATAGCAAACATCTATCTATACTGAGGTTTGAACCAGCCTCTTCCACACCTGTTAGGTTGGACTCCAGATTTAGAGCCCCCGAATCCCCAGGAATCCCACCACACCGGCCTCCATCAGTAACGTAACACATATGTCGCCTCGGTACCCGAGCGCTCTGGTCTACGCCAGCTAACGTTTCCCATGATGTCACCGATGCCACAGCCCGGCCTTGACTCTTCCCATGTAGGCCAACGAGGGAGTCTACTTAAAAGGACGTGTGTATGCATGACTTCCCCGTGGGACGTCGGTGACAGCTGGGCTCAAGCTTCCTGCCAGGATATTCTGTTGTGACGTTTAATGGCACTTTTGGAGCCTTCTGTATATATGCACGTGTATGTGTGCGTGTGTGTCCTTTGCATATGTGGCTGAGGGAGTATCAGGGCTGCAGGCTGATATCTTTTTTGCACGAGTGTGTGAGTGAGCCAGACAGTTGTTATCAGCAGCTTCTCTCAAAGGGAGGCAGGGAGGGAAGCAATGGTGTGTTTGAGGCTTTCACCCCCCCTAAAGCGGTACGGAGGTCTGCAGTGGACTTCTGGCCCTTCAGGCAACGTGTGCTGCTCTCACCCATGAGACGAGCTCTAAAAGAGGGTTTGACTCTCTGCCGCTGCGTCGGGGCAGATGGGTCTTGATGCTGGAAGGTCTTGTTTTGGTGTGTGGTTGCCGAGTTGAAGCACAGTAGTGCTGTTGCTGCTCATTACGTGGGCCGCGTGTGCGTATACGTAACACGCGTTATGACACGAGGAACGGCTTCAGAAGAACATTGCCACTGCTGATCCCTTCTGACTTTTGTATGATTTTGTACACGTACAGATTTGTCGCATTGTGTCGCTTCTCGCTGCGCGTGGTGTTGTGATGTCTCCTTTGTTCTCGCCATCTCTGAGTCTGTTGTTGGGGCCGTATCAGCCCATCTCAGTGCCTGTTATATTTAGAGGAAAACCATTATCAGAGCTTACAGCTGTGATTTAATTCTGACAGATCTGCAGCGTTCAAAGCAATCTCCTCTGTTTTTGTCTGGCTCATTTTTCTTTACCCCCCCGCTCCCTCTTTCTACCTCTTTCTCTCTCTTTGTTTCACTCCATCTCGTCTCCTTTCCTCCTTTTTAGATTACTTTCACCATTTCAGTCCCTTTTGTTCTCCCTTGGTACACCTTAAGCTCTCTATTTAAACTCATACAATTCATATTCTCTTTTCATCGTGCCTGAAAACACCCAAGTACATTATATTAATGCCCCTTTCTCTCTATTCTTAGCCCCCCTTTTCAATTCGATTGGAAGCTTTATTGCAACTGCTCTTGTTTCTTTTCCCCTCCCCGCTAGTTCTCTTCCACGTATACGCTCTCCTACCAGGCTGAGAAAACCGAGAGCTTCATCAGTTTGTGCAAATCCGCATTGAAACAAACATCAAACAGAGCAACTTCTAATTTGGGAAGAGACAAGCAATTAGTTACCGTTACATCCTTGAATGTGTGTGCAAATGCAACCCTAATCTCATTAATCATGAACAATGGGGGCGGTAATAGAGAAGCATGCTCATGCAAATTCCCCCACACAGTAATTTTCTTCATCCTTAATAGCCAAAACAGCGGCGGCGCCTCAGAAAACAATCCTCCTCCCTCTTCAACTCCGCTCAACCGCTTTAATTTCCTCCCACCTCTTTCCCTTTCTTCCTTTTGTCTTCCCCTCACCTTCCTCTATACCTTCTTGAAGTGTGGACCTTCAGAAAATTGATCTCAGTCCCGGTTTGATGGCAAAAACCCTCGAAATGGGGACTTTCCTCCAGCTCACTCCCTTTTCTCCACCTCTCTGTTTTTCTATGCCTTTTATTTGCATTTTTATTGTTTCATTGCTTGCCTCTGTCTTCCCCGGGTGTCTGTTTACATCTATTTCTTCATTTCTCCTTCTCTTAACTTTGCCGTTATCGCATTATTTCCCCCACCTTTACTTTGCATGCTTCAGTCCAGTAGCTAAATGTGACGCGAACTAAATATAGGCCGGAAGGACGTTATAGGATTATGTCTCTGCATCCTCTGAACACTTCTCTCCCCTTTCAGCTCCATCTCCTATAGTCACTTTTAGTGTCTCGATTTCTCCCTCAATTAGGTCCAGGTGTTGATGAGAGCGTTGTGGAAAGCGCGGTCAGGATGGATTTAGAGGCCCGGTGAAAGTTCGGACTGGGAGGAGACGACGTGACGGACCGATGGGCGCTCCAGCTGTCTGCCTGGAGGTACGTTAAGGAGTTGTGAGGAGAAACCAAAACATGTGTGTGGACATAATGTGATGCACGCTTGTAGCAGCACTACAGTGGCGGAGAGTAATCAATGCATTTAATCGAGTGCTGTGGAATTCAGTGTTATCTGTTCTTCAGTGGCTCCATTTTCTGCAACCGTTTGCTCCACGTTTCAAAAATGTATTGAATATTATGAAGTATATTCATATGTAATTGATTTTGTTATTAACCTTTGAAAGTAATTTTTTGGTTTGAAAGTCAATGCATACCTGAATAACACTGAAACTATTAGTAATTCAAGGTTATGTTAAAATCAAGATTTTGAATACGACATTAAATTGTCTTGATGTTACTTTTCTTTCAAAATATATATGATCAAATACATAGATGACTTAAAAACGTTCCATCCATGCAACTCAAATTTGTGTCGGATGTGTCAGATGTTTTTTCATCATCTTCAACATAAAAAACTAAATAGCAAACAAAAGAGGAATTCACTAGAAGTATGTGATATACAAATATAAATATAAGGATAATAGGCCCATTTAGAAAATATATCATCGTAGAATGTGTTTAAGAATAAATATGCTACTCATGACCTTGCCTACATACCGCTCTTTTTTTCGACCCGTGGGAGGGTGGGGGGGGGGGGGGGCGGGGTGATGTATGCGCTACGGTAGAGGGGCTGTGGGAGGAGTGTGTGTGTGTGTATGTGTGTTTGCCTAGAGAGAATAAAGGAACTCGGTGAGTTTGCTCCGCGTCGGAGGGAGCTGTCTATTGTCCCCGGTGCTGAAGGTGGATTACTGCTCCCCCACTTGAAAGGCACGAGCCGTTTGATAAGCCTGGGGGAAAAAATAAAGAAGAAGATGGGGGAATTATAGAAAAGCTCACGAGACTTTTTATTCATTGTCACCCCCCCCCCCCCCCTCACCCCCCCGAGTCTGCCTGAAGATTGGAAGGAAGTTTCTTGTTTCTTGGAAACTTGGACTTGTAAGAGCAACTCCAACATGCTTTGGTTGTCTTACTTGAGTTTATGTCTCTAACGCGCGTCCCCTCCGGCTCTCCCCCGCTCTCTCCGCGTGCTCACCCCTCTGCCGAGCAGACACCAACTTGGACTCATTCAGAGGAGGGATGGGGGAGGTGGAGGAGGGGTAAGTGGCTGAGGGAAAGCAAGGGGAGATCGCCGCTCCGCCTCTGACCGTCTCCCTCTGTTGTCTTCATACGCTCCATCAGAAGAAGTTGCATCGGTTGCCGCGTGCTGCCCCCCAGGTCGCTGTCACGATGGCCGGGTGTGCCAAGCGCTGCCAACAGGGACTCGTCAAGTTTGCTTCCTCCCTGCACAAACTGATCACTGGGACTCTCATCAAAGGTCTGTAAGTGCTTCTGTCCTGTGTCACTTCTGGGTTGTGTTTGTGCAAGCGCGCACATGTGTGCATGTTGTCCTCGTCACAGCTGCAAGCCCTGGAAGTATAACTGTGACGTTTCATCGGCCGCGCATTAAAATGAATGTCTCACAAGCTGATGTTCACCTCATCTTCAGCTCGTAAAAATCGGTGCTTTGACCTCCGCTGCCTGCACTCTTGTGCTCTGCAGTTGACCTCGTTCTGTTCAGTGTGCTCTCCAGAGGGGGGACCGAAGGAGACACGGAGGAAGCGATGCAGCAGCTAACAGTGAAGAGAGATGAAGTTGATGTAGGGCAGTGTGTGTGTGTGTGTGTGGCTGTGAGGTAAAGGAGCCGTATATGCACACGATGCTGAGAGGA